GCTGTAAAATTCCTCGCCTGGCCACTGAGTTTTCAAGTGCAGCTCTTATTTAATAAAATGCATACGCTACGGGTATTAACGACAGCTGACCCATGCAAGTCGGATAGCGGTAGGCATTCATACAAGCACAATGGCTCTCCGTATTTTTTTAACTGACTGCTTGCTTGTACAGTACGACATCGTATATATCCAACTCCCTAGTGACTTAGGTATAGGCCAGGGGTCGGCAACCTACGGCTCCGGAGCCGCATGCGGCTCTTTACGGGCTGCTTCTTGACGTTGAGTACGTACTCAGATGCATTGCGGCTCTTGAAATACTGAATTTTGTACCGAATTGGAAAGAAATGGCTCTTTTTGTTATTTTGGTTGCCGACCCCTGGTATAGGCGGACAGTTGAAAGGGTCATATATGTGAACTTCTATAGACAATGAGTTACAAGCACCGTGCACAAATAGGTTACAGAACAAAATAAAAGCAAAAAGTTTTAAACGTGGGACATTGCTTCACTGTGCTTTAAAAGGAGACAAATATAAGCGATTATAAGATCAAATTACCGTTTGTGAAAAGGTCAGATTTGACAAAATTAGTTATACACCACGTACATATAATGCATTAGGGTGTGGCCGGTTCGTTGGCCCAGGGAGGATGTGCGATGGTCAGATACGCGACGTCGTACGGTAGATGCCATATGCCAGCGACTCGAACCCCAGTAACGGGAACGTGGAATTTCCACCGCAGGCCTCAGGTCTATAAACTGGAGATGGCCCAATTTCCATGCCAGTTTGTGAACTACTCTTGTCTTGTTTCCACTTATATATATCGACTGAACGACAGGCTAAAAGAAAAAGGACTTGGAAACTTTGGAAAAGGGCTTCGGAGGAAAACACGCGAGAGCAGTGTCCTTCACTAATTTTCAGAGGGTGGGCCACTTTCGCCAATTAGATATCATCAGTCTGTGGGCCTCCACACATTTTAAACTGATTGTTGGGTTTGACAGCAGCACGACAATGATGGGGGAGTGGGTCTTCACATATTGTGAATTGTCAGGGGCCGCACGTCTGGGGCCACACTAAAGGCCACCAGCGGCCACCGGTGGACCACGAGCAGAGGTCGCAAACGGGGGTTGATTCCTTACCTGTACCCGTACCCGGCCGCACCAGGGTCGCAAACGGGTACCCGTACCCTACCCGATACCCGGCTACCCGTACCCGGCCGGGTATCGGGTAGGGTACGGGTGCCCGATTGCGGCCTCTGGGATGAAGCCATGTTGCAGGCGCGGGTGGGTTGATTCTAGGAACTTGAATTGTGAGAAGAGACAAGACGTTGGGAAATGAGTGACAAACGGTTACTCACAAGTGACTCACGGCCTACCCGTACCCGGCTGCACCAGGGTCGCAAACGGGTACCCGTACCCGGCTACCCGTACCCGGCCGGGTACGGGTAGCCGGGTATCGGGTACCCGATTGCGACCTCTGACCACGAGGCCCTTGCAATAAAGGCCACTGTGTTAGATGTAACTAGGGGGTAGAGAAGGTTTGCGATGGGTGGGGCCTCGTGTGCAGGGCGGAGGACGGCAGGTGACCGAGACGGGCACTGGAGTGGCGGCACCCACGCGTCGGTGACGAAGGGCAAGATATAAAAGCCAGATGGTGGAAATGATAATGAGACTGTGAGAGTGAGATCCTTGAAGGATGCGTTGACAGTGTCACAATGGAGAAGAGCTAAAGGCAGATGGCGGCGAGGATGACGATGAGACTGTAACAGCGGTCCTTGGGTTGGGCGTCAACTATGAAACATCTGCGGGATCTGGCAGAAGGAAGTGGTGATGGTGTAACTTGGTGGCATTAACACACAACCCCATCGCAGAGACGTATTGGGCACAGTAACTCACGGGAAATTACCTTCCCACAATTCAACGGTGCCAGCAAACATTTAAATAATTTAACTTTTCATATAAATTGCTGCATTTGGTAGTGATACTTTTTGATCGTTGATGCGTCTGTCCGTTTACTCAGCAGCTCCTATTAGGTAACTACATTATTCATACATAAAAATAAAAACTGGGTTATCAGAAAAATATATTTTTTAACGTAATTCATTCGTCCCCAATGGTGTTAAGTGAATCCTCCAACCCTCAATCACTCCATCTCTCTGGCCTCGCTATTTATGTGCTATGATGAAGGGTCATTGCCCGAAACGTTGCCTACCTATATATATTTTAAAAATCTTGTGGCAGTGTTACCGATTAATGTGTTGAGTTTCTGTTAATTTACCCATTAGACTTGGTAATACTCGTAACCGCTTACAGGATGCACAAGTTACGTGTGTGTGAAGATTAGTTTCCCTGCTCAAAGGAGTTCATGAGGGTGGCACCTGATTACATTGCCGGCCATGAGCTCGCTCGGGAAATTCCACATTACTATGGCAGCGCCAATCGCGCCCATAGGACGCCTACAGTTTAATTATGTAGAACGTGTATTCACGTGTAAGTATTGTCAAACATATGCTGCTACCAAACGTGATCATAATAATTACAGCAACAACTATTCCAACTATAAACCTTCAAACACCAATGTTAACCGCATACATTAGTGTGCTACAATAAGTACTCGATACGTACATAGTCTATACGGTACTGAACCGTGTTAAGAATAATTCTAGATTTGAAGTTTTCGTGACTGCAAGGATTCATACTCGTTGTTTTTTTCGGTAAAGTCACCTAGTTAAAAAATAAAATACAAATAAATGAAAAAACTGAATTAAATCACAGTTGTTTTTCATTTATATATAGTTAAAAAATAAAATAGAATGAATGAAAAAACAACTGAATTCAATCACAGTTGTTTTTTCATTATTTTTATTTGATTTTTTAACTACGTGACTTTACCGAAAAAAAACAAATAATACTCTACCCCATATAGTATGGGGCAAGTATAAATTGCAAATAACCAAGTTACGTCATCTAATAAGCTGGACATTCCACAATACTATGGCGGGGAGGGGCTGCCTGTATAGTATTTACAACCATCACTGGTGAAGCATGGCCCAAACTAATCCCCACCACTCAAATGTAATGCGGGAAACCTTCATCCAGCAGTGGATTTATACAAAGGCTGCACGTGTTACGGTGATAGTGTCTTGTGTACAGTTGTGGATAACCAGAGCCATTTCAATACAATGTACTTAAATTGTAATCATATTCTATATATACACGATAAAAACATTTCAAATATTTCAAAACACACTACGATACTATAACCCTACAGCACAGAATAAACATGTTGTACTGCACCGCTCCAAAATCTATGCATGGCCCCAAAAACAACCTCATTCAGCAGTGGATAGAGCTCTGTCTGCACGTGTACTACAACATCAACAATCATACAATGTGACAATACACAGTGAACACATCGGTGTACACGCTTGCCACAATCATATATGCTGTATAACGTAGGTCATACAACGCACGCTATAACATTTACACATAAACCCATTTCAATTGCGTTACAACAAAAGCCTGTACATTTTCTCAGAAATGATGGGGGGCAAAAAAAACCCGGTGTCACATACAAGGCGTGTAACATTTCTAAATTAAAATTACAACATTGTCACGACACAATGATGATGGCACATGGCCCATGGCAAGGCAAACCCACACCGATGCATTGTGTGTGTGTGTGGTTATACAGACAACAACAGCAGCAAGGGGCATGGTGATCGTCCACGCGAAATATCTCAGTGACATTAAAACACGAACAGCGCCACGCCACACTTACCGGACTTGTAACACAGCAGTCGTCGGACGGAGCCTTTCTTTAAAAAGGTGGACACGAGCAAAGAAGTAATTACTTGACGTGTTTGTTGTCTAAACATTTTTTCTCTCTCTCTATCGCTCGCAATCGCAATCGCAAACGATCAATGAGGAAGATTTCGTCTTGAAACCAGCGCGGACAAGCTCCGCCGTTAACTCAATACGAATGCCGCGATTGCATTTCCCACCGCCGATAGGCACCGGGCTCTACGTGCAATTGCAATACGTAGAGCGGATAGGGCAAGGCGGTCCCCCGCGTGTCAAATTTATGTCAAATCGCCTTTTCTCTCGTCCGCGTCGACGACGACGTTGTTCGTGATTGCTCGGAGCTTTTGTGGGAAATATCCGACAAGGGCGGGGGGTTTGAGGGAGGTTGGAATCGTTGGCATTCAAATGGGATGGTGGTGGGGCGGTGTTTCGAGTTGGTATCGTTTTGGAGAGAGCATTTGGGTAATCATCAATGGGGCAATTAACATTCGTTTGACAATAATCGTCGACAGCCTTCAGGCACCGTGCCACATTGTTAATACATTTCTCGCAACGCACGCGATTTTATGTTAACGATGTTGTCAATTTATACTGGCCGGCATGCGAATTCATCTGAAAAATATATATTTTATTAACGTGACGTGTTTTTCATGCAGAGGAAAAAGGTCAAAATCCATTTCCTACATCGGAGCTGTTAACATTTAACATTTTCCACTCTACAGTACACGTACTGTAGAGTATAATAATGATGCAGTACTACCAAAGTCACGTGGCATTGACATCAGAACCGTATTGATTACAACGCATCTAATATCATTCATTGCAACAATTAACGTTGCAATTCGTGATACTTTTCACTCATCAAATGTGCATTCGTTAAATGTTACTTGCGTTAACATCGCAAAGCCCGTCACTGCTGTTAAAACGCAACAGTTCATAAAATAAAGACAGCGCCAGATAATTAAGGTTTAATTAACTGTACGTCTCACATTTCATAGATGGCACAGGGAACGCGGCTTTAGAATGTGTACAACAGATCGGAGCGGGGTGGCTTCTCATTGGTCGAGCGCGCGTGCGTGACGTAGGCGCTCGTAATGTGAATAAATTATCATATAATTAACATAAAGGGCGTGGCGACTGCAATGCTTTTGCACGGTGACTCCCCCCTCATTAACATGTAATTAGCATAAATTATGTTAACGAATGCGGAAGCGCGCCCGGGTTCAACTGCACGTGGCTGGCATGACGTCTTCACTGGTTTGCGAAAGCACATCGTGCCGGTAATATATAAATTAATAAATGCACGTGCGGGTTTATTCTATTAATTGTATCGCTGCATGTTCATTAAAACGAGCAACTCTATACGCTTATGTAAAACAAAGTCGTTAAGTTATAATCACGTACGACCAAATCGTGCCGGTAATCCGCGTGCGTGTGCGTTGACGTTCGGACTGGCCCCTGCCATTGGAATGTGGAATTTCCACCACTGGCTCAAAGTCCCCGGCGGTTGTTTAAGCAGGGAGACATTTTAACTTTAAGATACATGCGGCTTAAGTTGCACATTGACAGTAATATTAACGTTTTGACTACCGTGCAACTTTGTTAGTCTGGTACGTTATTTTTTACTACATTGTTGTGGCGGTCTCGCAGTGATTTATGTTACGTACCGTATGTTGAGCTTCTTTCGCACCGTACCTTAGCCAACTGTGCTCATCGGAGATGCGGTTTAGCGCACTGCGCTGTGAACCCAGGCCACCAGAGTTCGATTCCAGGCCATGGCTGTGTCCTAAACCAGTCTCTGTCCCGCACCTGTCTTACCTTCATGCCAACGTTGTTGGCACGTGGTTAAACTTTTGGATGGAGTGGATTTACAAAGAGGCTGCAATTCTGTGCGGGTAAAAACAACTAGCCTTTCGCAAACGGAACTATGAACTTCATAAACAGGAAAGGGGAAAACATTAAAATATAAAGTTGTGAACTGACATGTATAATCAGGAAGGTTACACGTTTGCTATGAATCCGCCTGTTTATAATGTTCCTTTGAGGGCCACTGTGTATTTTCTATTAGTGTATTATGACTTGTGGTCATTAGGGTGGCATACAAAGTCTATGCCATGAACCAATGCTGGGCCTCCCCTAGGTCGACTCAGGCCTGAAATGAGTAGCTGGCGCGGTGTGTAAATCTAAACACTCGGGAGACAAAGGCGGCCGGGCGTTGCTGCTAAACCCTAAGCTCCCCCCTCTCCTCGTAGGCGCTCGCGAACTGCACTTTCCCCAACAGTCCGTTGCCACATGGGTGGAAAAATCCCGATTTTTCCAGCGGCAGGCATCGGGTTTTTTAAATCCTTTATATTAAGTTCACTTGCTTGCGCGCTTGCGCGCTTACGACCGTGCAAATCTTTCGGTCGTTTTTTAACCCACTTCCCGTGATCCAATCGAGCTGACATCTTGCTCACAGACTCGTTGCGTGACAATTTATTTTCGTGAACAATTTTTCCCAAAATTTTACACTTTTTAGGAAAAAATAAATTATATTTAATTACCAATTGTTAAATGGTGGCAGGCAATCATCTGACCCATAGGTGGCAGCCATCTCAAGCCAGAGGACGAGAGGACTCTAGCCGCCACGCATATAAAGGATTTATAGTGAAAAACTTTGTTTTTACGGGTTAATTTTTTCTTTAATACAATTAAACCCGATTTCGGGGAATTAAAACCTGGTTTAATGAATACGAAACTCTGATCCAAGGCTTAGGCTGCTTCCTCGTCGGTGCTGCTATCGTACTCAGGGCCATCGGGCACGGGCTAGTCGTAGAATGCGGCGGGCAGGTTGGTCTTGATGAACACGAGCTTCTCCACAATCGTGGGCGCCAGTGAGTTCCTTCGCTTGGAATGGATGCAGCCCATCGTTGAGAAGTTGGCGAAGTGCGGTTCTGCAATTAGAACCAATTAAACCAGATTTCTCCCAATCTCAGATGATCGGGTTTAATATAAAAACACAATTAAACCCGATTATAAAAAAAAAACCCGACTGTGCCACCCTTGCGTTGAAGGCTATACTGTACAGGGAGGATCTTTGTCTCTTGTGTCCTTAATCAGGGTGAGCTCCGTTCTGAATCGAGACGGGAAACAGTTCGGCAAGAAGCATCTGTTCGACGGCAACGAAGAAACGTGCTGGAACTCGGACCAGGTCTTCACAAATCACTGCACACGATCATGCGTCGACACTGCGCTCGCTGGAGCAGCGAGAGCCAGCGGTCGGCAACCCCGCGGCTCCTTTAAGGACTGCCGTGCGGGCTCTTGAAATTCGAAAAAAAAGTCTCTTCTTGTTATGTTGGTTGCCCACCCCTGACCATGGGAGTCCAGTTCACCATGGATGTCCAGTTCGCGATGGGAGTCCAGTTTACCATGAGAGTCCAGTTCACCATTGGAGTCCAGTTCACCATTGGAGTCCAGTTCAACATAGGTGTAAATTTCACCATGGAAGTATAGTTCACCATGAAAGTCCAGTTTACCATGGGAGTCCGGTTCACCATGGGAGTCCAGTTCACCATGGATGTCCAGTTCACGATGGGAGTCCAGTTCACCATGGATGTCCAGTTTACCATGGCAGTCCAGTTCGCGATGGGAGTCCAGTTCGCGATGGAAGTCCAGTTCACCATGGGAGTCCAGTTTGCCATGGCAGTCCAGTTCACCATGGGAGTTCAGTTCACCATGGCAGTCCAGTTCACCATGGGAGTCCAGTTTACCATGGCAGTCCAGTTCACCATGGAAGCCCAGTTTACCATGGAAGTCCAGTTCACCATGGGAGTCCAGTTCACCATGGGAGTCCATTTCACCATGGGAGTCCAGTTCGCCATGGGAGTCCATTTCACCATGGAAGTCCAGTTCACCATGGAAGTCCAGTTCACAATGGAAGTCCAGTTCACAATGGAAGTCTCGTTTACCATGGAAGTGCAGTTCACCATGGGCAGGGGTCAGCAACCTGTGGCTCCAGAGCCGCATGCGGCTCATAAACGACCGCTTCGTCTCGTTATTTATCAATTACCATCGTCTCACCACAGTGCATTGCGGCTCTTGAAATATTGAGTTTTTTTTTTACCAAACAAAAAAATGGCCCTTATTGTTATTTTGGTTGCCGACCTCTGAGCTAGAGCAATGGTTCTCAATCGTCTTGGTGTGACAGCTCACCCCCCCGCCAATCGACACCACAACGAGCGTTATTAAGGTTTCAATATTACAGAAGTCACACGCCCTCGCCTCTATCATATAATCCACGCGTACAAGTGTTGTTGTAACTTTCTGACCTGCCTGCCCCTAATTGACATTTGTTAAAAAAAATTTTTTAATAACACATGGGATGTGTAGGAAAAAAATGTTTGTATGTTGAGCAACGCATAACGAAAGGATGCATATTGTCTATTGTGTTACTTATATTCTCCGTGATGACGCTTATGATTATGTTGTGTACATTGAGTGCCTCGTTTGTGAATAAGAGGGAGGAATGTGTGTGTGTTCGTGCTGTGCGGCGGTTAGCGCGCTGCGCTACAACCCCCGACAATTCGAGTTCGATTCCCGCTCACGGCCAACACCAGTGACGATTATCTGAACCGGTTCTGGGCTTCCCCTAGGTTGACTCGGCCTCAAATGAGTACCTGGTGCGGTGTGTAGTAAACATCGCCACTGTGGAGAAAATGCGGCCGGGCGTGGTGCTGGCCGCCCACCCCCTCGTGTGCCTTGCCGACCTTCATAGGTGCTCGTTAACAGCACTTGCCCCAACAGTCTGGTTAAGGCTATACGGGGGATCTTTGTCTTTGTGTTGAACAAGGGTGCCCCCCAGTGGGTGAGCGTGGACTTCCCGCAGCCTGTGCGAGTGAGCGAGCTCCACGTTCAGTTCCAGGGTGGTTTCTCTGGAAAACAATGCCTGCTTCAAGGTAACTAAAACACTGCCTGCTTCAAGGTAACTAAAAACACTGCCTGCTTCAAGGTAACTAAAACAATGCCTGCTTCAAGGTAACTAAAACAATGCCTGCTTCAAGGTAACTAAAACAATGCCTGCTTCAAGGTAACTAAAACTACCAGATTTGTCAGTGGCACTGCCCTAAGAGGGTTATACGTTCTGTTCTCCTGTAAAGCGGTGGTGGTTGTGTTTCGGAAGAACACCGCGTCATGGGAAAAATCGCGTTCTAATAAATAATATCGGGTAAAGCAAGAGTCTGGGATAACACGCGAGATGCGTACACAGGCCGGACAAAAACTGAGCCGCAGTGGGTAGCGTCTAGAAGCATCCAGCAGCATCCCGCTGCCTTGTGTGATGCTACGCCGAGGCGGCCGTACGAACACTCATTCCTCCTCGCGCGATGTAATCCCTTTCACTCAATTGCGCTATATCCAATTCGCGTTATGAAAACACGCGGTGTTATAGAACAGACTGCATAAACACACATATATAATAGGTAGCGCTTTGGGCAATGGCCCTTCATAGCACATCGATGCAGCAAGTTAGATGCGTGTACGTACGTTTAACTTTCGCGCAGTAGTACGTGGCCATCCGTGATAATCTGGATGCTGCGGACGGGCCAAATTGCCCCCAAGTGAACCCCATCCACAAGCTCATGTTGTCTTCTTGGTTCTTTCGGTAAAGTCACGTAGAAGGAAAATAATAAAATAATAAAAATAAAACATAAAATAAAGCCTTCTCGACAGACCTGTTCTCCACCTGAAGACGGCTGCTTGCGTTGTGGCCGAAACGTCGTGAGAATTATTTTATTATGTTTTATTATTATTTTATTATTTTCTTTCTACGTGACTTTACCGAAAGAACCAAGAAGATGAATCCCTGCAGTCACGAAAGCTTTAAATCGATGCTCATGTTGATTTTCTGCATCTGAGCACACCCCTCATCCAGCCATTGGCGAGCCTAAAAAAATCATGCATACGCGTGGACTCTGATGCTTTCCAACGTTGTGTTTGTCCGCGGAACGACGGTGTTTAATCGGCAGGACAAAAAGGGGACGGGTAGGTGTCGGGACAGAACGCTTTAACATGTTTTGTTCAAGGTAGCTGTCAGGGTAAAACGCGTACTTTTCCAATTTTATTTTTGCTCTGCTTTGTGTCTCCAAAGTTTTGGGCAGCCCTTTGGTCAATTTGGCCGATTTCCTAAAGAGCGAGTGCCCAATGGCCCCCAATGTTGAAACGATGTTGTGCAAAAGTTTAGTTTTTATTGGATCATCTTTACCAAATTTATTGTCCTCCCTTCCACGGTTTTATGGCTAGCCGGAGCTAAAGTATACAAACAATGCGTTTTACCTCCGTTGAAAGGCGTTAAAAACTGCAGTTGCACACAATTTTGTTTTCATAAATATATAAATGCCCAAAAACCACTTGTGAAAATGTTATCACTACACCACCGAGGTTGCACGAAGTGACAATCTAGAAATCACAAGAGCAGTTTGGCTGGGAAGATGTATGCTGTGTCGCCAAAGCTGTTCGCATCAACATGAGAATATGCTACATAAACGTTGGACTGCAGAAACAAAACAAACGCTTAACATTTATTTATATAAAGAAACGTCAACCATCTCAGATTTGATGGCAGAATAGTAATCATAACACCCAGTGAAAATAAATTATATATAATGATGGGCCCCACGGTGGCTAGGAGATGTTAACTACCTCGCCTGGTATACAGGAGGTCGTGGGTTCGATCCCGACCCTGATGCTTGTATATTTGGAGTTTGCGTGTCTCTTTACCCATGGTCACGTGGTTTTTTCTCCCAGTCCCTCCACATTTAAAATCAACGTGCTTTGAGTGCTATTATAAATGTCTACGTGATAAGCCACTTCGTTGAGCTGTCATTTGTGGCCAGGAAGAGCTGCATAGCTCAGTGCGGCCCATACCTGATAGAATAAAAAAATGTTTTATTGTTAAAAATTGTACAAGGAAGGCTGCAAAGTTGGCATCAGCAGTCGGTGTTGGCTGTGATGACCCCGTGATGTCGATCGTTTGTCTGCATCGCTTGCAGGTTTTGTTAAAGACGACCCGTCAAAGACCCTGATGGAGTTTTACCCGGAAGACGTGAATTCTACGCAAATATCCTTGCTTACCGTGTATCAGATCGTTCAACGTTTCTACTCTCCATAAATTTACGACGGACACGTGAGAGTGTGCGGAGTGGTGATGCAGTGGTTTGCACACTTCGTTGCTATCGTTGTACCCTGTGAACATCATGCTGGCCACACCATCCACTTTGCCGTGCCAGTTTTCCATGGACGCTCGCCAACAGCACTTAGCTCTCATAAATAAGGCTAATTGGGGGGGTCTTTGACTTTGTGTGTTGGTCATAACTTCAATCCAACCTAGATTTAACCAGGACGGATTATGTGAGGAGTGAGGAGATACTTTAGACATCTGGACACAGTGATATCCTACAGCAGGTGAGGATGCATTGGTTGTTTTTTGTAGCCCACATGTCCAGCCTTCGTATGGATATCTATTCTTTTAGCCCGGATAGAGGGGGGCTAAATGGGTGCGGCATGGGCTAGGGAAGAAATGGGCTGATGTGCTACAGGATGACTTGGTACTGAGTGGACTTGCCGACAACTGGTACCAGTGGCGTCAAGATTGGCCTCTATGGATGAAGCTCGTGAAGGACGCTACCGGGCAGTTGGAGGCAGTCGCCCTCTAATGGGAGACGGAGGAGCAACACCCGCAATGAGCATAAAACCGGGCCACTGCAATACAGAAAGGTGGCACAGTGGGGCATTTGCCCGTCGTCTCATCCATAACACCTGGGCGTGTCACGTGACCTCATGCTTGTGACCCTTCACCATTTAATTTGACCGTAAAGGTGCAAATGACCCTGGCACAAGCACTGTGGTGATATCATAGCCATTTTAGTGTTGAATGGTAGTTGTATGTGTGATTGTGTGTATGTGGGGAGCAGTAGGGTAGCAGTTGGGCACGCTGCGCTACGAACTGCGGTGACCCGAGTTCGATTCCCGCTAACGGCCAACACCAGTGACGATTATCTGAACCGGTTCTGGGCCTCCCCTAGGTTGACTCAGCCTCAATTGAGTACCTGGTGCGATGTGTAAACATCGCCACTGGGGAGACAAATGTGGCCGTGTGTGATGCTGGCAACCCATCTCCTCGTGTGCCGTGCCGGCCTTCATAGGTGCTCGCTAACAGCACTTGCCCCAACAGTCTGTTAAATGCTATACGGGTGATCTTTGTGTTGTGTGCATACGATGCAGTTGTTTCTGAACTCGTGTGCGGTCAACTGCACTGTTTCTTTTTGACTTAACAGTCTCTCATCCACGTGTTCCAAGTGCCCCCAAGTGAACCCATCCACAAGCTCAAGCTGATTCTCTGCAGCTCCACGGATCTGTTCGGCCGCATCGTTATTTACAGGTTGGACGTTCGGGGAGAGAAGGCGTGAATCACTGCCAGAAACATCTTGGTTTTTTTTTTGGTCGGCATCAAGATCAAGATATCACGGCCGAAGCCGACGGTGCCACGGCCGACGCTTCCTTCCGCTCCGCCAGATGCCGCAGCTGTTGCGCAGTAGATGCGCGACTTCCATGGTATCTCGCCGTCTGCTGTCTGATCTTCCCGAGGATGGCCGGGCTCGTAGGGAGCACGCCAATGCCTCTCTCTGTAACGGCCCCTACACCCATCCTGCACACACGTCCCATCGCGCGCAGCCGTTATTCTGCCTAATCGTATATACAACACTTAAAACTTTCCCGTTCTGGTAACATGTGTACGTGTACGTCACTGGAACGTAACCGGAAGAAAAATTAACTTTATCGGTACTGAAGCTCCCACAAGGCCATGCGGGAGGGCATGTGGCACAGTTTGTCGCCGGCTATCGTCGAGTGCAGTCGTGTTGCTACGGTTCTCCGCGGTGAGTGACAATGTCTTTAAAAACAACGGCGGCGCTTGCGCGTTCCGAGATTCAGCGGTGAACGGGACGAGCCACCCTGTGACTTTCAGTCGTCTCGCAACGGGAGAGGGTTAACTGCCACCTGCCATGCTCGCTTGTGAGACGTCCCGGGAAAATACTGCTCAAAATGCTGCTCGATTGTGAGCACGCTCACTGCTGAGCGACGAGCAAACAGTCGATGGGTTCAATTCCTGCCACAGCCGTCTCCGTGAATTTTCAAATGCTCTGTTGGTGTTTTTTTTTCTGCCGGTCATATTGAAATTGTGCTATTGGCATCGTGTGACTTGTGGAAGATACAGGGTGCTTCAAGTTTGTTTTAACACTTGTATGGGACTATCGTTTTTAATGGAAAAAAACGGATAACACACTCACATTTTTTTATTTAAAGCTTTCCTGACTGCAGAGATTCATATTCTTGGTTCTTTCGGTAAAGTCACGTAGAAGGGAAATAATAAAATAATATTAATATAAAAAAAATGTTATCTCAAATTTTTGTTTTGTTTTATATTTATATTCTTTTATTATTTCCCTTCTACGTGATTTTACCGAAAGAACCAAGAACACTAACATGATAACAAATGTGATGTTAATAACTTCAAAAAGTCTCCACTTGTTCGCCATCATTGTCAACAAGACGCGCCTGGAATCTTCTCCAGGTGGTCTCCAGAGCCCCGAGGCACATTTCTTGTGGTGTTGTTGCAAATTCTCAGAAGTGTTAAAAAACATTTTAAGCACCCTGTATTTATACTGGGAGCTCTTGTCTCTCAGCCTGACGTCCCCTCGTGTGAGAGAACGACCGCGGAAAACGACGAAACAGAACTAGTTATGAGGTCCCCCCCCTCTTCAGTAGCTTCTCATCCACACCTCTGCTACGCCGGTGGTTATTGCGACGAGCTCGTGAGCACAAACAACCTTGAGAACAGCCAGGTTCGTAAGAGTTGTACATTGTCCGTCTGTGTCATTAACCAATGGTTTATAAACTGAAGTTAACGACGGTCAGTCGAAGTGACAGCGAGGCCAGTGATGGAAATTCTGCATTGCCATGGCAGGGGGGAAATCTATCACTATGATGACTGCCGTGAACTTCACACAAGGCGGTGTTATTTTTTTACGACCTCGGAGGAGTTATGGGATGAGTTGGTCCCCAATCGGGATTCGAATTCGCGATCTGATTGTGAGTCGAGCACAACAATCACAGCGACACAGGACGCGTTTGTATCCATTGCAAAGCAGAGGTAATGATGGTGGTAGGAATATAGATGTGCTAAAGAGATATGTTATGAAGCAAAAATAATATAATTAAGCTGTTTCTAAAAAGGGTTTTTTATTATTTGCGGTGGTATTGTGTTTACATTTTTACATAACTGCCCGGACCCTTTTTCTCGCGCAATTGTATTATGTAATTGAAAAAAATACACGGATTTAGTATGTACATGATTGTGGAAATTAACTTGTCGTCACTTGGTTTGTACGCGTTCATTTTCTTCTTTCCGATTAGCACCGTTGGCAACGTTCGGTGCGAAAGAATTTCAACGTACACACGTGCATACATTTATCGGTTTTGGAAAACAAGAAACGTTATTTTGTAGTTATAATTTAAAAAAAACCCGACAATAATGCCATTACAAGGAAGACAATTTTGATATGTTGAGAACAAGATGCATGATCAAGCATAGGACGCCTGATTGATCGCGAGTACCTACACGCATTTTCACGGATAAAAAAAAAATCAATTAGCGACAATTCTGCCACGTTCATTTATGGCAGGGTTGCCACGATATATTTTCTTCTCGCAATACTGTCCACGACATTTTCACGAAATCACAATTCTCGTGATATCAGTTTGTCGCAATAAAACATTCAGTATTTTCACGCGAAAAAATATTCATGCATATAAAAACACCTTGTGTTTTTAGATTTAAAGCTTTCGTGACTGCAGGGATTCATCGTCTTGGTTCTTTCGGTAAAGTCACGTAGAAGGGAAATAATAAAAATAAAACTAATTCTCACGACGTTTCGGCCACAACGCAAGCAGCCGTCCTCAGGTGAAGAACAGGTCTGTCGGGAAGACAGTTTTGTTCTTTGGCGTATCTCCTTGAGCGGCAGTTCACTCAACGTAAGCCTGCCCAGCGTACGTATTCCTATCACTGCAACTTTATATTCTATAAAGCTTAGAAACACACCTGCTACATTCACGTCAATAGGAGCCATGTCAACAGGAGCTTGTTCAAAAGGAGCCACATCAAGAGGGGCCACTGGGAGCCGCGTCAATAGGGCCCACGTCCATAGGAGCCTCTTCAATAGGACCCACGTCCCTTCAATAGGACCCACATCCCTTCAATAGGACCCACGTCCATAGGAGCCTTTTCAATAGGCCACTCACCAAACGCGAGACGGCGCTCCCTCGCTGTCTGGTGAAGAGTGGCTTAGCTCGACAATCCAAAATGATCAACACTCGGAGCAGACTACCCCAAATTAGCAGTCCTGTGTGTCTCTGTGTCTCTGTGTGAATCTGTTGGTCTGTGTGAATCTGTGGGTCTGTGTGAATCTATGGGTCTGTGTGTCTCTGTGTGAATCTGTTGGTCTGTGTGAGTATATGGGTCTTTGTGTGAATCTGTGGATCTGTGTGAGTTTTCACTGGGGACTGGAGTCGCAAAGCAGGACTACCCCCCCCCCTAGTTACCCACAACGGATTTTCACAGAACCTCAGAAAAATCCTTCAAGTAATTTCCGTTTCTACACAACATTGGCTGCACTTTTTCACCCAAAATATAGAAACCTCCCTTTAATTATGGCTTTTTTTGTCCTGCAGTCATTGGTGACCAGGTTTGAGACTGTCAACTCGCTACGCTTTGAGGACTGAATGTCGCCACAGGCGGCTGAAACCCAGATTCGAACCGAGGATCTCAGTGAAGCTGGCTCAGGGGTTGAACTGGCCCTTCGTGTGTGTCCCCGAAGCTTCCCGGTCACCTCCGCTTTCCAATTAAATCATTACTCCTACAAATAAGTGAGCAAGAGGCATTTTTCAATGAAAATCCTAAGGCCCAGTCTTCTCTAGAACAATGAAGCGTTCTGTTGCAGAACACGCGCACACAGTCGCAACACAAACATTTGTGAAGCATCCAATCAATCAATGTTTATCTATTATAGAGAAAGTCCTGTGTAGCCAGTTACCCAGCTAGATTTCAAAGGAGATCCGTGGTGAATTAGCGCAGAAGAGCATAATAAAGGTTTTTTTTGTATTAGATCGCGTAAAGTAATAAAAGTGTCGTTAAACCCGCCACCACCCGACACAGCCAATTAGCAAGGTATGTCACGTAAACAGAACGTACCATCTTCTTGGTTCTTTCGGTAAAGTCACGTAGAAGGGAAATAATAAAATAATAAAAAATTAAATAATTCTCACGACGTTTCGGCCACAACGCAAGCAGCTGTCCTCAAGTGAAGAACAGGTCTGTCGGGAAGACAGCGTCTGAATTAAACACCCCAGGCTTGGAGCGTATATTTAAGCTGGGTTGGAGGGGGAAGGGCGCCTTGACAAAATAATTTTCATATCAAGAGGAATTTAGCATATTTATGGGAAATGCAGATATGGGATTAGTCACTACTTGTAAAATGCGTAGGAGAACGTACCAATTCGTCACCAGTACAGCAACACCTGTGTGTTGGAGAGCAAAGCCAGAACATTTACAATCTGAGTACGACGTTTCGCCAGTAATTACAACTAGCTTCATCAGGCAACAGCCAGATTTGTGGAGAAATCCTCCCGTTTCGTTCCTTAAATAGAGGGGCAGATGTGATGACATCACTTGTGTGTCCTTCTTGCGCGGAGTGGGGGGAGGGTTTAATGAATGTATAGAAATTACAATGGGTATCCATAGCCGGTAGGGTTATTTATATGGTCATCAATGTACATTATGCATGCCGATTGTTCTTGTACCTCGTGTCGATTGTGTGCTAAAAATATCCGTATCTGTTTTTGTATAACAGGTAATCCCTATTGAAGTATGGTGACCTGTATAGGCATGCATTTAAAACAAAATATTATTTGATCATTCGTTTCCAAGCAGCACTAAGTCTATCTGTTCGAACGATTAAAGTAATTAATTATTTTTCTAAAATTCGAATGATTAAATAATTAGTATTGGCCAGTAATAACTAGTTTTGCACAGAACTTTAGCATTATCAAAATCGTATAAGAATAGGTTTTACAATTTCTGTCGATAAAACAGGTGTTAAGATAATAATAGGGGTTTTCCCCTTTTTTCTGGCAACAAAACTGAAACCTTTTTACAAGGAATCATGTTTACATTAACCACAATACCTGCGGTCAGAATGCAAACAAAAAACACTGATAATGTATGCATCCTTTGCCTGATGACGACCGCTTGTGTTGCGTTCGAAACGTCGTGATTTATTTTATTTGATTTCTAACTACGTGACTTTACCGAAATGAACCAAAGAGTATGGATTCCTGCAGTCACGAAAGCTTCAAATCAAGATTGTATGCATTGTCCTTGAAATTGATTGGTCCACACCAGAGACAAAATTTTTGCAAGATTGATTACTCGCTGCCCCTTTCAAAAATGTCGGTCGTGCCAACGTTTCACCTCCCGAACGTGGGAACCCCCCCGTCCCTTATAACGAGGCACGTCCAGCAAGACGCGGAGACGTTGCAATGGTCGTCATGATGGGCGGCAGTGCGAGGCGCGTTCCGTCGCCGGTGCACCCAGCCGGCCGGTGCCCCCCCCCCCTCGCGTGTTACACGAGTCCGCACCCCTTCGCGCGTCTTCCTCACGCGTCAAATTCGTACTCGTTCAAATCCAGCAGCGTCGACTCCCATTTGGGATCTTTCCCTCTTTCCGCCGCCGCCGCCGCGGCCGCCACGCTCCCCGCTTGCCGCGGCAGAGACCGGGCCGCCTCCGCGTCGCGAGGCGCCGCCGCCGGCCGCGGCCGCGGCGGCGGCGGCAGGGCCAGCTCGTCGTCGGCCGTGCCGGCGATGGGCGTCGGTCTGCGGGCGGCGCGCCGCAGTTCCTCGCGGCGGCTCTCCTCGGCGCGGCGCGCCAGCTCCTTGGAGCGCACGTTGGCCACCGTCGCCCGCTCCAGCGTCTCCCGTCGGGGGCTGCCGGGGGTCGGCGGCGCGTCGGCTACGGCGGCGTCGTCGCTCGGAGGAGGAGGAGGAGGAGGGAGAGCCGAGTCGTCGGAGCGGCGCTTGCGTTGCTCGATGAGGTGAGGGTTGTTGAGCAGCGTGCGCAGTAGCAGCCAGCGGATGCGAGCACGCGACGTGCGGGACCGCTTGGATGCGGCGCTGGTGCCGCTGACGCTGCCGCTGCTGCTGCTGCTGTCGAACGTGCCTGGGGCGCGTGCGGGTGAATGTGGGTTGATGCGTGTGATTGGAGCACCTGCGCGCGTGCGTTCTTGTCTTGTAATTGGTGTACGTGTGTGTGTGTACTTGTGTGTCTACAGTGGTGGGGGAGCGGAGGTGTAGCGGTTACCGCACTGCGCTGCGAACCCAACGGCCCGAGTTTGATTCCTGGTCACGGCCAACATTGGAATATAAGGACCAGTCCAGGGCGTCAGCTTAAGTCGAATCGGCTTCAAATGAGTACCCGGTGCGGTGTGTAGACATCACCACTGGGGGGGCAAAGGCGGCCAGGCGTGGTGCTGGCCACCCTCTCGTGTGCTGTGCTGGCCTTCATAGGTGCTCGCTAACAGCACTTGCCCCAACAGCCTGTTAAGGCTATATGGGGGATAATTTTCTTGGTACAGTATTGTAACAACATACAATGCATCTTGCTATGGTGAATACACACACACAGCTTCTGAAAAGAGCTATATAGCTTACCTGGGTAAAATAAAAATAGTTTTTAGTTTTATAATAGTTCTAGATTGTTGACCTTCCCCCGCACCTACGATTAGCACGGTTGGCTATGTACGGTGCGAACGAAGTTCAACACTAACATACATTAGCTTGAGTGAAATCTGCGCGCGATTACCCAACCGCAAACTTTGTGAAAGGCCCCTTGAGCTGGGACGGACGGCGTTTACCTCCTTTGGGCAGCGTTCCCGTTGAGGAGTGGCAGCCGTCCAAGAGCAACGTGCAGAATGCCAGCAGGCACGGGGTGCGAGTGGTACAAGGTCCATGTGCAGCATGCCGATCCACGTGGAGTAGCCTGCTCGCACAGGGCGACACACAGACGGGACAGTTCAGAGGGAGCCGGGGTGGCTCCGGGTGGAGGGGGGGGTCGGTGCTGAGCCGGAACCGCTGAGAGCCATGGGTTTGGTTAACACGTAGGAAGCTTTCGCGACCTGATATCATCCATAATATAGGAGGTTCTTTTGGGGGGCTTAGATCGCGTAAATATAAATGTGTCGTTATAGTCGCCACCACCCGACACAGCCAATGAATAAGGTTTGTCACGTAAACAGAACGTGCCAATTCGTTACGAGTACAGCAACACCGGTGTGTTGGAGAGCAAATCCACAACATTTACAATCCCTGGGTTTGAAATCCCGATTTCAGCCACCTGTGGTTAAACCGGAGTTACCCAAGCAAGTGAACTCATGACATTTTAACTATCGTCATGGCCCCCGTGATGTATACGGTGCAGTCTCCCTACTGCATTATTCACTCCGCAATTTTTTGCAATTTTTGTAAAGCGCCTTTGGGATGCGGCGCTATATATGCATCCACGTAAGTCAAGATCTCTCCAGCCTCTCTGATTGGGCCGCCGCGCAGAAGGGATGTCGCGCAACACGTCGACGTGCGTGTTCGTTCACTCCCCGTGAACGGCACACGCCGTTGCCGACGTGCCGAGCGTGTCGATTTGCGCTCGTGCACCGGTGCCACCGAACGACTTGGAGCGCGTCGATCGTCCTGGAGCCTCGTCGCCGGTCCGTCCCAAGCTGTCGGTCCCGGCACGGGTTCCCTTCTCGACCCTCCTCCGCCCGTGCCCTGTCCCCTTCTTCTTTGAACACGCAGGCACGCGGCGTCGGGCGACTCCGTTGCGGGAGGGAGGGGGTTGGTGTAAACCGACGCGCGACGACGCACCCATGTCGACGACCTCGTAGCCGCGCGGCATGATCGTGCGGTCGATGCGGGCGACGAGGCAGGCGCCGATGGTGGCGCCGAAGAGCAGGCGCACGATGCAGGCGCCCATGCCCAGCATGACGTCGTAGAAGAAAAAGAAGTAGCTGAAGTTGAGAAAGGCGCGACTGCAACTCGCGCACACACACACGCGCACACAAAGATAAATATCCCCCGTGTAGCCTTAACAGACTGTTGGGGCAAGTGCTGTTGGCGAGCGCCTACAAAGGCCGGCACGGTGCACGAGGGGGTGAGTGGCCAGCACGATGCCCAACCGTTTTTGTTTCCCCAGTGCCGATGAATACACTTCATACTAGTTACTCATTTGAGGCCGAGTCGGCCTAGCGGAGGCCTAGGACTGGTTTAGATAATCGTCACCGGTGTTGTCCGTGAGCGGGAATCAAAGTCGGGTCACCGGATTCATCAAGCACGCGCTAATTACTACACTCTCGCTCTGACCCGGCACACCACATCGTGTATTCCTCTGGCGGATGGTTCTGGATACTAGTCACGTGCCTACGCCAGTCTACCAGCGACCCGAAAAATATTCGGCGAGAAATTGAGCCCTGATTTCCAGGTGTCTGAGCGCTCGAGGACATGATCGTCATGGTGTACACGTACAGCCCTTTGTCGATCCACTGCTGGATGAGTGGCGGCTCCGCACGCTGTACGAGTTACGGGCGGCTAATCGACCGTACTTCACCACGCCATGCGATGAGGCTTGGTGAAGTCAGGGAACGCAGAAGTATTGCACAGCAGTGGCGCTCAGCTGCTCACGACGTAGCCCCGCAAGCCCGATGGCAACCTGTTTGTTCACGGTGGCCACCTATCGAAGCTCTATCCAGGCTCAAGCCTGTTAAAAACTATTAACTATTTTTTTTTTACCACGTAAGGCCCACTGAGCTCTAGAGCTCTTTTTCAGAAGTGACCTGGCTATCACGAATGATGGCTGAACGAAGTGGCTCATCAAGTGGAAATTTATAGCAACAAAATACTCTAAACGCGTGATGTTGATTCCAAAATGCGGAAGGAAAACCCGGAGGACACGGAGAAAAACCCACGCGACCACGGGGAGAACATGCAAACTCCAAATATACAGGTGTCAGGGTAGTGATCGAACCCACGACCTCCTGTATACAAGGGCGAGGTAGTTAACATCTCGCCACCGCGGTTAACTTCAGAGATATGGGTGATGTGATCATATCTGATCATATCCTGTCATTTGCTCACAATTTTGCGTTAATCATAGCGAACCCTTTCACCGACGATTCAGCGCGTGCATCTGGAGCGAAAGGATCGATTTTAAAGCGGCTGCGTCGACGCTCATTGCCACGGATGCCGAACGAAATTAACCGCTCGTCTCCCGTTGGTGGGCCGCCAGGGCACAGTGGTGGCAATTCCACGTTCCTGTGGCCGCCAAGGGGTTCCGGGTAGTCCGTTAAGTGAGCGACAGCGAAGACGCACATGTTGTTGAGGGCCAGGGGGCGAGAGGAGTCCTCTGCGTTGATCTTGGGCTGCAGGAAGCACATGTCCGAGATGATCACTTGAACCACGATGACTCCGATGACGAGGAAAATGCTCAAGCTGGAAGAGCGGACAGAGGGAAGAGGAACGTGGGTTTACCGCCGAGCGAGTAGGTTTTCGCTGGTTGCGCTCGACAGCTCTCTCCAAACGAGATTTGCGGGTTGCGCTGCACATTTGTTTGTCTTGCCGTTGGTAATGTTGCGTTTAAATTTCGATTTAAAGCTTTCGTGACTGCAGGGATTCATCTTCTTGGTTCTTTCGGTAAAGTCACGTAGAAGGGAAATAATAAAATAAAAAAAATAAAACATAATAAAATACAATTCTCACGACGTTTCGGCCACAACGCAAGCAGCCGTCCTCAGGTGAAGAACAGGTCTGTCGGAAAGACAGTGTCATTCAGACAGTGTCATTCAAACGCTGTCGTTTTTCCGACAGACCTGTTCTTCACCTGAGGACGGCTGCTTGCGTTGTGGCCGAAACGTCGTGAGAATTATTTTATTATGTTTTATTATTATTATTTTATTATTTCCCTTCTACGTGACTTTACCGAAAGAACCAAGAAGAAAAAAAAAATGTTGCGTTTGTTTACCCGGGATAGTCTCACCGAGCCTCAAGACTCCGTTCCAGGAGCGCCGTGCCAACTTTTGGCAGGAGGGGGTGAATGCTGCTGAATGTGATCCCAATCGAGTCATACGCAGGTAATTTTTCAGCATTGGGATGTTTTTGCCCCATTTCACGTTACATTGCATGTTTGTTTTGCTCGCTATGGGAGGAGACCGAAGAACCAAAAGGAAACCCACGCGGAACAGCGGGAGAGAAGATGCAAACCCAACGCAGAAAGGCCCCCGAGTCGGGAATCGAACCCAGGCCCTTCTTGCTGTGATGACACTCGCATGTGTGTGCGTAAGCATGTGTGCAAGCACGTCTGTACGTATGTCTGTATGCATGCGTGTACGTATGTCTGCATGCATGCGTGTACGTATGTCTGCATGCATGCGTGTACGTATGTCTGCATGCATGCGTGTACATATGTCTGCATGCATGCGTGTACGTATGTCTGCATCCATGCGTGTACGTATGTCTGTATGCATGCGTGTACGTATGTCTGTATGCATGCGTGTACGTATGTCTGTACGCATGCGTGTACGTATGTCTGTATGCATGCGTGTACGTATGTCTGTATGCATGCGTGTACGTATGTCTGTATGCATGCATGTACGTATGTCTGTATGCATGCGTGTACGTATGTCTGTATGTATGCATGCGTGTACGTATGTCTGCATGCATGCGTGTACGTATGTCTGTATGTATGCATGCGTGTACGTATGTCTGTATGTATGCATGCGTGTACGTATGTCTGCATGCATGCGTGTACGTATGTCTGCATGCATGCGTGTACGTATGCGTGCACGCATGTGCCGTCGCGTACAAGGATATCCCTAATCCCTGCAGCAACGCCAGGCCTCTGCCGCTCATTATGGGCAGCACGATGCCGTAAGCAATCAGCAGCATCAGCAGGAACTGCACCGCGTGAAGAACCAGATACCCTGCAACGACATGCACAGCGCAGAATCGGTGACGTCGCCGCGGCGCCCCGTGCCAGCCTAGGTGCGCTTTTTTGGGCCGCGTGAAGAGGCAAAGGTCTCTTTGGAAGGAGGTCGCAGAATGGGCCCAATGTGTCGTGTAATGCAAAATAATTACAGCGTTGTAGAAAATGTGTGCGTGTATGTATGTTGAAGTTATTTTGCACCATACATAGCCAACCGTGCTAATCGGAGGTGCAGGGGAAGGACAAAAAAATAAACACGAATGCAGTTATAAAGAAATGAGTTTTCAATCTGGATGATTTAAAAGTGCACAGCTTCAGTGGCTTCCTCATATCAGAAGGAAGATCGTTCCAGACGGCCGCAGAAGCGCATCTGAAAGCGCGCGAAACGGCGACCGTCTTTGTTCGATGGCCAGCCAAAAGCCGCTGCTTGCGAGGATGAGCGGAGTGTCACGTGATGGTTTGTGCTCCTTGACGAGATCAGCGAGGTATTGCGGTTCATTTCTGGCAAGCACTTTGTGTGTCAGGAGTGCGACCTGAAAATGTATTCGTTCAGCAACCGGAAGCCAATGAGCAAAATAGAAAAGTGGACGATGTCTCCCTCCATCATATAGGACTATCTGTCTCTCCACGTATTAAATAAATAAGAGTATATATTACACAACCACGTGTTGTGGGTTAAATGATTAAGCTCAGCTGTGGTCACAAACAGACAAAGATCCCCCGTATAGCATTAACAGATGTTGGGGCAAGTGCTGTTAGGCTGTTAGCGAGCTCTTATGAGGCCCGGTACAATACACGAGGGGCATGGTGACAAGCACCGCGCCCAACCACCTTTGTCTCCCCAGTGGTGATGTTTACACACCGCATCAGGTACTCATTTGAGGCTGGGTCTACCTACTGCATATACATATCCACGCATGAGATACACGTATACACATCCATGCATACGACCAAATTACCTGCTGTGCCCAGGTGTTATAGGATGTGGGGGCCACAGAGTGGGCAGCAGAGGGCAGTCAGAGCAACATTCACAAATGTCAGTCACATGCGAGCTCCGTCAAAATGTACACGGTGCTTACGTACCCCACAGCAGGTATGCAATCTGCCAGCCTGTATACCTAACGCCTGCAGCCTACACAAACACACGCACACATATAAATAAATACGTAAATAATTATGATAGTGTTACATCTGTTAACACGCAAGTGTTTGCGCTCACTCTCAAAGAGAGATCAAATGATTCAGAGGTGTGGGAAACCGCAGAGACAGCGGGAAGGCGGCCAGAAGAGGCACCGGGCAATTGCCCAAGTTCTGCAGTCCTATATTTGGACCATTGGCCAACATACATACACATACACAAAGATCACCGGCATAGTCGAATAGAAAGTTAGACTATGCAGATGTACAAAGACAAAGGAATTAGTTTGTCAATCATGATTATTTGAAAGTGCATAGCTCCAGTGGCTTCCTAATATCGGAAGGAAGAGCGTTCCAGACGGCCGCAGAAGGCGCATCTGTGAGCTCGCGATGCGGCGACTGTCTTTGTTCGATGGCCAGCCAAAAGCTGCTGCTGCTGTGAGAATGACGAGGTCAGCAAGGTGCCGTGGTTCATATGTGGCAAGCACTTTGTGTGCAATGAGTGCGACCTCCTGTATACCGGGCAAGGTATTTAACATGTCCCCACAGCGGCGACATGTGCAAGTGCGTGGCGCGCTGGCGGTACTCACCATCATAGGGCCGGCCTTCGGTTGCTTCTGTGGAAGGAAACTTCGGTCGCCCCTCCACAGCCGTTTGATGTGTTTCCTACGGCGGTCCACGCACACGCGCCAATCCATTCACGCGGTCAACCCGCGGGATCACACACACACAAATTCGCAGACGTCCCGGCAATGCGTTTCAAATGCCAGATTGAATAGAAATCAAGTCCGATGGGTAGTAATCACAGACACATATAAAGTAAACTACTGCTACTGAACTATTTTATTTTATTTTACCAGGTAAGGCCCACAGCTATATGGCTCTTTTTTCAGAAGGGACCTGTTGGGGCAAGTGCTGTTAGCGAGCACAAGGGGGTGGGTGGCCAGCACCACGCCCAACCGCCTTTGTCTCCCTAGTGGCGATGTTGACACACCGCACTAGGTACTCATTTGAGACTGAGTCGACCTAGGGGAGGCCCAGGACCGGTTCAGATAATTGTCACTGGGTGTTGGTGGCCGCAAGTAGGACTCGAACTCGGGTTGCAGCGGCGCGCTAACCGCTACACTACCGCTCTCCACGCTAACCTACCTGCAGACGCACACACGAAGACACCCACAGACATCCACGAAACGCAAGCAAAGAGAGACACACAGATACGCAGACGTAACGCAAAAGCGCACGGACGGACGGACACGCACACAGGCGGACGCACGATTCGCTCACTCACCTGTAGCACACCAGAATGTGGAAAATGTACACGACGGAGGTTGCTGCCGCCGTGTAAGTGGAGATGCTCCATGCAACTGAAACGACAGAAAGCGCGACGCCTCATGACCTCCCCCACCGAGTTCGGCCATGAGCTACGGTCCCTGGGCAACACAATAATTGGCGTATTATTGCCAAGTGATTTGATCGTTCCGTTTGACTTCGTAGCCTCTTCCCACGTCATCCCTCTCTTCAGATAAACTATAAAAACTAAAAACTATTTTTTATTTCACCAGGTAAGGCCCACTGAGATATTATTTTTCAGAGGCGACCTGGCCAACACAAATGATAACTCAACGAAGTGGCTTTTCGCGTGGAAAATTTATCGCGGCCAAATACTCTTAAACGCGTGACGTTGTTTCTAAATGTGGAGGGAAAAACCGGAGGGACCCGGAGAAAAATCCACACGACCACAGGGAGAGTGAGAGAGAGACACGCAAACTTCAAATATACAGCAGCAGGCGTCAGGGTCGGGATCGAACCCACGATCTCCTGCATAGCAGGCGAGGTAGTAAACACCTCGCCACCGTGGCGCCCAAATCTATCTCCAGGTGCGGCACTTCAAACAATGGGGCGAGTTTCTTAAATATCCACCACCAACAATAAACAACAACAACCGCAATTCGCCACTAAGTGGCGGTGACATCACCACGGCGCTTGTGCCAGGGTATATGTGCACGTTAAATCCACACCACCCGCCACCCTGCCCGCGCGTGGTGGGGAAAAGTGTGGGCACATCACTCCACTCCTCCTTCCGAGGCTTCCGGCCAGCGAGGAAAGAGTAGGCCAAACACCGTCTAGAGCTCCCTCGAGGCGTGCGTTGAACTTCTATTCGCGCCGCCCATAGCCAACCGTGCGTTCGTGGAAGAGACGGCCGAAGAGCCGCAGAAACGAATGGGACGCAAACGGTTTTGTCGGCGAGCCAAAAACCCTCTTTCTCGCGGGAACTCGAGAACGGGGAGTGTCTCACTTTGCGCGACGCCCATGAACTCGACGAACTGGATGATGGTGCTGTTGGTGCCGGAGGGAAGGTCGTCCACATTCACTAGCTCGTCGAGCGACACCTCCAACTCCACCACCTCTCGGGACACCAGTATCGCCAGCTGGATGTCGATCAACACGACCTGGGAGGATGAATGAAGAAAACAAATTATTCATGGGCTTCATCTCCCTTCCGGCAATAAAACGGGGAAGGCGTTAAGATCTTCACGCGTCGAGTAGGCAACACCCATTGCAAAGGCATCCCTAGTCTGCATGAACCACGCGTGGCAAAACATGTTTTCCATCTTCTTGGTTCTTTCGGTAGTCACGTAGAAGGGAAGTAATAAAATAATAAAAATAAAACATAATAAAATAATTCTCACGACGTTTTGACCACAACGCAAGCAGCCGTCCTCAGGTGGAGAACAGGTCCGTCAAGTGAGAATTATTTTATTATGTTTTATTTTTATTATTTTATTACTTCCCTTCTACGTGACTTTACCGAAAGAACCAATAAGATTAATCCCTGCAGTCACGAAAGCTTTAAATCGAAATGTTTTCCATCATTTTGATACTGGCAAAAAGGTCCCATATATATGTAATAAAGGACTTCGCCACGCACTGCTTGGTCTCCGTCACTCTTTATTCGGGTTAACACCCGCACCCTGCTGGTCCCGACACCGGACCAGCTGCTCCTCGCGCGCGCCCCGCACACGCTCTCTCGTCAGTCCTTCACGCTCCCCCGCTCCGCACACCGCTGGCCGACGGTGTGCTGAAGCTCCTTCAACCACGTGGCTGATGGCGCGGACTCCCTCCGGCCACCCAACGTGGTCCAGCTTCTTCACTCCAACAACTGACCCGGAGCCCTTCCGGGCTCCCACCTGTATCCCCTTCACCACGTGACCCTGTCTCCTCCCTCTCACCACGCCCTTCCGAACCTTCCAGATCTGGCCTCCCCATAGCGCCCTGCTGGCTCTGCCCCTAGGTTCCGCCCCCACTCACTTCGCTTCCGATTGGACCCGAGGTGAGCGGCGGACCTTCACATACGCCCCCATACTGGCTCCGCCCCCCAATACCCCGGGCCATATGATTGGCCCAGAGGCCAGCAGCGAACCCCGCTTACGCTCGCATTATATATATAACTGCTCAACCCGAGCGATTAATAATTTGATACGTGCATTGCCTTGGTACAGTTCGCCTTTGGCCCTCTCTGGTCTGACACTGGTGAGACAAGGCCATTAAGAAGGCCGTCTTTGGTGTAGGGCCAATCAGTTTCAAAGACAATGCACACATTATTATCGGAGCATATTTGTTTGTTTTCGCATGCGTCGCCACAAGTCTGGTGTCGGAGACTCACGGAGTAGAGGCAGATGACTCCCAACACGGCCGTCGCGATCATTCGGGCTGGAAACTTAAAATGGGGGTCCCAGTCGTAGCACTTGCGTCGAAAGCATGACTTCCGTTTCACAGCCTCTTCCTCCTCCCTGTGCATCGAAAAACGCGTGCAAATACACGTCACGGTTAACCGTTGGGTTTTTTACAGTCAACCCCGATTGTCATTCCGATCGCATGGCCCCCGCGGTGGCTACGCGCGTCGCATGCACTCGAGCACTCTGGAGGCCGAGGGGGTTGGCGAATCGCGCAGTCGTTGCCGAACTCCCTTCCCCCGTGGGCATCGACGAGGAGAAGCTCCCGTACTCTGGCTCGCCAGGAGAAGGTGGCGCAGCGAGAACGTGGACTCCAGCTGTTCGCTCTGTATGGGGGGTAGAGTGGTTCCCCTTCGCATGTGTGGGTTAGCCTCAGGCGTGTGCTCCGGCTTCCATACCACGTTTAAGTCACACTCGTTAATTGGCCGATGACGCCCTCATATGCAGAGGACCGCAGACCTTGGACAATCGTTGACGCCGGCTCCTCACCGCTTGGCTGCTGCCTTCCCCGCTCGTTGTCTGTGGCTCTCCCTTGTGCCTACACGAGTCGGTCTGTCTCTCTCTACAGCATTCGCTCGCTCGCGAACGCTGTGCGACGCACGTCCAAAATTACGATTTTAAATATATTTTTTGTTATCGACGAATGATAATTTACGTATTAAGAATTGCCGACTTTAAATAAATAAAGTTCAGATTGGTTGATCGACTTGCTTAAAGGCGACGATGTAAAGGTGCAGCCCTGCAATTGCTTGCTCACGTCCCTGCTGGCTGAATGTCCTCCACTAGAAGGCGCTCAAGAAAGCCCTTAGGCAGAGGGTGCTGTGCCTATCCTTCCTTGCTGGGCCACATCATCTTGGAAGAATCAAAATCTTTAATAATGCTGGAGGAATCCGATGAGCTATAAAGCATTTGCTTTAAGGAGATGTCCAGTAGGGGCACGGGGGTCAGAAGGTGGAAGTACCCCCGCTTCACCCCAGTCATAGACTATGGTGGACACTCCTGGGTGGACAGAGGCAGGGGGTGGAGGGGGGGACGAATCCAAAAACGAGCGGGATTTTTCACAACGTTAAGATCATGAGTTGTCTATCTTGAAGGAGCAGAAAACCATCACGCGAACTCCGGTCATCCTAGCAGCAGCGGCTTTCGGCTCAGCCGTCAAACAAAGACGGTCACTGCATTGTGTGCTTTCAGATGCCCTTATGCGGCCATCTGGAATGTTCTTCCATCCGATATTAGGAAAACACTGGAGATATGCATATCTAAACCATCTATATTGAAAACTCATTTCTTAAGAACTGCTTTTCGTGTTTAGTTTGTTGTGCTTCCCCCACACTTCCGATTAGCATGGTTGGCTGCGTATGTTTCGAAAGAAGTTCAACATACGTCCTTTGGTTCTTTTGGTAAAGTCACAAAGGTGAAAAAATGAAAATAAAAAAATATTAATTTTCTTGCTGTGGTTGTCACACCTGATGACGATTGCTTGTGTTGCAATCGAAAGATCGTAATTTTTTATTTTATTTTTTCATCTACGTGACTTTACCGAAAGACCCAAAGAGTATGGATCCTTGCAGTCACGAAAACTTCAAATCTAAAATACATCCGATAACCAGCAGACAGTGGACCGTTGCAGAGTATATCAAATATGAATATTGGTCGGTGCTGCACTTACTCCGGATCGGGTTTCAATAAGAGGGTTTTGATGTAGGCTGCATGGTGTGATTTTAGAATCAATTCTGTTTCCTGAAAATAAATTAAAGCACACACACAGACACACGAATCAAAATCACTTTGTTACACGCAAACATCAACTGGCGGATGTGGTCAGCTGGCCAGCACGTGGGGTCATATGACGTGCTCACCATGAACACGTAAACAAAATTAGATGTCACATAACTACTTCTCGGATTCTTAAAAGTGACAATTCTACATACGTGAGCATCACCAGGACAAACACAACAAAAATATTTTTACCCTACGTCGGCCTCTCACCGCTCGCGACTACACCCACGTAACCTCACCTCCGGCTTGGATCGCCCGAGGGCGATCATCAGCGCTCGGAAGAACATGTGGATGAACTTGAGCGAGAGGAAGAGCTGGCACACGAGCGACGGCGTCTTGGTCAGAACCACAAACACGTGGTCCTGCGTCGACACACACACACGCGCGCACGCACGCACGCATGTGTTCACAAGATCGTCGTCGTCATCATCGTCCGTCCATTCGTTTCTCACTCCGCTTGTCCTGGTGAGGGTTGCGGCGGCAGCGTGTTGAGTAGGACAGTCCAGACATCCCTTTCCCTGGCGATGGACTTTAGCACTACTACACTATACAGTACTACACTATATACTACTCTACACTATACACTACACTACTATACACTGCACTATACCCTACTACAATATACACTACTGTACATGATATACTACTAAACACTACACTATACACTACTACACTATACACTACTCTACACTACTATACACTATACACTACACTACTATACACTGCACTATACTCTACTACACTATACACTACTATACATAATATACTACTAAACACTACACTATACACTACTACACTATACACTACTACACTATACACTACTATACACGATATACTACTAAACACTACACTATACACTACTACACTATACACTACTCTATACACTACTATACACAAACTCTAGCTCTTCCTGGGGAATTCCTAGGCGTTCCCAGGCCAGCCGAGCGACATTGTCCCACCAGCAGCGAATCCTGTGCCGGACCCCGGGTTCTTCGCCCAGTCACCATCGTCGTCATTTTATTTTTCGACTTAGGCAATGCGAGCGGGGCCCGCTGCATCACGTTGTGACGCACGTGCACACCGTGAACGTGCACCAAACCGGTTATGAAAAGCAGGGGGGGGGGGATAGAAAGATGTCGTCGTCATAATTTAATATTCTGACGAGTTGCACCCTCTTTTAAAGCGCTTCGGATAATTGTGTCAACGCCCTCAGCTTTTCGGGAGGGGCGGGGGGCGCAGGGAAACGTCAACGGACGAGTGGGGGAGACAGCCAGAGCCGGCGCCAGCAGTTGCCCAAGCTCTGCGATCCTACACTGGGATGATTTGGCGACTCTGCTGCTGCTGCGTTGGCAGTGATGCATAAGCACGACTGCCAACCAAAATAAATAATACGCAATGGCTTCTCCTTCTTCGTCGTCGCATGCATAAGGGCCATTGCCTGAAACGTCTCGATCGGCATGTTTCGGCAAACTCCATTGACGAGTCTTTACAAATGTGGGAGGGCACCGGAGCACAATGCCCGGAGGAAAAAAACCCGCGCGTGTTAACCAAGGAGGGTGCAGCACTCGATGAGCTCCGCACAGATGGACACGGATCCACTCGCCACACTGCAGTACCTCGGTAAGGCCAGGAGGAGGCGCGGAGTTTAATGGCTCGCCACCACTAATTACGATGCGGACTTCGGGGAGCGATAATTCACGACGACTGATTTCTGGACAGAGGCATTTGAACGACTGATACTATAGCGCCCAGCCCTCTGAGCCTACACGGCAGGGGTGGGGAACCTTTTTACTGCCAAGGGCCATTTGGATATTTATAACATCATTCGCGGGCCATACAAAATAATCAACTTAAAAATGTGTCTGTTATATTTGGTCAAACATTTAATTAACTCGCCCCCTAATGTGATGGCTGGAACTACTTCTCTTTTGCGAGGCGTGTGATGTTAGCTGGTATTGATGATGTTGCTACTCGCAACTGCTTTTCCAGGTTTGCTCCTAGATTTATTGAATTTCGAGTCTCGCCTGCAGTTGCCTTGGCAGGGCCACACCAAATGATTTTGCGGGTCTTATACAGCCCACGGGCCGAACGTTCCCCATCACTGCTCTTCGGCCAGAATGTTGACTGCAGAACGTCGAGTTTGTGGATTTAAAACCAGGCCCTGTGCATCGCTCACGCCCTGTGAGCCAGCCACTCCTCATAATAGTGTCGTTTGCCGTCTAAGTGTCACACAGTGGTTCGCATTATTCCGCTCACTGGTTGTCAGCTAAGCACGCAGTCTCCTGCCGGACGAGCTTCTTATCATTTACAGAAAGAGTTCAGAGTTAGTTCAACGTAGGTGGCCAATGAGATGCATTGACTGGCAACACGGGAGCGAGAGATGGGCTGTCGATATATTATAATAATTTACATTTGCACATTTCATCCGAGGATCCCAACACAAAAAGCAGTTCTCGTGAAATGCGTTTTAAATCAACATTTAAGAACGCATAGCTCCAGTGGCTTCCTAATATCGGAAGGAAGAGCGTTCCAGACGGCCGCAGAAGCCGCGCGTCTGAAAGACGGGCGCAGAAATAGGCCCCAAAGTCCTGCCAGAGGATCAGAGGTCGCAAACGGGATTTGATTCCTTACCCATACCCGTACCCGGCCGCACCAGGGTCGCAAACGGGTGCCCGTACCCGTACCCTACCCGAAACCCGGCTACCCGTACCCGGCCGGGTATCGGGTAGGGTACGGGTACCCGATTGCGACCTCTGGGATGAAGCCATGTTGCAGGCGTGGGTGGATTGATTCTAGGAACTTGAATTGTGAGAAGAGACAAGACGTTGGGAAATAAGTGACAAACGGTTACTCACCAGTGACTCACGGCCTACCCGTACCCGGCCGCACCAGAGTCGCAAATGGGTACCCGTACCCGGGTAGCCGGGTATCGGGTAGGGTACGGGCATCGGGTAGGGTACGGGTATCGGGTACCCGGTTGCGACCTCTGCAGAGGATGCAGGAGGACCCCTGCCGGAAACTCAGAGTCGCTGTCGAGCGTGCGAATGAAAACGAATACAGTGTCGAGTAATGGAAACGAACTTACCGGATCAAATGAGCATTGACAAACGTCAATCAAATTCACGGTTAGCCTGCCGAAAACGAACAAACAAAACGTCAAGTTCAATATTTTAGTCGAACAAATTTGATAGATTTTTTTATAAAGTAAATATTTTAATCGAGCATAGTTGATTGCATATGTGTGTGTGTTTACCTGTGTCTGCGTATGTGTGTGTGTGTAACGTATGTGGGGAGCGGTGGTTTGTTGCGCGCTACAAACCCGGCGGCCACCAACATAACACGATGATTAATTATCTTAACCAGTCCTGGGCCTTCCCCAAGGTCAACTCAGCCTCAAATGAGTACCTGCTGCGGTGTACAACCATCAGCACTAGGGAGACAAAGGCGGCCGGGCGTGGTGCTGGCCACCCAGCACTCGTTCCGGCCTTCATAGGTGCTCGCTGACAGCACTTGACCCAACGGTCTATTGAAGGCTGCAGGGGGATCTTTGTCTTTGTGTGAGTGCAATTGAAACGAGGCGGTGATGTCACTGCAGCACTTGCACCAGCCGAAGTGTCAAAGGTCAGGGAAGCATACAATTAGAGTGAGACAAAGATGCCCCGTATAGCCTACACGGGGCTGTTGGGGAAAGTGCTGTTAAGCGAGCACCTACAAAATGTATGCTTCTCCATTCTCCCATGGAGAAGCAAAATGCTCCTTCAAGGAATAAATGAAAGGTGACCTTAGTAAATTTAAATAATCAAATAGTTAATAATGAAAATTAATCAAAATGAGTGTTGTTATAACAATTCCATTTAATGAATATTTATTTAAAGTTGCGCATTTTGATGTGACGTCACATTTCTCAAACCCGCCCTCCCCCTTCGTCACACATCGTCACAAATGTCTGACCCCCCTCCCCCCCCTAGGTGCATGACGTCATTTATGGACGGCCCCACACCAGTCCCGGCCACACACACGCACACATCACCAATCTCAGCCACACACGCATACATCACAAATCCTGGCCACAAAGACAAAGATCCCCCGTGTAGCCTTAACAGGCTGTTTGGGAAAGTGCTGTTAGTGAGCACCTATTAAGGCTGGAACGGCACACGAGGGGGTGGGTGGCCAGCACCATGCCCGGCCGCCTTTGGCTCCCTCGTGGTGATGTTTACACACCGCACCAGGTACTCATTTAAAGCTGAATCGACCTAGGGGAGGCCCAGGTACCGGTTCAGATATAATCGTCACTGGTGTTGGCCGTGAGCGGGAATTGAACTCGTTCGTAGCGCAGCGCGCTAACCGCTACACCACCGCTCCCAGCCACACACATACGCGTACACAATTATAGATTGCAAGCTCACCATGACACCGAGTATAGGAAGCCCAGGACTGAACCCAGGATTTTGTACTCGGTCCCAAGGCAGGCGAAGAACGGGTAAACATCCACGCCGACTTCCAGGGCAGCCAGCAGATAAACCAGAGCTATCGGGCAGAGGCAGCGATTCGTGTAAGGTTAACATCAACAACAATGATGATGATGATCGTTGTCAACGCCGTTGAAGTCCTCATGATGGCAGCTAAAGGAGAGAAGTGCTTCCAAGTGGGTGACCCACCATGGAGATGGGGCGATGAGATCGGCCCACGTGGCTGACGGCAATGATGATGTTCATAATTATATTTTTTATTTTTTTCGGTAAATTTGCTTGGGTCGGCAATGTGGTTAACCCCGTCAATTATAAATAGCAGCAGCAACATTAGCAATGTCTCAGCATCATCCTCATCATCAGAACCACATCACCTAAATCATTATGAATGTGATTATGATGATGTTGGAGGTTGTGGTCATCATGATGTTAAATTTTTGTTTATTTGTATGGTACTAGCGGTGTCAAGATCGGCCTCTGTGGAAGAGGTTCGTGAAGGACGCTTCTGGGCAATTGGAGGCAATCGCACTTCCAACGACAACGCAGCGTAGAGGAGCGACCGCTCACAACAACGAGCGGAGCGCCGGGCAGGTTAAACCTTAGTAGTAGGGTTTTACCCTTTACACTGGCACAAAACTGACACCTTTATACAAGGCATCATGTTTGCAATAACCGCAACACAAGCAGTCAAAATGCAAATAAAAAGAAACAACTCTGATAATGGTAATGATATGCACTGTCCTTGAAGTTGATTGGTCCACACCCGAGACAGCTTTCCTTAGAGCCTAGTCTCCATTGGTGTTGGACCAGTTGACGCCAAAAGGCGTACAACTCAAAAACAGTGCACTATCAGAGTATTGAGAGCTCGCACAGGTGGTGGGTGCATCTGCCAGTCATCTCAGTCAACCCACATGGCATATGCCAGTGGGGGACCTTCCACGATGCACAGTGGCCTCAAGGTGCTCTTAGCCTGGGCACACGCGCCGTGGTGGCTTCACCGCGAGTTAGTGGCGAACGAGAGCTGTTGTTGTTGTGTTGCGCCCGAAACGTCGTTATTTATTTTATGATTTGTTTTATTTTCTACCTACGTGACTTTACCGAAAGAACCTGCAGTCACGAAAGCTTCAAATCAAGAGACAGCTGTTGTTCTTGTTGTGATTTAATCACGATGACGACGATGACGCTCGCTGTGGTGACAATGACAATACATTTTGATGTAAAGCTTTCGTGACTGCAGGGATTCATATTCTTGGTTCTTTCGGTAAAGTCACGTAGAGGGAAACAATAATAAAAATATAAAACAATAAAATGAGAATTTATTGTTTTATATTTTTATTATTTTATTGTTTTATATTTTTTTTATTGTTTCCCTTCTACGTGACTTTACCGAAAGAACCAAGAATAATGACAATACAGCTGACAGCGAAGTTTGCGTTGATGACAACGATGATGACGACAACGACTGAGACGATGTCAACGACTGAGATGATGACGACAACGACTGAGACGGCAATGACGACTGAGACGATGAAGACAACGGCGACTGAGATGATGACGACGACTGAGATGACGACGACGAAGAAGGGAGGGGGGAGGGGTGTCACAATTATGGCAGTGGTCGTCCGGCGTCGTCCTGGGCCCCACCTTTTGCCCACGACGGAGCGACGAAGTCGAAGTAGTTGGAGAACTCGTTGGTGAAGAGCGACACCACCGTGCTGGTGGTCGCTCCGAACGCGATGCCGTACGACCAGCGGTTGCTCTGGTTGCCCACCAGGTACACGGGCCTGGACACACAGCGCCCGCTCAGCGTGTGCGTGTGTGTGCGTGAATGTGTGCGCGTGTGTTTGTGTGTGTGCGTGTGCGTGTTTGTGTGCGCGTGTGTTTGTGTGTGTGTGTTTGTGTGTGCGTTTGTGTTTGTGTGTGTTTGTGTGTTTGTGCGTGTGTGTGCGTGTTTATGTGCGCGTGTGTTTGTGCTTGTGTGTGTACGTGTATTTGTGTTTGTGTGCGTGCGTGTGTTTGTGTGTGTGTGTGCGTGTGTTTGTGTGTTTGTGCGTGTGTGTGTGCTTGTGTGTGTGCGTGTATTTGTGTGTGCGTGTGTGTGTATGTGGGTTTGTGTGCGCGTGTGTGTGTTTGTGTGTGCGTGTGTTTGTGTGCGTGTGTGTGTATCTGTGTGCGCGTGTGTGTTTGTGTATGCGGGCAGTAGTGCAACAATTACGGGAGCGGTGGTGAAGCGGTTAGCGCGCTGCGCTACGAAACCTGTCGACCTGGGCTCGATTCCCGCTCACGGCCAACACCGGTGATCGTGAGTATCTGAACCGGTCCCTGGGCCTCCTCTAGGTCGACTCAGCCTCAAATGAGTACCTGGTGCGGTGCGTAAACATCGCTACTAGGTACTCGCTAACAGCACTTGCCCCAGCAGTCTGTGAAGGCTATACGGGGGATCTTTGTGTGTGCCCAGGCGGCTATGGAGAGCGGCGCGACATAAACCGGTTATGGGCCTCCGCAAGGTCCACTCAGCGCTAGGAGCCGTCCATAAATGACGTCACGCGATTTTGGACGATTTTTGACCCCCCCCCCCCTCGTCACACGGCGTCACAAAAAGTCAGACCCCCCCTCAAATATGACGTCACAAAGCACTGCCCCCACCCCAAAAAATATAAAACATGATTCAAATCGCTTTAAACTATTGTCATTGTAGTGCGTATTTAATGTGGTGCTGTACTCTGATGTTGTACATGAAAACATAAAAAAGTATTTTTAATTAAGTAGAACGTGCTGTCTATATTTATTTAAAGTTGCGCATTTTTACGTGACGTCACATTTCTCAACCCCCCCCCCACCCTAGTCACACATCGTCACAAATGTCTGACCCACCCCCCGAGGTGCGTGACGTCATTTATGGACGGCCCCTTAAATGAGAACCTCGCGCGGTGCGCCGACACCAGCCTTCACAGGTGCTCGTCACGACTGCACTTGCCCCAACGCGTCTGTTGAGAGGCTACGCGGAGGGACCTTTGTCATTGTGCGCTTACACCACGATGCCGAAGCGGCGGTTGAGGGGGAAGCGCTCGTCCAGTTGGTGTCCGCGGACGCGGCGCTGCAGGAACGACAGCAGGATGATGACGACGACCTGCCGGGGAGACACGGGGGGGGGGGGGGATACACGGGGGGGGGGGGGAGACACGGGGGGGGGGGGGGGCACGGGAGGGGGGGAGATACACGGGGGGGGGCAAAGGGGGAGACATGGGGGGGGGGGACGGGGGGGGCACGGGGAGACACGGGGGGGGAGGTGAAACACGAGGAGAGACACGGGAGGGAGGGGGGAGACACGGGGGGGGGGGGGGCAAAGGGGGAGACACGGGAGAGGGGGCAACGGGGAGACACGGGGGGAGAGGTGAGACACGGGGAGAGACACGGGAGGGGGGGGTACACGGGGGGGGGGGCAAAGGGGGAGACATGGGGGGGCACGGGGGGGGGGGAGGTGAAACACGGGGAGAGACACGGGAGGGAGGGGGGAGACACGGGGGTGGGGTGCACGGGGAGACACGGGGGGGAGGTGAGACACGGGGAGAGACACGGGAGGGAGGGGGTGCACAGGGGGATACACGGGGGGGGCAAAGGGGGAGACACGGGGGGGGAGGTGAGACACGGGGTGAGACACGGGAGGGGTGGGGGAGACACGGGGGGAGGCATGGGGGGGGGACACGGGGGGAGGCATGGGGGGGACACGGCAGGGGGGAAACTCGCGGGGAAGAACTGGGGGAGACACTTTGACATACGAACGGGAAAGGTGTACGGAGACACGGAGCCCGGGAGACGCGAGGAGACGCAGGCAGAGAGACGCGGTGAGACGTGGGGAGACACAGGGAGAGACATGCGTACAGACAGACTGCCTTGCGTGTCGAACAGCTTTACAAACTCGATCAAAAGGTCGAGGACGTCGGCGTGGCTACCGCCGTTGATGCCACCGCCACCACCACCACGTCTCGCCAACACGTTCTACCCTCCACCAGATCCTGCGGCAGAGGTCGCAACCGGGTACCCGATACCCGTACTCTACCCGATACCCGGCTACCCGTACCCAGCCGGGTACGGGTACGGGTACCCGTTTGCGACCCTGGTGCGGCCGGGTACGGGTAAGGAATCAAAACCCGTTTGCGACCTCTGTCCTGCAGCTGCTGCAAAGGAGACACGCAGCGATATCCGTGACCGGCCCTAACCGTGTCTCACCACCTCCTCTTTGCTCTCCTCCTTGGTCGGCAGATTCGAGCAGACCGCTCCCATGTCTGTCTCTTACCACATTGACCCCCGTGACCTCTGATCAGGCCTTACCCTGCCATGACACGCACCGCATGCCGCGTGTCTCTCCCCAGAGCTTCTGCCTTGCTCATCCGCATCCCGCCACAACATTCTGAGCTTCTGACTTCAAGCGACACCCGCCTCAATATCCAGGCGAACGATTATGAAGCCGGTCTGTTGCTTCTCAAATGCCACGCGAAATTCAGCACTTTGGCACGTTTTGAAGGCAGCCTTAATAATAATGATGGATGGCGAGGTTTTTTATTTTTTGCCTTTTCACTACAGCCCAGGAGACACGACCTTAGTAAATATTTACAAGAGAAGAGCAGAGCCGTTTGCTTTTTGTCTGTGTGTGTGTGGGTTTAAAAGCTGCATTGCTTAATGGACTCCATGCCCCATCATTAAAGGGGGAGGGGGGGGGGGTAGAGCTGGGATGCCTACATTTCACATCGCCTGACGAAGCTGGTGGTTGGAATCACCAACGATACCTCGGAAAGCCACCAGTCCACCTCGTGGCACAGGAACAGATTTCAATCGACTGTACCAAGTCGATAAAGCTCACCGCCGGGGGTAACGCTTACCGCAGGGATGAGGGAGAAATGCATGAACCAAGCCATGTTTATGCTGGACTTGCAGGTCCTGTTGAATGGAAACATAAAAGAGAAATATATAAAGCCAACGAGGATGAGTTTCAGATTTAAACATTTCGGATTATTCTTTTTTTCGTGTAATTTTAAGGTCATGAAAAAATAATAGGGTTTACCCTTTCCGGCAAGAATACAGGTTGTTAAGGTGTTCAAACATCAAATAGACATCTATCGCAAGGCACCAAGTGTGCATTATCATCGTTAATTATCATCATCTTGATGCTGCCAAAAAAGGGTCCCATACTGTAGATATGTTAAGATCACTTGCATTATGTACCAATTTCAAATGTCAACATGCTAACAATAGTGATGTCACCCCATGGCACGTGACATGGCATGGGGGGCCTCGATCTATTGGTGGATTTATGATTTCTGGAATGGCACAAACCTGGTCCCATAAATAATAAAGAGTACCAAAGTTACAAGTTTGCCAGAGTAAAACGAAACGGACAATTTTCTACCTAAGGTTAATGTCCAAAATTATTTTCACAGATAATAAATATACCCATAATGCTTTGAAGAAGGGGCATTGCCTGATACGTGGTGATGATTATGATGCTTCTGATGCTAAAGATTATTGATATTTTGGCGCGAAACGCACGGAAGTGACATCGTGGAAGTGAGGTCATGATTTCGGATCAATGCAGAACTATTTTGGCCGCGAGGGTTTTAAAGGGGGCTCCCACGTTTAGCGAGCTGATGATGTCTGCTGGAGTAATTCCGCGATCCGTAATCAGATTACTTTTAAAATGTAGCTTTCCCAATAGTGTCCATGCCGTTAACGTAAATTCAAGATAAATGTGAGGGACTTAGGGCAGCTGGAAACAAATCTATTTTGTGTCTCTCTTTGGTTCTTTCGGTAAAGTCAGGTAGAAAGAAAATAAATTAAATAATATAATACGACGTTTCGATTGCAACACAAGCAATTGTCATCAGGCAGAACTAAATTTGAGAGAGAGACAAAACACAGACACGGAGACACACAGACAGACACACAAGCAGTGAGAGACAACACAGAGACACACAGAGAGAGACACACACAACATAAACACAGAGAGAGACACAACACAGAGACACACACAGAGAGAGAGACACACAACATAGACACTCCGAACCGATCTTGCTATCCGCCCCCCCTCCCCTCCACTACCCTGCACTGGCCAGGGTGGTGGTGGTGAAATATGGTCAAAACAACTCAACACGACTGACATGGGAGGGGGGGGGGCTTTATCCACGGGTAGACTGAGAATCATTAAAATTTTGGAATTGATAATTTTAATAGGGTGGCACAACAATGGTCAGTCGCAGCAGAGTACAGGTACACAGGTTAGACGCTTTCCGCAGAGCAATGGAAAGGATAATTCAACACGTAAATATTTCAGCACAAAATAATTATCGCAGATAGGCAATCTAACCAGTACTGCTACAAAGTAGCGCCATTTCCCGAAATGTGTTGATGATGATAATGCTGATGAGTGTATTCATTCAGATTATTCAGTGATCACTGCTTCTGCTGATGATGGTGGCAATGGTGATGATAATGCTTTTCTCGTAACTGAAGGTGATGACGGTGGTATTACTGATAGTATTGCTGCAACTGATGTTGATGATGATGGCATTTGTGGCATTAATGCTGCTGCTGCTGATTTCAATACCAATGTTTCCCCAAAAGCTATTTTTAAAATAGCACACTCACAAACTCCCCCGACATAACTTCCATATTTGTTTCCTATGAGGGCAGTGACTTGAAAAATGTGCGTCGATTCGGACAGAGGGAGTGGAACTTGGCATTCAGGGTTGCTGCAATATCATATTTGACACTATTAAACAATATCACACTTGAGTGTGTCGATTATCACAATTTTTCTATTTTTTCCCCCCACGACTCACCCATTGACACGACGGTCAATGGTACAGTGTATAATAACAAATAGTATAACATTTATATGCTTAATACAATGTACAAAGTAATATATAGTATCGTAATTATATAGTAAACATATAGCAGTGTGATACACATCAGGGTGGGTAGAATAATACATAGTGTTATATTAAAATGTATAAGGTGGTTTATAGCAATACAGTATATAATTTAATGTTGGGTTTATCTATGGCAGTACGGTGTATGCTCGTGTGATTTAAGAGAATAAAGTTTAGATGGAAGCATATTATATAATTTTTACGACGTAGAATTGTAATGTACTACTTGCTGTTAGTAACTCAGCTTATTGTAGAGTATAGTAAATATACTGATGGTGCTATGCAGTTTATACTTTAGTTTTTTATGTAGTTTATACTTTAGTTTTCTACGTGGTTGTTTAGTAACTGCAGCTACATACTATTAACATTCCTTTCCTTTGTTAATGCTACTCCCTGCACCCTCCCTTGGTGCTGCTGATCCTGCATAATGCATGGGCATAATATGACTTTGAAACCCCCCCGCCCACCTCCTACGCATTTCCCATGAATATGCTAAATTCCTCTTGATATGCACATTCTTTTGTTAAGGCTCTCTTCTTCTTCCACCTCCAACTCAGCTTATATATAAGCTCCTAGCTTGGCAGTGTCTCATTCTTCACCTGAAGACGGCTGCTTGCGTTGTAGCCGAAACGTCGTGAGAATTATTTTATTTTATTATGTTTTATTTTTATTATTTTATTACTTCCCTTCTACGTGACTTTACCGAAAGAACCAAGAAGATTATCACAATCTTGATTTGAAGCTTTCGTGACTGCAGGAATTACTTATTGGTTCTTTCAGTAAGGTCAGGTAGAACGAAAATAAATTAAATAATAGAATACGACGTTTCTATTGCAACTCGATTGATGACGACTGCTTGTGTTGCAATCGAAACGTCGTATTCTGTTATTTAATTTATATTCTTTCTACGTGACTTTACTGTTGTGTTTCCCCTGCTTTGCTGAATGTACTGCCAGCGTGAACATGGACACCTGAAACGTTATTCTAAGTGAAATTCCTTCAGAAGCCCGCATTCTGTAATCCTGTCGTTTGCGCTGCACAGGAATGCTTGCTCTGGAAAAGAGGGAATGACTCAGAGGGGTGAAAAATTGCACACTGGGTTTGTGGACGGGTTTACTTAAAAAGTGAGCGAACTAATTTTTTGTTCGTATGACATTTTTTGGGGGGTTAGATTGCGTAAATATAAAAGCATCGTTTTCAGGATCAGAATATTTATGTATACTGGAGGAATCCAATGATGTTAAGATGTTAACGGATGTTAAGTTACCAGCACTTGACACAGCCACTTAATAAAGGCTTGTCACGTGAACAAAATGTGCCAATTAGCTGTTACTTCAGCACATCAGTGTGGTGGCGCGTGGTGAGTTAACGACACATTTATAATTGCGCGATCTAACCCAAAAACTTTTACTATGAATATTACTGGTCGTGAAAGCCTTCAATTAATTGGTTGTTGTTGTTGTTTATTTCTGTGAATTCAATTGACTTCATTGTTTTACTTGTTTGTATTTGTATTGCTTTTGTCGTTTTGGTGACCCAGGTGACCTTTGCGAATTAAAATTCGCCCTCCCAAAAAGGTTGTCTTGAGCTCCCACCTGCTTTAACAAAACACGGTTAAAACTCGAAACCCCGAATGCACGAATGACAGAGGACTTTGTGAAGGTAATGTACAGTACGACCAAACCGCGCTCTTGTAATCTTCAAGAGATGCCCGCACAGAGATAGGGGCCGATTTTACGATGCCAGTTGGGCTCTGTGTGGTTGGGACACTGATGTTGGGTAATGCCACCCAGGCACAATTACACTGCTTGGTACGGGCGATCTTTGACTTTTACATTGCAGTCACATGGTGTTTGTTCTGCCAAAATACCGCAGAGATCATCACACACACACACCCCACACAAACAGGACACAAAAATAATTAACGGTGCTCCTATGTGTTCAGGTACAAAGGTGCACAGGCGCAAATACGGCGCTTTTGTAACCACCTTGATCAATAATACTGTCTTGCAGTGGGCAAAATGTACAAACTAAACTTTTTTTTATTTAACCACGTAAGACCCGCTGAGCTGAATGGCTCTTTTTCAGAAGCGACCTGGCGATGTCAAATGATACTGTAGCTCAACGAAGTGGCTCATCGTGTGGACATTTATATCAAGCCAAATACTTTGAACTCGTGATGTTGATTCCAAACGTGGAGGGAAAACCCGGAAGACCCGTAAAAAAAAACCACGCGACCACGGGGAGAGATAGAGACATGCATACTTCAAATATACAGCAGTTGGGATCGAACCCACGACCTCCTGTATAACAATATCGTAACTACTTCAGCACACCGGTGAGTTGGGGAGTAAACCCACAGCACTTTCCAGTTTCAGTACCGACCGCGACTTTGTAGCCAGTTATTACAACGGCCAGCTTCATCAGGCGATGCGCCACAATCCGTATACTGCGATGGATAACATTGGTGGTGAAAGCTTACGCGACGACATCGATTCGAAGTGTTTATAGAGACGTGGGTCTGAGCGGGAGAGCGGAAGAAGGGATAGCGACGGACGGCGGTCGAGGCCAATAACGGAGCGGCAGCCAAGGAATGGAACGCGTTCGGGATGGTGCCGTCCGCACCGCCGAGGAGGAGACGGAGCGATTTAAATCGACTCGCTTTCAGGAGTTGGTGGGGGGGGGGTGAGTTTTTCGAATACGGTTCAACAACAACAACAAAACTCAAAATTTCAAGAGTCGCTCAATGCAATGCTAATCCTCCGAGCCTAAATGCGTAACGTCACGCAGGGCTAGAGAGCCACATGCAGCTCTGGAGCCGTGCAGGGTGGGTTCGCTCCACGTCGCAGAACCGCGAGGGGTGGTGGCCACAACACGCGGTGACCATGGCTGCTGATAAATGATGATGCATGATTATGATCATGCATGATTATGATGATGATTATGTGTGTGTATGCGTTCCACTCACTGGTTCGTCTCGAACGGTTCCATTGTTGATTCCGTCTCGCCGTCTCCTCCAATTGGACAAACCAGTCGAATGTGCAATGCAGTTCCCTTCCCTGTTGAGCTCAGCGGTGGCGGTGGACAGAAACAGAAACGGCTGCTTTACGCCTGCGGATTCATTCTCAAACACGCAGCGGGGGTGGGTTGGTACGACTCTTGTCGCCTTGCGATGCCTGGATCGAGATCTCGTCCTGACGTAAGGGTCAGAGTCCATGCAGCACACACATACGGTCCTTGCATACACCCACCAAAGACGAAGATCCCCCGTACAGCCTTTACAGACCTTTGGAGCAAGTGCTGTACGGCAAGCGCTGTTAGCGAGCACCTATTAAGGCTGTACCGGCACGGCACACGTGGGGGAAGGTGGCCAGCACCGTGCCCGGCCGTCTTTGTCTCCCCAGCGGCAATGTTTACACAGATACTCGTTTGCGGCTGAGTCGACCTAGGGGAGCCCCAGGACCGGTTCAGATAATCGTCACGGGTGTTCACCGTGAACGGAAATCGAACTCGTGTCGCCGGGTTCGTAGCGCAGGGTGCTAACCACTGCGCCACCGCTCCCATACACCCACATGTACACACTAAGACAACGATCTCCCGTCTAGCCTACACTTGTGGCAAGTGCTATTGGCGAGAACATATGAAAGCCAAAGTGGCACACGAATTAGTGGTGTGTTCAACTTCCCAACACACATGCACATTCTACTTATCGCATATGTTGTCAAAACTGTATATCATGCCAATGCAGTATTCAAGCAATGACAAGCAGGACTTTATTACGGCTCTTCGCTGTACATAAATTCGCTCTCTCTTTCCCATGCTCCTACTCCCCTTCTTGTGATATGCCACGGGTAAAAAATATACCCGTAAAAACAACGTTTTTCACTATAAATCCTTTATATGCGTGGCGGCTAGAGTCCTCTCGTCCTCTGGCTTGAGATGGCTGCCACCTATGGGTCAGATGATTGCCTGCCACCATTAAGCAATTGGTAATTAAATATAATTTATTTTTTCCTAGAAAGTGTAAAATTTAGGAAAAAAATTTTCACGAAAATAAATTGTCACGCACAACGAGTCTGTGTGCAAAATGTCAGCTCGATTGGATCAAGGGAAGTGGGTTAAAAAACGACCGAAAGATTTGCATGGTCGTAAGCGCGCAAGCAAGCAAGTGAACTTAATATAAAGGATTTAAAATAAGTTATATCCAGTATTAATGAGAGGTTTTTAATCCATCAGCCCATTGGCTTTCCAGACCAACATCATCAAGCAGCACTGGTTTAATTAAGAAGACGGTGGATTAGTTTCAACCGTCTGGGTCTCATCAGCAGTCAAGACTTTGTTAAACAACTGCTGCTGGATTGCCAGATGCTGTTGGCAAGAGCACCCCATATAATAAAGCATTGAATTAAATGGCCAGTGTACGCCAACGTGTGTGGAACATAGTAGTACATGTGTAGGACTCTTACTGGCGCGACAACGTCTTTGTCTTTCTCGTTCCTTTTATTCCGCATATAGTCCACATCTGTGACAGCATCACTCAATGTTCCTCCATGCTCTTCAATGCACAACTCTCCATCTCTCTCTCCACCCAGGTCCGTTACTCCGCTTCTTTGCTACGCTGTACTTGCTCCGTCCTTGCTACTCTCTGCTTCGCTACGCTGTACTTGCTCCGTCCTTGCTACTCTGTCCGTACTCTATATATCCACTGTTACCGTATACTGTATTCTCTTTGTCCACTGCTACCTTATACTATCCACTCTTATCCACTGCTACCTTATACTATACATCCTTGTCCAGGCACCAACTCCAACGCTAACTCCAACTGCGACTCCAACCCTAACAATGACTCCCGTAATTCCATACGCTCACTGCCTTTATCCCCGAACCAATCAGCCCCAATTAATTATGTCATCCCCCGCTTCGCTACTCGCCCCCAGGCCAACGCCAGTCATCAATCACTCACCCTCTCGACCAATCACCGGCCTGCGTCCTCAGTTACCCTTAACACCTGTGGCGTCTCTTATGACCTCACCCCTTAATTGGCGCAACAACTGTATATCCTCAGTTGCCCCCACTGTCCGCTGGACGCTCGCATCGCAACCAAACGCGTGGCGCATGTAATTTCAAGTCCTACACATACTACACTGAGATGGACTGTTGCCTAGGGGTTATCTTCGAAGAGATAGGGCCTTCGATGTGGTGTGAGTGCATGGGTGTATATATATATAGGCGTGTATGTCGAGATGTGTAGGTATGTACGTTGAACTTCTTTCGCATCCTATGTAGCCAACCGTGCTAATCGGAGGTGCGGATGTGGGTATGTATGTTCAGCGGGGATCGGCACCGCCGTGGTTTAGCGCACTCCACTATAAGATGGGCGGTGACCTGAGTTCAAATACCGCTCATGGTCCAACGTCAGTGGAGAATATCTGAACCGGTCCAGCGCCTCGCCTTGGGTTGGCTAAGCTTCGAATGAGTACTCGGTGCGGCGTGAAAACATCAGCACTGGGGAGACAAAGGCGGCTGGGTGTAGCGCTGACCACACCACACCCTCGTGCGACGTTCCAGCAGCCTGCACCCCGTGTGTGTGGTGTAGGCTACCTGGGAATCTTAGTCCTCGTATTCATGTCTATTGGGGTATATGTGTGTGTACATATGGGTTCGTTGGTTTGTCTTTGTGTGTATATTTGTGTGTGGGTATGTATTTGGACTTCTCCGCATCCATCTCCTCCATCAGGGGTGGCCAACCTGTATCAGACCAAGAGCTGAAAAGTACCCATGAGTTCTGCAAAAAGCCAATTTGTATACAGTAGACTTTCAATTATCCACGTGCGGTTTATCCGATTTGCGGATTAACCACGCACACCTGAGATTTTGGTATAAAGTAATAACTCATGGATTTCCCCTTAAGCCCAAATCGATAATTTAAAAAGCAGTAATACATTGTTCTTCTTTGAAATGTTTATGACAAGTCACGTGTTGTAACCGAATAAATGTGCTCCGGTTAATCCAAAATCCGCGTGATCACATCCACAGTACAGTAGTTGCAATATCTTACAACAGTGGGCGGAGTTTGGTTGATGTTGATTGGCGTGGCTCTGCTGTCATCTCCTGAGTGGGCCGAGCCTTTTGCGCGGGAGCAAGAAAGTGTTATTGTCACTGAGCATCGATCGGTCAATCGTTAGTTGTTGGCATATAGATCGTCGGAAAATGAATGTTTTGGATTATCCCGTCATTAGCGCCGATAATCCAGAGTCTACTGTGTGTATATACGTGTATGTATTGACAATTGTTTTGGCACATCACGGGAGACATGAATAATTATTTGCTACTACTTCGAGAGTACGTTCTACGTTATGCCCTTTCGATAAGATCCGCACGTGGTGGATTAAAAAGCCACATGCGGCTCAGGAGACGCCAGTTGGCCACTGCTGTGACCTAAACAGGGACTCCTCTACTTACGAGCATTCGACTTACGAACTTTCAGAGATACAAATAAACCTATATTCGTTGGGTCTTTAAATAACAAAATAACAAAAAACTACGACGTTTCGATCGCAACACAAGCGTTCGTCATCATCAGGATTAATGTTTGTTATTTTTTTTTAACCTATCTACGTGACTTTACCGAAAGACACAGGGAATATGAATTCCTGCAGTCACGACAGCTTCAAGTCAACAAAGAAACCTGTCCGTATGTCCAGATGCCTGTTCGGACTGAGAGTCGTAGTTCAACCGTCGCGCAATAGATGGCGGTGGTGGCATCGACATCTGCAGAATGTGAAGAACCAGTGGGCATCTACAGGAGATTATACAACTTTTAAAGCCATTCCCCGTGTTTCGTGTACACGCCGTACATGTTCGGAATCGACAAGAGCAAATTATAGTAATAGGTTTTTACCCTTTCAACTGGTACAAAAACTGACACCTTTATACAAGGGATCATGTTTGCAATAACCACAACACAAGCAGTCAAAATGCAAACAAAAAGAAACAACTCTGATAACTGTCCTTGAAGTTGATTGGTCCACACCCGAGACAGCTTTTCTTAGAGCCTAGTCTCCATTGGTGTTGGACCAGATGACGCCAAAAGGCGTACAACTCAAAAACAGCGCACTATCAGAGTAGTGAGAGCCTTTTGGCGTCATCTGGTCCAACACCATTGGAGACTAGGCTCTAAGAAAAGGTGTCTCGGGTGTGGACCAATTCATCTTCAAGGACAGTGCATATCATTATCAGAGTTGTTTCTTTTTGTTTGTATTTTGACTGCTTGAGTTGTGGTTATTGCAAACATGATCCCTTGTATAAAGGTGTCAGTTTTTGTACCAGTTGAAAGGGTTAAAACCTATTACTATATTTTGCCACTGGTAAAGGAGGTCTCATAGTGACAAGAGTAAAGTTGAACAAGTCGACTTCCGAACAGAGCTCTCGAACCTAATTCGTTCGTAAGTAGAGGAGTCCCTGTATTCTTGATTTCTTTTTAAAGAGGTGTTCATTCCTGTCAAGTCCTTGCCAGCTGCGAACCCCAAACGACTCTCATCTCTCTCGACGCTCACTCACAATGGCAAACGTGCCCAATCATCGCGCTTGTCTCCAACCTACGATTGCACTCGGGCCGACCTTTGCGATGTTGCAACGCGACTTTAATCCCTTCCCACCCCCCGTCTCAGTTCAGAGAATGTTGCATTCCAACATCGTGACGGCGAAACGACCTCGCCCTGGCGGAAGAAGCCCAGAGTGGGCCACATCGCAGTCAACAAACTCACCGCAGTCAGGGGCCATCCATTTAGAACGTACGCATGGAGGGGGGAGGGGGCGGTTAACCCAAATGCGTGCCGCTTGCGTATGGGGGGTCTACTGACAATCTACATACGCATAGGAAACGGGGGGGGAGGGGGGTGAAGCCTAATTTGTCTACATTGGCCTTCAAATGAGTTAGATAGTCCGGCGATGGACTATCTGTTTGCTTAAACAGGTTAATATCATTAATCCTTGATCGTTTCTGCGTGGATTAAATATCGGCCGTTCTATAGGTTTTGGGGGGGGGGGGTGCATCAAGCGGTGGGGGGGGGGGGGGTAAAGAGTACGCGTGCGGAACAGGGAGGGGGAAGGGGTCAAGTTTTGACAGATTTTTTGCGGAACGTACCTACTAAATGGATGGCCCCTAAGCGTCGTTGTATTCACAGCACCCAGGCGCGGTTCGTCCACTAGGGGGCGATGGTAAATAATTTTTGTAATTATAAAATACTTTTCTATAAATTGTTTTGTTGTGTTTCAAATTTAGCTTTTAAATATAACGATTCTTTGAACGTGAATTGCACAATGAAGATAACATTTTAAGTCTGATTTGTGCCTCGGGGAGGTCTCGGGCGGCTGTGAAGGCGTCCGAGTGAGAGATTTCCCCTTCGGTCATCGCGATCAGCTTCGCATTTTAGCCACGCCATTTGAGACCCATTTAGGGCGGCGAAAAAGGCGCCCGTGGCTGTCGTGAGACGATGTCACGACGCGAGAGGTTGCACTGTGCAAATGTAGCAGCTCACGGCTTTTGGCAGTGTCAAAAGGGTCGTGCGGTGTGGACTTGAGGGTCACGGGGACAGCATTTGGGTGCGTTGTTGTTTTGTTGTCGTATGTTTGTAAATGCCTACCGTTGGTAGATAAGACATTTGTATCACTTTCTCGGGAAGACCAATCACACGACGAGATTTTTCAACGGTTTTACTTAACTTGACTCCTATGTTTGTCGTGGTCAAATCTTGTAATCAAAATTTAGTCTACTTCCTGTTGTCCAATCAATTCCAAATTTTGCACAGGTACTCAGATTCGGTGACAATGCATGCCTGTGTAGTGACATATGACGTCACTACTGTGTCGGCCCGTACGAGGGCTGGGGGCCCCAAGGGGGTGCCTGGGGGGTCACGTGGTGGAGGGATCCGGACCTTCCCAGAGGTGGGGGAAGGGAGGCGTGGCCTGGGAAGGGAGGCGTGGCCTGGACAGAGCCAGCCACGCCTGGGCGGAGCCGGCCACGCCAAAGCAGATATAAGCGTGGTGTGAACGCAGAGCGAGGCTGTTGTACTGTACTCCAAAGTGAAGACATCATCGGTCGTCAAGTCCCGAGTCGTCGTCGTCCTGGACCAGGCAGGCCGTTGCCTGCCTGGTCCAGTCTGTGTCGCGTTCCAGAGTGTTAGTGAGTGGGGAAGGTGGTCACCACCTCATGTACAGTGTTATATTACTTACCGTTTAATAAAGTGTTGCCTCCAAGCTGCGTGTGTGTGCACCTAATTCAAACCCACTACACCTGTATCAGCTCACTTCCGCCACGCTCCTTCCGAATCGCTCCCTCACTTCTATTCTGTTAAGGATTTATATTCGCCACGCCCTTTCCAGGGCACTTTACACACAAGGGGGCAAAAGGAGAGCAACGGGTGGGGGTGGAGCGGCTGTCAGGGAGGGAGGTGACGGAAGGGATGGAGGGACAGGGACTGGGAATGGAGCTGCTGACGTTGCAGGGGTAGTGAAAGAGGAATATGGTGGAGTGCGATGGTGAATGAGGGTGACAGATGGGTGCAACGTGGACGAGAGGCAGCATCAGCCTCTCAACTCCGACATCTTGGGCCTGGTCATTCATTCCTTCTCCCCCTCCTTTCCCTGCTTTGCCTCGTCGTTCCTGATTCCTTCCTGCTGCTTATCTGGAGCCGTGCTGCTTTTTGACTGTCTTGGGGACTTCCGTTCCGGCATCCCTTCTCTCTCCCGGTCCATGTGCCCCCCCCCCTCGTCTGGTGCCCCCTTTTGTACGACTGAGTCTACTCCACTTCCTGCGGTGGCGCTACTGCTGCGGATAAACAGTTTTTATGACACGCTTTCTTTTAACTCACTCTGTCTGTTGTTGTTGTCGTTGTTGTTGTTGAATCCTCAAATCTTGTAACTCGATTTTAACCCAATTCCCAATGTGGTATCGACTGCAAACTTGGTATATTTATGTCATACTGATGACAATACTATATTCTATCATAAAAATGTATATTTTTTAACATTCTTTTTGATATGTTATGTTTCGGCTTGGGTCTCATTGTCCACGGTAAACTGACGTTGGCTGTAAATGACCACGGTCCTTTACGTTATTTTTATTGTTTTCCACATCTACGGGGCACTAAAATGCACTGAGGTGCCACCTCGGATCTCCTGTCAGTGACAGCCGACCGGCGTTATACCCTCGTACGCAATGCTGGGTTTTCATGAGAAGACGCGTTTAGTAAAAAGGAGAAATGTTCACGGAGACGGCGGATGCAGAGTTTAAAATAAACTAAAACTATAAACTATTCTTATTTTATCGGGTAAGGCCCACTGAGTTATATAGCTAATTTTCAGAAGCGATCTGGCTATCACAAATGATAGTTCAACGAGGTGGCTTATCTGTGTAAATGTATAGCAGCCAAATACTTGAACGGCATGTTGTGGAGGAAAAATCCGGAGAATCGGGATCGAACCCACGACCTCCTGTATACCAGGAGAGGGAGTTAACATCTCGCCAACGCGCTGCCCTTTTTATTTTTTGAGTGCACAGAATTCTGCCAAACGATCGGGGATAGACTGAGAAGGGCAATCGGAGGGCACGAGACAAACACACGCGAAGGGATCCACGCAAACAGTGGGAGCGTGAAGGCAGCAGACAGGAGGTTTGCTGATTGACAATCGCAGATTGTTGCCCCCAGGGAGAGATATGGAGGCATAACTCACGATAAAGATGTAAGGGTCGACTCAGCCCATCATCCTGCGTTCTGTAAAATAGAATGTTCTCCTATAACGCCGCGTGTTGTTTTCATAACGCGAATTGGATACAACGCGACGATGAATGTATAGTGGAACACTTTTTTTCATAACGCGGAATGCGAATTGGATATAACGCGATCGAGCGAACGAGACTACGTCACAGCGCGAGTAAGAATGAGTGGTTGTGCGCCTCGGTCTTAGTTCAGCATGCGTACGCATCTCGCGTGTTATCGCGGACCGCACTTTATCCCTATATTATTAATTATTATAACACGGGTGTCTCCATAACGCGGTGTTCTTCAGGAACGCGACAAATACTACCGCGTTGTCGGAGAACAGGCCGTACGCACCGTGTGCGGTTCTGGTATAGAAAGAATGGCCCCTAAGTTTGTGATTCGCGAATTGCCCCGTTGACTCTGGGTCACCGACAGCGATGAGTCCCCACACAGCTGCAATCGGGGCAGCGTGGTTGTCTGTCACGCTGCCCCGACGTTTCCTTAAAACAATTTGCTGAGAACTTCTTCATTATTCATAATAATTTAATGATGTGTAATTTTTATCATTTGAATTAATAATCGTTATAAACAAATGTTAAATAATTAATAATAAATGTATTTTTTCGTTAAATTATAATTATTAAATCATTATAATTATTATCAATAGTACTGTTATAATTATAATTAGTAATCATTATAATAACTATCATACTAAAATACACAAACAAACTATATACACGATGTTTATATTATAATAACTAATGAGTAATTATTAATTATGACTAATGATTAATAATAATTATATCATTATTTGTTATAGTATAATTATAGTTACAATATAATATCATTACTAGCAATTATATAATAATTATATCAATAATGACATAATATACTCGTTATTACTCATTATAACTATAATATAATTGTTATTACACAAATATTAATTACATAATAATTATTCTTGGTTCTTTCGGTACGTGACTTTACCGAAATAAACAAAAATATGAATCCCTGCAGTCACGAAAGCTTTAAATAAAAAAAAACATAATTCTTATACTAAAACAATTATTATCGAATTAATCATGCCCTTTCAGACCGAAATCAATAAGATGAAATAACGAGACAAGCGGGAGAAGGTTGGAGTGCTCACGAAATTATTTGTATTTAGAACGTTAATAGTTGGTGAATACCACCATCATTCAGAAACGTGATCACTAACAACAACACGGAATAACAAATTGAAGAGTGCGCACAGAGGCGGGGATAAATGCACGCTCGGAATTACATTTCGAGACTGCAAGAGGAGCACGCGGATGAGAGAACGTACCGCAGGTGGCATCATCCATGCGATGTATGTATGGTGCTCATCGATTGCAAGCAGGTGGTCGTGGGCAGGACACGTCACAAACAGTGGTAGACAACAACAACAACAGGGTGGCAGCCAATGAATGGGGTACGTTCCGAAGGCTACGACCGCAGTGAAGACGGAGCGATGAAACCAGCTCGTGTGCAGGTGCTAGGTGGCTTATTACACTCGCAAGATCGGCGGCCTCTGTGGAAGAGGATGCTCGCGAAGGACAACTACTGGGGAGCAACAAAACTGACACCTTTTTACAAGGAGTCATGTTTGCATAGACCGCAATACCTGCAGTCATAATACAAACAAAAGACATAACTCTGATAATGTGCACTATCCCTGAAGTTGATTGGTCCACACCCGAGACAGCTTTCCTTAGAGCCTAGTCTCACATGGGTTGGACCAGATGACGCCAAAAAGCGCACAACTCAAAGACAATGCACCATCAGAGTATGAGAGCTCGGGGCAAGCATCTACACTATAGGAACCTCATTTGCCAGTAAAAATATGATAATTGGTCTTGTTAAAAGGTGTCAGTTTTGTTGCCAGATAGAAGGGTAAAAAACCAATAATCATATTTTTACTGGCAAATGAGGTTCCCATAGTACTGGGGAGTTGGCGGCAGTCGCCCTTCAGCAACAACGCGGAGGGCAGATGACAACGGGCAGTGCGCCGGGTGGTGCATCGGCCAGTCACTGGATGTCTCACTTGCACAGCCACCGTTGCGGTAGTTCTCTTACATTGGCATGCTACTCTCAATGCAATGGCAACCTCCACAGCTGCGTCGTCGTGGAGGTAGCTCAGCTCTCCGATCTTACATTTACATGCAAATTCCATCTCTAGACCCGTCCACTTACCCTTGGGCTTAACCCATCTCAAATCTCCATATTATCCTGCTTCAGCAGCTCTGCTGCTATGTTTTTTCACCTGGTGACGATTGCTTGTGATGCGATCAAAACGTCGTGATATCTATTTATTTATTTATTTTCGATCTACGTGGCTTTACCAAAAGACCTAAAGAATTCCTGCAGTCAAGGAAGCTTAAAGTCAATATTTATACAGTAGAGTTTCCCGCATTTGGGGAAATCGGAGGAGTCAACACACCCGCAGTGCAATTGGATGAGCCTCGTCCTGAAAGGATCCCATAAGTGATCATGGTGCCACCCCTGTCAGGTAAGTATGAGTTGGGTTGCTCCCACTATCCCTATACGAATTAGAACCCTGTACCTTTACTTTATGGGCACTTCAAAAGCTTTAACGTATGAATTCCTGCAGTCACGAAAGTTTTAAGCCCAGCTTCTACGTGGCTGTAATGAAAAAAGTTTCATAAGTGAATGGATGTTATATATGAAAACTATATGAATAAAACTCTAAATTGTAAACACGACAGACAGACAAATAATCCCTGGTGGGCAGTGTGGAACTGTTGTTCCTACCTGTAAAATGCTAATGGAGGGGTGTCCATTTGGAGGACGTCACATGTTCATGATTATTAATGAGGGGGGGGGGGTGCGACATGTGGAGTGACGTCACCCACTCATGATTATTAATGACGGGGGATCCATGTGTTTGACGTCACCTGGTCATGATTATTAATGAGGGGGCCTGGCCGACGTGGAGTGTCGTCCCGTGAGGAACGCAAAGACATTCTTGACTCATTATAGTAGTAACTCGTTTAACGATGGCAACGGTCTGTTCTGGCTAAATGCATTCTCAAAAAATAATGACCTTCCCCATGAGCGCTCCTGCAAACAATCTTTTGCATGTTATAATGTGACAAAAATATATATCATTTTTTTTATTATTATCGGAGGATAGCGCGAACGCAGTCCCCCAGTACCACAAATTACACAGTCGAGTTTCCCGCATTTGGGGAAATCGCAGGGGTCAACCCACCCGCAGTGCAATGGATGAGCCTCGCCCTGGGAGGACCACCTAAGTGATCATGGTGCCGCCCCTGTCAGGTAAGTATGAGTTGGGCTGCTCCCACTATCCCTATACGAACCAGAAACCTGTACCTTTACTCTATGGGCCCTTCAAAGGCTTTCACGTATTCTATGGTTCTTTCGGTAAAGACCCAGAAATATTAATTCCTGCAGTCACGAAAGTCTAAAGCCCAGCTTTTACGTGGCTGTAATGAAAAAAAAGTTAAATAAATGAATGGATGTTATTATTATTTTTATTAATGAGGGGGGCTGTTCGATGTGGACTGACGTCACCTGCTCATGATTATTAATGAGATGAGGGGGGTGCTACATGTAGAGTGACGTCAACCGCTCATGATTATTAATGACAGGGGTCCATGTGGAGGACGTCACCTGTTTATGATTATTAATGAGGGGGGCTGGCCGACGTGGAGTGACGTCACGCGCGGGACACACAGACATCTATTACATTTTCAAGAGGAGGGTCCCACATTGGAATTTTCTTCAAAATAAAGATTTTTTTGGGTAAGATCGCGATCTAACCCAAACACCTTCATTATGAATAATATTGGTCGCGAAAGCCTACGTGTTAAATTGGAATGTTTGTTCGCGCCTTTTCAAAAGCGCTTTTACCAATGTTGCCTGTGCCCTGCTCGTTAGTTTAAGCTCGCCTTGGTAAACACGGGGCGGCAAACACATCCCTCAAAGGGCGGCCTTGAAACATCCAGCCACATCTCGCCCGAGAACAATAAAACATTCCTCTGGATTTCCCGAGGAAATGTTTTCCATCTCTTATCTTATCTCAGTATCTCAGCTACCTCCCCCCACCTCACCTCCACAATCTTCCCTTCCCCTTTATAAACATTTTTTTTACCCAGAATTCTGACTCGGTAATAAATTGTCTCGTTCCACCGAGAGAGAGAGAGAGGCTGCTCGTTTTGTTAAGTCGCTGTGCAGTTGGTTCCAAATATTCTCAATACCAGTTTGAGTTCAAATCCTGCGCGCGGGCGTGTGTGTGTGTGGTAGTGCCGTGCCGTCCAGAGTCTTCAGAACGATGTTCACCATGGGAAAATGTATCCTGGTCTCATGCCTCATTTGGATGGTGGTATTGAAGGTAACGTATGGTGCTTTAAAAATAGATGCTGTATTTGAGTTGTGTAATGGCCGCAAATATGTATTTTATCTATAAAATATACAATTTGGAGTGTTGGACCTACTGTGTGTAAACTATAGACATTATAAACTATTTTTTATTTTACCAGGTAAGGCCCTCTGAGCTATATGGCTCTTACCTGGTCACAAAAGATAGCTAAACGAAGTGGCTTATGTGGAAATGTATAGCAGACAAATACTCTAAAAGAATGTTGATTCTAAATGTGCAGGCATAATCCGGAACACCCGGAGAAAAAATCAACGAAATCACGGGGAGAGAGAAACACGCAAACTCCAAATATACAGGCGTCAGGGTCGGGATTGAAACCACGACCTCCTGTATACCAGGCGAGGTAGTTAACATCTCGCCATCGTGGCGCCCGTGTGCTTACTGAACCCGGCCGCCTGAGTTCGATTCCCACCCACGGCTCACATCAGTGGTGAGTGACAATTATCCGAACCGTTGCTCAGTCTCCCGCTTCATAACTAACATCCCACTGACCAGCGTGGTGAAGTATGGCTCAACAACTCCCGTAACCGGCAGCTTGGGTAAGCCTCTCTATCCAGCAGTGGATTAAAAATATCACTGTACTTTATTACTAATTAAACTTTTAATTTAATTATCTCAATTACAACTAGCCAACAATGTATCGCGTTCATTTCAGTTACAGACTGTACCGAAAATCATCATTGATAACTGCATCTCGCCTGGCCTACCCGAGGTCGACTCAGCCGCAAACGAGTTAGTGACGGCCTGGCCAATCGCAGCACTAGGGAGATAAATGTTGTTTGGGAATGCCTCTGGCCACACCGCAGCTAACTTTCATAGGAGCTTGCTCACAACACCTGACATGTTATATGAAGCATGCACGCTGTGAATCTTCGTGGTTGTGTGTGTGTCTTTGTGTGTCTGGTGAGCGGTGGCGCAGCGGTTAGCGCACTGCGCCATGAACCCGGCGAACTGAGTTCGATTCCCGCTCACGGTCAACATCGGTGACGAATATCTGAACCGGTCCTGGGCCTCCCCTTGGTCGACTCAGCCTTAAATTAGTATCTGATGCGGTGTTTGTTAAACATCGACACTGGGGGAGACATAGGTGGACGCGCCTGGTGCTGGCCACCCATCCCCTCGTGTGCCGTCCGGCCTCCATAGGTGCTCGCTAACATCACTAGCCCCAAAAGTATGTTAAGGTTATACGGGGGGGTCTTTGTCTTTGTGCAGGTAAAGGTATTCGGGCGTGGTGCTGGCCACCTACCCCCTCGTGTGCCGTGCCGGCCTCCATAGATGTTTGCCAACAGCACTTCCTCCAAGCCGGGGGGACCTTTGTGTTTGCAGGTCGAGGCATCATGGGCCCCACGTGTGAATGCATCCCAAGCGCAGGACGGGATGTGCCAATGCACGGTCCTCGTGGCTGACTCCGTCTTCCCAGCCGATCGTGTCGAGTCTCTGCAAGAGACTTCACGGACTCTGGCTTTACGCGTGGAGGCGCAGGCTCAGAAGGTGCGTGCTTCAGTGGGGTACAATCACGCGTGGGGGTTGGACAGATCATTCTCATCTGCAGCGAACCGGCCTGGAACAAGCTTGCCGCACACTTGACTCCATCATTCTATTCGAAGTCACAGTAACAACAATGCGCTTGCATACAACAACTCACACCGTACGTAGCCAACCGCGCTAATCGGAGGTGCGGGGGAAGGACAACAAACTAAACACAAAAAGCAGTTCTAAAGAAATTAGTTTTAATCGAGATGATGATTGAAAAGGGCACAGCTCCCAGTGGCTATCGGAAGCAATAGCGTTCTGGACGGCCGCAGAAGCACATCTCAAAGCACGCGATGTGGTGACCACCGCCTTTGTTTGATGGCCAGCCAAAAGCCGCTGCTGGGAGGATAACCACCGAAGTTCGCGTGATGATTGATGGTTTACGCTCCTTGATGAGATCAGCAAGGCATTGTGTGCTGCTGGGAGCTTCAGCAAACCGAGAGCATGAAACGTCGGACATCATGCCGAACAAGACTCGGCACAACCCGAAAACACACTGGGGAGCAACGCAGCACCCGAAGGAAAATCCACGCCTGCAAAGGGGAAACGCTATGCTATATCAACGATGAGATCCATTTTGATGCCTCGTGATGGCTGTCTACCTGTGTTTATTTGGTGATTGAACAACTTAGCGCCTGTGTACGACTTCCACGACGACTGTTGTCAGAGTGCTTCTTAATTCACTGTTGTACTGCACAGCTCCGATCCTTCCCTCTCCGGGTGAGTTCCCTTCTACAATGCCATGGACGAGACGTCTCTCTCTCTCTCTGGTCCACCCGCGAGGCTTGCTCCGCTCTCCCGGTCTCGCCGTTGGCTGGCGGCGTGCCGGAGAGAAGGGCGAGCTTCACTGGCGAACGCGGACACGTGGCCGGTGGCGAAGAGAGGAGATGACGAGCAGCGATGCAGTCCAGACCCCAGGCTCCCCACACCGACCAGGAGTCCTCCCCTGCCCTTGCTTACAGGGAGGGAAAAAAGCATTTGATCCCCTACTGATTTTGTACGTTTGCCCACTGACAAAGTCTATAATTTAAATGGTAGGTTTATTTTAACAGTGAGAGAGAGAATAACAAAAACAAAATCCAGAAAAACGCATGTCAAAAATGTTAGAAATTGATTTGCATTTTAATGAGAGAAATAAGTATTTGATCCCCTCTCAATCAGAAAGATTTCTGGCTCCCAGGTGTCTTTTATACAGGTAACAAGCTGAGATTAGGAGCACTCCCTTTAAGAGTGTGCTCCTAATCTCAGCTCGTTACCTGTATAAAAGACACCTGTTCACAGAAGCAATCAATCAATCAGATTCCAAATTCTCCACCATGGCCAATTAAAATGCAAATCAATTTATAACATTTTTGACATGCGTTTTTCTGGATTTTTTGGTTGTTATTCTCTCTCACTGTTCAAATAAACCTACCATTAAAATTATAGACTGATCATTTTTTGTGTCAGTGGGCAAACGTACAAAATCAGCAGGGGATCAAATACTTTTTTCCTTCACTGTATGTTCTCCCCGGCGGAGCTAGGCTCTGCCTCTAGCCACGCCTCCTCGAGGAACCTTCCCGATGGTTCCCGAAGCATTCCACTTGACTCCGCCCATCACCTTTGGCCCAGATGTTATTCCCTCTTAGGATTGGATGCCGATGACGTAATAGTGCCCTCTGGTACCCACTGGATGGCGCTCTCTCACTACACCTGTATTCTTGCCGGCGAAGGGTAAAGCCTACAAAAATAATGTAGTCAACACTATGCCATATCAGACAGACAGACATAACTAGTTAATTATTAATTGAAACGAACTATTATTATAGCCAATATTCTTAATTATTATAGGCGGAGTTCCGTATTGTTTTTGCTCTACCACGGTCTCGTGGCGAGGCAGGGGTACGCCACCTTCTCGATGCCCACGGGGGGAGGGAGCTTCGCAACAGAATTAGAATCTCGATTTAAACGACAAGGAGAAAGAATCCGATGAGCTATGAAGCTCTTCACAGATGTCCAGTAGGGGCACGGAGTCAGAACGTAACAGCGACTAGCAATAACAAAAACACGATAGGAGTGCAAAAGTATAGGAAAGGTAAACAAATCTCCTTAATAAAAACTAACAAATACTACTAAACTACTCTTTGGTTCTTTCGGTAAGGCCACGTAGAAAAAAATAAGTTAAATAATAGAATACGAGGTTTCGATTGCAACACAAGCAATCGTCATCAGGTAGAACTAAATTTGAGAGAGAGACACACAGACAGACACACAAGCAGAGAGAGAGACAACACAGAGACACACAGAGAGAGACACTGTGGCAAAAGAATCCCAATCATTGCGTCCCGCCTCCCGATGATGAGCACGTGTTGGCTACGTACGGTGCGAAAGAAGTCCGACGTACAGGGACTCCTCTACTTACGAACGAGTTAGGTTCCAGGGGTTTGTTAGTAAGTCGATTTGTTCGTAAGTCCAACTTTACTCCCGTCGATTCTGAACATGTTGTACAGCATGTACACTAAACACGAGGAATGGCTTTAAAAGTTGTATAATCTCTTGTAGATGTAGATGCCACTTGTTCTTCATGTTCTACAGATGTAGATTCCACAACCGCCATCTATTGCGCGGCGGTTAAACTTACGACTCTCGGTCCAAACAGGCAAATGGAGATACGGACAGGTTTGTTCGTATCTCTGAAAGTTCGTAAGTCGAATGCTCGTAAGTAGATGAGTCCCCGTACCTGCATTTCTCTGAAGTTAAGCAGCATTTGAGCCTGGATAGAGCTTGGAAAGGTTTGCTATCGGCTGCTGCGGGGCTGCATGGTGGGCAGCAGTGGGATGTGCCAATGTGTTGATGTCGCCCGACTTGCATGTCACTCGTACGATGATGACGACGACGACGACAACGTTCCATGTAAACAGCTGCAGCACATGGAGGCGACCGTGTCGCTGTACGCGGTGAGACTCGCCAACTTGACCCGGAGGCTCGAGAGCTCCTTCCTCGGCGACGTCTCCATCACGGAGCTCGACTTTGAGCTGCTGCGGGCCGAGGTGAAGGAGATGGAGTTGCTCATCCTGGAGCTCAAGTCGACGATGGCCGTCAGCAATCCCGTCCTGGAGATCCTCCTGGAAGAGGTAACGAGACCCAACGCAGCAGCAGCAGCAGCGGCAAACGACGACAACTTGAATGTTGTATACCGTCGAAATGAAAATCGTGTCTCAAGGTGCCTTACACAAAAACAAGTATAACCTGTAAAAACAAAGTTTTTCACCATAAATCCTTTATATGCGTGGCGGCTAGAGTCCTCTCGTCCTCTGGCTTGAAATGGCTGCCACCTATGGGTCAGATGATTGCATTGCACCATTAAGCAATTGGTAATTAAATATATTTTTGTCCTAAAAAGTGTAAAATTTTGGAATTTTCTTTTTCAGGAACATTAATTGTCACGCACAACGAGTCTGTGTGGAAAATGTCAGCTCGATTGGATCATGGGAAGTGGGTTAAAAAACGACCGAAAGATTTGCACGGTCGTAAGCAAGCAAGCGAACTTAATATAAAGGATTTAAAAAAACCAAATCTTAACCTTTATACAGATTTATATAGCAGCGCCTTCATAGAAAGCACGTTATAACAATGAATACATTGTGCATGAGATGGTAGTGGTTGTAATGACGAGTGGTGTAGTTACGGTGGTGTGATGGTCGCTGGGTTCTCAGTGCCACTGGGTGTGGTGAGTTCACATGCCTGGTGACAAGGTGTCTGTTTGTGTCTATTTGGTGACTGAACATCTTAGCACCCACAATAGAGGTTGTTTTGGGTTTAGATCGCGTAAATATAGAAATGTGTCGTTGCAACCCGCCACCACCCAACACGGCCAATTTAGTAAGATTTGGCACGTAAACAGAATGTGCCAATTCGTCACTAGTACAGCACACCGGTTGTGTGTTGGAGAGCCAAGCCACAACATTTACAATCTGAGTACGACGTTTCGCCAGTAATTACAACTAGCTTCATCAGGCGACAGTCAGATTTGTGGAGAAGTCCTCCTGTTTTAATCTTAACACCTGTATTCTGGCCAGGAAGGGTAAAGCCTAACACTATGCCATACAGACCGACAGAACGGGTTAATAATTCATTGAAGTAAGCGATGAATGTACAATATTATTAATTATAGGCGGAGTACCATATTGTTTTTGCTCTATCGCCTTCTCGTGGCGAGGCAGGGCGACACCCACGGGGGGAGGGAACTTCACAACAGAATCAGAATCTCGATTTAGACGACAGGAACAGGAATCCGATGAGCTATGAAGCTCTTTCTTCACAGATGTCCAGTACGGGCACGGGGTCAGAAGGTTCCAGCAACAAGCAATAAGAAAAACACGATATGAGTGCAAAAGTGTTGGAAATGTAACAAAAATCTATTTTTAAACAAACAAATACACATTCTTAGTTCTTTCGGTAAAGTCACGTAGGTAAAAAATGAAATTAATAAAAATGAAACAATAATAAGTATAACCCGTAAAAACAAAGTTTTTCACTATAAATCCTTTATATGCGTGGCGGCTAGAGTCCTCTCGTCATCTGGCTTGAGATGGCTGCCACCTATGGGTCAGATGATTGTCTGCCAGTATTAAGCAATTGGTAATAAAATATTTAATTTGTTTTTCCTAAACATTTTCACGAACATTAATTGTCTCGCACAACGAGTCTGTGTGCAAAATGTCAGCTCGATTGGATCACGGGAAGTGGGTTAAAAAAACGACCGAAAGATTTGCACGGTCGTAAGCAAGCAAGCAAGCACGCAAGCACGAAAGCAAGCAAGCAAGCGAACTTAATATAAAGGATTTAAAAATCACGACGTTTCGGAGGCAACACAAGTCTCCGTCATCAGGTGGGACCGTCACAGCCAGATTTGCTGCATCAAGATCGATTGTTTTATTTTTTATAAGTTTTAATTTCATTTTTTACCTCCGTGACTTTACCGAAAGAACTAAGAGTATGAATCCTTGCAGTCACGAAAGCTTCAAATCTAGGGTGGGGAGATATATTAGCCTTTGTGTTGTTAAGATTTCCCCAGTCACGAGGGAGAGGAGGAGGCAGAGTTTGTTTTTGTTTTAAGCGAGCCAACCCCCCCCTGCCCTGCTTGGCGATAACGAGAACGATTTCCTTGGTGTCAGGTGGGCAATGTGAGCGCGACGGTGAACGCGCTCGAACGCTTCGACAAGAACAGCGTCCTGGAGGTCCGACGGCAGGTCGCGGGGCTGCGGAGACGTCTGCAAGAGTGCCAGTCTCAGAACCACAGCTCCACGCCTCGTCCGCTCCCACACTGTAAGACGCTGCGCACAGCGCAGAGATGGGTGACGGACCGAGTTACTCGAACATTTGCCCTTCAAGGGGACAATGTATATATAAAGCGGTGGTATTCGCTCGATTTTTAGAGGGGGCACTTCCACCGATAAGGGGCCGTCCATAAATGACGTCACGCACCTAGGTGGGGGGGGGGGGGGGGTCAGACATTTGTGACGATGTGTGACGAAGGGGGAGGGTGAGAAATGTGACGTCACATCAAAATGCACAACTTTAAATGAATATCGACAACACGTTCTACTTATTTAAATAGACTTTTTAATAAATGTTTTCTCCTACAACATCAGAGTGCAGCGCCACATTCAATACGCACTACAATGACAATAGTTTAAAGCGATTTGAAGCATGTTTAACAAAAAATTGGGGGGGGGGGGGCAGAGCTTTGTGACGTCATATTTGAGGGGGGGGGTCTGACTTTTTGTGACGCCGTGTAACGAAGGGGGGGGGGGGTCAAAGTTCGTCAAAAATCGCGTGACGTCATTTATGGACGGCCCCTAAGACATCGTCAATGCGAGGGCTGCCACGCGTTTGAAACCATTACTGGGTTTGACAGCAGCACAACGATGATGATGGGGGGGGGGGGGGTGACTTCACTCTGTGGATTGTCGGGGGCCGCACTAAAGGCCACCAGGGGCCCACGGGCCTTGCAATGAAGCATGCTCATGCAGAGTTATAACGCAGCTTCATCCAGGCCACGGTTATTTCTACGCTAGACCGCAGAGGTTTCCATGTGTTTTAAAAAAATGAAATGTCAAAGTGACCCCCTGCTCTGTCAAGTGGGGAGATATCGCCATCCGCCCTTGACCGCGCTGAGTCAGCAGTGGAAAAAAACACCCACATTTTTATGCCACTGGCCATTCTCACTGTAAGATAACCACTAGAGAACTGCCATACCACAAAGCGTTGTTTTTTGCCCCACAGGGATGAGACGTTAACTCCCTCGCCTGGTATACAGGAGGTCCTGCATTCGATCCCGATCCTGATGCCTGTATATTTGGAGATCGCATCTGTTCACCGTAGACGTGTGGATTTTTCTCTGGGCCCTCCGGGTTTTCCCTCCACATTTAGAATCAACATCCGTTTACAGTATTCGGCTCCTATACATTTCCACCTGATAAGCCAATTCGTTGAGCTCTCATTTTTGATAGCCAGGTCGCTTATGAAAAAGAGATATATAGCTCAATGGGCCTCACCTGGTACCATTCCCTTGGCCCGTCCCACCCACACCCCATCCCCAAGCCCCAGGTAGTGAGGGTACGAGTACCCGCCTACTGCCCAGGTAGCCCCACCCACTAATCGAGTAATCCCACCCACGACTTCGATTGCCCCGCCCACTACTCAGGTAGCCCCGCCCACTACTCAGGTAGCCCTACCCACTACTCAGGTAGCCCCGCCCACTACTCAGGTAGCCCCCGCCCACTACTCAGGTAGCCCCCGCCCACTACTCAGGTAGCCCCGCCCACTACTCAGGTAGCCCCGCCCACGGCCCAGGTAGCCCCGCCCACTACTCAGGTAGCCCCGCCCACTACTCAGGTAGCCCCGCCCACTACTCAGGTAGCCCTACCCACTACTCAGGTAGCCCCGCCCACTACTCAGGTAGCCCCCGCCCACTACTCAGGTAGCCCCCGCCCACTACTCAGGTAGCCCCGCCCACTACTCAGGTAGCCCCGCCCACGGCCCAGGTAGCCCCGCCCACTACTCAGGTAGCCCCGCCCACTACTCAGGTAGCCCCGCCCACTACTCACTCAGGTAGCCCCGCCCACTACTCAGGTAGCCCCGCCCACTACTCAGGTAGCCCTACCCTTTGCCCCCATCATGAGTCGAGCACGAAGCCAGATATTTTAAACGGGAACAACAACAAAAAAACAGAGTTTTGCAAATGCTTCGGAAAACTGGAACGGACTTCTTATCCCGGGACCATCCTGGCCAAAGCAGGAAGTTTGGTAACTAGAATCTATGGCAGTGGTTCTTCTTCTTAACCTGGGGTGCACCTCTGCACCTCCTGGGGGGTGCGAGATGCTCTTTCTAGGGGTGCGAGACATGGCCAGATTTTTTTAGAAGGTAAATAATCGAAAACACAAATTAAGTACGGGCACGTAAGTACAACTACTTTGGTTCATCAAACCTCGGTATTTGTTAACATTATACATGTTTTTACGACTCAGAACCAAAGGGGTTGCAAGGCTGCAGAAAAGGTGAAGAAACACTGGACTATTGTTTCAGCATAAATAATGTCCCTCCAGAGATCACTGGCTAGATCATTCCCCAAGGACCTCAGCCAGACATCCAGACAGGAAGGAACACCTTCACCACGCCTTCAGTCGGGAGGTGGTGTTAATCCTGGCAGCATCAAACAGGAGACGCAAACATAATCCGTGCCTTTGATTCTTTCCACCTGCTTATTCTTATTCTAAGCCGAAAGCCCCATGACTTCTGCATGGGGTCGGCTCAGATTTTCTTTCTGCGGGAGAAAGAAAATGCCACAGTGGCACGGTGGCGAGATGTTAACTACCTCGCCAGGTATTCTGGAAATCGTGAATTCAAACATGACCCTGATACCTGCTGTATATTTGGAGTTTGCGGTGTCTCTTTCCCCATGGTCACGTGGATTTTTTGCCGGATCCTCGGGTTTTCCTTCCACGTTTAGAATCAACGTGCGTTTAGAATATTTGGCTGTTGTAAATTTCCACATGATAAGCCACTTGGTTGAGCTATCATTTGTGGCCCGGTCGCTTCTGAAAGAGAGCTACATAGCTCAGTGGGGCCTTAACTGGTAAAATAAAAGTAGTTTTTTACATGTTTGTTGGTTCTTTCGGTAAAGTCACGTAGAAGGGAAATAAAAAAATAAAATAATAAAATCCTCACGACGTTTCGACTGCAACACAAGCAATCGTCATCAGGTGTGGATTTAACACCTGATGATGATTTCACACCTGATGATGATTGCTTGTATTGCAGTCGAAACGTCGTGAGAATTTTATTGTTTTATATATATATTTTTTACGTGACTTTACCGAAAGAACCAAGAATATGAATCCCTGCAGTCACGTAATCTTTAAATCAAAATTGAGTTTTTAACAGTTTTATATTTCTGCATCTCATCTCTCGTCACATCCGCTGCCCTCGCATCGAATTTCTCCGCATCCTCCCACGGCAGCCTCCATCTCCCTTTGCTCCTTCTGTCCTGCACCAGTGGCATCTCCTTTTTGCCCACGTCAGCAATTGTTTCTTGCTGTGGTTGTCTCACCCTGATGACGGGCGCTTGTGTTGCGCCCGAAACGTCGTGATTTCTTTTATTTTATTTTTATACCTACGTGACTTTACCGAAAGAACAAAAGAGTATGGATCCCTGCAGTCACCAAAACTTCAAATCTAGATCTCCATTATCATTCGTGAAGGCGTTGTCTCTTCTGGTCACGTGCCCATCTATCTAAGTCTCGCCTCCCTTACCTTCTCGAGAATATCCGTAACCTGCCGCGAAGGCGCTGATCGTTTTTTTCTTCTTCACCACATCTCTTGCACCACACGCCAGCATTGGTTCTATCACTGCTTTATATTTGTGGGAAGTGTTCGCTTTAATGCGCTTTCAAGCAACGCGTCTTCGGCTGCGACTCGCGGTTCTTCTCTCATTGCAAAACGCTTTCGCGCAATGCGGAATGCGCACTGTTATAACGCGGAACGCTCTTCGTTATAACGCAGAATGTGCTCCGTTATAACGCGGTTTCTGAGCAGTCGATGACGAACTGCTTTCTGGAGCTGCACGGCCGAGCGGCACAGTGATACGGCACGCGGAATGATACAGTAACACGTCGTACCCTCATCTCAGTTCTTCGTCCCAACCTGGTGATGACTGCTGGCCGATTTTAAAGCGCGAATGCGGTGATTCCTTGCTCGACGCGTTTTTTGTTGCTGAACGTGGGCAATGTTCAGGATACGCATCCACCGCGTTAAAACCGAGGGATCACTCTAACTCGTTCGTAAGTTCAAATTCCGCCATACCAAGAATTGGCCACTTCACCGGACAAACCTATTGCACGTTGTTCTGTCTCACGTTTACTTCTGCCCCCCGTCTCCCAGGGAGCTGCGAGCGTAGCGATCTTGTCGGCGTCGGCCAGCCGCTGCTGCACCAGCTCAACTGGCGCGGTTTCCCCTACAAATACGGTGCCTGGGGAAAAGACGGTGACCCTCCTGCCGGCAAAGAGGAGTCCTACTGGGTGGCACCGCTCAACACGGACGGTCGTCTCATGGAGGTCCTGCGAAGCCACAAAAACTACAACGACCTGCTGACATTTCGCGCCGCGGTCGACAAAAACCTTTTCACAACCGACTCCCGGGGAAACAAGATCTACACCAACACGCCACAGGGCGCGGGGATGGTTGTGTACCGCAACCACCTCTACTTCAATTGCTACAACACGCGGGACGTGTGCAAGGTGAACTTGGACACCAATGTCATGTCGCGTAAGCCCCTTGCCGAGGCCGTGTTCAACAACCGTTTCTCTTACTCCTCTAGCACCTGGCAAGACTTTGATTTCGCCGTCGACGAGAATGGGCTCTGGCTAATCTTTTCCACCGAGGCGAGCGGTGGGAACGCGGTGTTGGGCAGGGTCAACAAAACCGACCTCTCGGTGGGAGATATCGTCAAGACGAATTTGTACAAGCCAGGCGCGAGCAACGCGTTCATGGCATGCGGGAAGCTCTACGCTACTCGTACGGTCAGCACGAGCAAGGAGGAGGTGTTTTACGTGTTCGACACGAGCACGGGTCGCGAGACGGTGATGGAAAAGCCGATAGTGATGGACAAAATGGTGGAAGTCGTCCAAAGCCTGAGCTACAATCCAATCGACAACAAGCTGTACATGTACAACGATGGCTATCTCGTCACCTACGATTTGATTTTCAAGCAGTAATAGCCATGAGCCGGGATAAGAATGTTCAGATATAAGTGTGTTGTGAATGTTTTTTTTGCCGATAAGTTCTTTCTTGCTCCTTTCGATAATGTTTGTGTTACTCTTACTTGCATTATTATGATGATTATTATGATTATCCTAGAGATCTGCCTAGACAATAAGGTGGGGGGGGGGAGCACGCCATTGGCTACGTACGGTGCGAAAGAAGTTCGACGTACACGCGTAAGTACGGACAACATACACGAACCGCACGTGACGAGGATGGGATTGATGCGGGCCCACATCGATCGCACGCCATCCGACAGCTGTCACGACGGGAAGGCGCCGACGTTTCCCGCCGGCCTTAACCCGGCGGGGGAACGGGCGCGTGAGGACGCGCGACTCGAGCATTCTTCAGCGGCTACTCAAGAATCTTCATGGCCATAAAGCACCGCAGTGTAGCAATTGATCATATTGAACGCATCAATAAATGAACGTCTGAACGTCAAAACATTCTTTGCGTTGTGTGTTTTAAACGACGATTCAATGGTGTAAAGATCAAAGAACAGAGCTGTTGGAAAGCCAGTGTCCTAATGAACACTGCTAAGCTTGGCAGCGTATTTTGCTGCCAAGCTTAGCAGTGTTCATTAGGACGCTCTGTTATTCACCTGAGGACGGCTGCTTGCGTTGTGGCCAAAACGTCGTGATAATTTTTATAATGTTTTTATTATTTTATTATTTCCCTTCTACGTGACTTTACCGAAAGAACCAAGAATGTGATTTCCACTTCTTCAGTCATCGCGATCAGCTACAAGCGTCGCCGCCGCTTTGTTTGAGACCCATTCAGGGCGGTGACAAAGGCGCCCGGTGGCTGTAATGATGATGTCACAACGCGAGGCTGCACTGTGCAATTATAGCAGAAGGTCACGACCTCCACGCTCGAGGAAGAAACAGCAATAGCGATGCCAATCGGTGCAACAAATGAAGAGTTAGCAACAAACACTGTGGGAGTCACTCCGGAAAATTCACTTTGAAAGGATGACTATGCAGGAGAAGTTGAATGTCAAGCAACTGGGTCCTGATTAACTGACTTGAGGGTCATGGGGATCAGCATTTGAGTGATTAGCTGTTTTCTTTCGTATTGTTTATAAATGCCTAACATTGGTCGATTAGGCAGTTGTATCACTTTCACGGGAAGGCCAATAACATGATGAGGTTTTTCTTAATTAGAACACCATCTTTTCAGAGGTCACTCACAACGGCCCCACCACGTGGCAATGTCACCAGCCGCCACTGCTTGCGCAGCACATAAATAATGTACGTACAGATATATAACGCTTACATAAATACACACAGCACGCATGCCAATAATATACATTACTCGCACGCAAACATTTTGCAATGGGTTGCGACAACACGGTGATGCCGCAGTAGATCTTAAATCCTTGCGACATTAGGCGCAGTATCATCTTCATGTGCCGTGCCAGGTGATCAGAACTTTGCCAATGACCTGTTGATAACAGGTCCCTGCGGGGACGGCTGGTAGGAGCGAACAAATGAATGGCTATAATAAAATGAAATGGCGGGGGTACGATACGAAGGGAGAGTTTGAGGCCTAGTTCTAGGCTTTAGGCCTAGCTGTAGGCTTTAGGCCGCTGTGAGTTAATTTTTAATATAAATGTTTAAATTAAAAACTATCTCAGGGAATTATAAGGGAATGTTACACTTGTTTAGCCAGGAAAGCCTCACTGAGTCTAAAGGTTTTTGTAGGGTCCTGCCAAGTGTTTGCAGTAGGGGGCGATGTTGCTACACCTAATCGGACATCGGACAGACGGAGGGACGATATAATCTATTGTAGGCTGGTTCACTTTGTTCCTACCAGTAAAATCAGAATATTTATTCATACTGGAGGAATCCGATGAGCTATAAAGCTCTTTTTCCCAGACGTCCAGTCGGGCGGGTAAGGACGTTACAACAACAATCGGTACAAGAAACACGATCTGAACACCCAAATACATACAAAGCGGAATGAAGATCATTTCGAAGCTACTCCTTGGGGAGGGCCTTGGGGAGCTCTGCTGCTTTCTCCTTCGCGACAAGATCACCGTATGGCCACGTTTAGAAGATTTGGCTTCTGCTGTACATTTGCACGTGATGATGGTGAGCCACTTCGCGTCGAAGCTACCATTTGTGATGGCCAGATTCCCAGATCGCTTCTCAAAAAGGGCTGTGTAGCTCAGTGGGGCCTTACCTGGTAAAATAAAAGGATAACACGCCACGCAAAAATAAGATTAAGCAAACAGAATATTCCATGAAAAGTAACATTCTATTCGTTTTGAACTCTCAGCGTTATTTTAATAACTGACCAAATATTGGTTTCAAAGTAATGTTCAACAGATTTCGTTTTAAAAAGTTGCCACCTCGGTTACTGGCAATGTGGTGAGAGCGAAGGCAGACGTTTAATGAAAAGTAAATGTATTTTGCGAGCCGCGATAGTAAAGGAACTTTGTGTAGCGACACTATCTGCGTGGGAATATCCTCGCGAGAATGTTTGTCCATTTTACTTCGGTTTTGAAGCAGTAAATTATTAATTATGGCTGGGGAGAGATATGGAAGCGAGGGCGATGGCTGTAAATCAAATTTGAGGGTAGGCATTGTATGAGAACGAATGCAGTGGGGGGGGGGGGGTGATGTCAATCAAATTGCGCAAACAGCCACCGGCGTGACCAAAACCGCCAACAAACACGTAACTTGCTCAACTGAGATTGCTTAATGTTCCAAAATACATATTCGCAAGGTAGCAGGACAAGGAGACGTCACCTAGCCCAGGCTATTCACCGACGTCTTTGGTTCTTTGGGTAAAGTCACGTAGGTAGAAAAACAAAATAAAATAAAAAATAATATATCACGACGTTTCGATGGCAGCACAAGCTGGTTCAGCAGTTCCAATGCTGGGTTATTTATTTTTCCGCCTGAGGACGACCGCTTGAGTATGGATGCCTGCAGTCACGAAAGTTACAAATCAAGATTATTCACCGACGATCGGAGAAACAAAGATTGTAAAGACCCAGAAGTCACCGTAACGCCCGATGGGAACCAACTGCAGGAAATGAGAGAATAACTTCGTGAGGATGACCGCAAGGCGTGGGGTCAAACCAACGGGGTCAAACCAACGGAGTCAAACCAACGAGGTCAAACCAACCAGGTCAAACCAACGGTGTCAAACCAACGTGGTCAAACCAACCAGGTCAAACCAACCAGGTCAAACCAACGGGGTCAAACCAACGAGGTCAAACCAACCAGGTCAAACCAACCAGGTCAAACCAACGGGGTCAAACCAATGCGGTCAAACCAACCAGGTCAAACCAACGGGGTCAAACCAATGGGGTCAAACCAACGGGGTCAAACCAACGAGGTCAAACCAACCAGGTCAAACCAACGGGGTCAAACCAACGCCGTCAAACCAACGGGGTCAAACCAACGAGGTCAAACCAACCAGGTCAAACCAACGGGGTCAAACCAACGAGGTCTAACCAACAAGGTCAAACCAACGGGGTCAAACCAACGAGGTCAAACCAACCAGGTCAAACCAACGGGGTCAAACCAACGAGGTCAAACCAACCAGGTCAAACCAACGGGGTCAAACCAACGAGGTCAAACCAACCAGGTCAAACCAACGGGGTCAAACCAACGAGGTCAAACCAACCAGGTCAAACCAACGGGGTCAAATCGACGTGGTCAAACCAACGGGGTCAAACCAACGGGGTCAAACCAACCAGGTCAAACCAACGGGGTCAAACCAACGGGGTCAAACCAACAAGGTCAAACTAACGTGGTCAAGCCAACGAGGTCAAACCAACGGAGTCAAACCAACGGGGTCAAACCAACATCAAATGAAAAGCCCAGTTCAGCAGGTTCGCTAAACAAGTGAAGTTATCTGTTGGGGGGACACGACTGAAATTAGGGGGGGCTCAATGTGAATAATGTGGAGGTGGGGGGGTGGAGAGACCACATTGAGGGAACTGAGTGATTTGGTGTTCCTTTACACGATGACTCACGTTCTAATGTTTGAATTGTCTCTTACATTAATCATAATCGGATAAGCGTTACGCAAATAAAATATCTCCAACGTCAATGGTTCTGACAGCCTATCTCAATTTGCTCAGGTAAGAGGGTTGTGAGAACCACAATCAACACGTGTTGCCAGTGTTCACGTTGAAATTTCGCAATATTTGCATTGAATTACGTTTATCTGGAACGTATTCGATTTTAGTGATACATTCACCACACGTGTTGGCAATCATCACCCAGAATTTCGCCTATATATACCACACCGTGTTCCGTGATTCCATCAGGTAAGGAGTCGTTTGCGATTTTCTCGTTTGTGCATTTCATGGTTGCTCACTCGGGAGTTTGATTTGTCTCAACGTATTTTGTCTATTACTGCATATCGCTACGTAGTTTTTGAGGATGGAGAAGATTGCCCTACCATTATGCATTTTATGGGTGATGGCTTCAAAGGTAATGTATTGTGCCTGCGCTGCATTGTACTTGTATACGTACATGATTATCTATGTAAAGACCTTAATCTGTATGTCTCAAAAACCTCTATGGTACTTCCCGACAAGGTAAAAAGCTGAAATTTGGTACACGTGTAGCTTTTAGGACACAAACAATAGGAACCGTCTGAAAATCCAAGATTTGTTTTATTTTAAGGCCCCAAATCTCGATTTTAAGTGCACCGTAAACATGTGTGTGCGTGTCATTCAGAAAACCGTTAACAATATAAGATTGCGGGGTTTTGATAGAGCGTTAAACGGCGAATAAAGTTAAAGCGAGAACCATTCTTCTATCTTTTTTATTTTTGAGATATTTCCGATTCAAGCGGTTTTGAATAAAAAATAATATGCATTTTATGTTCAAATCTGAATAATTCGAAAACGGTAAAAAGATAAGAGCTTCCCGTCATAGTGTATTAAGTTAATACATTTGTGTTCTTTCTAATAAAATGGAATCTTTAAATTGAGCGGTTTCCGATGGGTACGTCTTTAAATATAACAAGTTGAATCAAGTACATTTTTGTGAGTTTTTTTCGAAAAACTACACATTTTTTAAGTAGTTGTTAGTGTCTGATCGTAGATAAAAATATATAAATGCATTTCCAGTTCATTATTATATTTATTTTGAAAACTTTTGCCTGGCGAAGACAGGCTTCATGAACTAGTGTATATATAATAAAAAAAATCATTTTTATTCTTGGGTTTTTTCAGTAAAGTCACGTAGGTAAAAAAATAAATTACAATTAATAAAAGTAAAATAAAATTTAAATCACGACGTTTCGGAGGCAACACAAGCTTCCGTCTTCAGGTGGAACCGTCACAGCACGATAACTGTATCAGCTAACGTGCTGTGACGGTTTTAATTTAAATTTTTTACCTACGTGACTTTAGCCAAAAAACACAAGAATATGAATCATTGCAGTCACGAAAGCTTCAAATCTAAAATCATTTTTTTTATCAATTCGCTGTTGGACGACTGCCTCCAACAATTCACTCTTGGACGACTGCCTTCCCATGTCGATCATGGGAGTTTAGCCATACTTCACCACGCTCGTCAGCGTGCGTTGGTGAAGGGTGAAGTTGGGAGTTGGTGGCAAGGACCAGTTCAGGTATCACTCTTCACTGATGTTACCCGCGGGTGAAAATCAAACTCGATGCAAATTACAAACGTGTGTAATAAGGATTCTGCAGGAAGTGTGTTACTGGCTAACACTGCACCCGCAATATTTAAATTGCCGGTTCGATCTCCCCGCTCGGTGATTAAAACAATCGTGCAAGTTTCTTAAATCCCGCCACCTTTGTCCGCCCTTCGGTAGACATTGGTACACCACAGTTAATCGGCGTCTCGTGTGGTGGGGTAAAGCGTGGGTACTTCCTCTTCCAGGATGCCTCGCCGGCGAGGATGAGTAGGCCGTCAAAATACCTTCAAGAGGGTCGGTCCAGAGCTCCCTCGCCGGGAGGAGCTTCCTTCATTCTAGATTTGAAGCTTTCGTGACTGCAAGGATTCATATTCTTAGGTTTTTTCGGTAAAGTCACGTAGGTAAAAAAATTAAAATTATTAAAAGTAAAATAAAATAAAAATCACGACGTTTCGGAGGCAAGCTTCCGTCTTGTTGCCTCCGAAACGTCGTGATTTTTATTTTATTTTGATTTTACTTTTATACATTTTTTACGTAAGTGACTTTACAGAAAAAACCTAAGAATATGAGCTTCCTTCAACCGTGGCGTTCACAAACATGTGAACCGGTGCTGGGTCTCGCTTAAGGTCGGCTCGGCCTTAAATGAGTGTTTGTTGCGAACACTGGGATTGAAGAGCGAATGGCGCTGTCCGTGGTGCTAACCACCGCACCACCTCATCGGTACACACGGTCGTGCCGTGCCAATATTTGCGCCCCATAGCAAGGAGGACCTAGGTTCGATTCTCGGCTCGGGTGTGAATTTGTATGATCTGCCCCTGATCTGTGTGGAGTTTCCACCGGGTTCTCCTACTTTTCCCGCTCCCACAAGTAACACACAAATATACGGTCGATTTTGGTTCAAATAAACGATAAAAACATATCTAATAAATAAATCACCCACGAAATACGCAGCATCGACCCCTATTGGCAAACAAATGCTCATCCCATTGACACCCAACATTGGTGACAAATATCTGAACTGGCCCTGGGCATCCCCAAGGTCGACCCAGGCTTAAATGAGTAACATGGGGCAGCTAGCAAACATCAGCATCGGGGAGACAAAGGCGGGGGGGGGGCGTGGTGTTGGCCACGAACTCCCTCGTGCGCCGTGCTAGCCTTTCATTAGGTGCTCGCTATCAGCGCTTGGCCCAAACAGCGTACAGTGAATCTCTTGTCTTTGCAGGGAATAGCAGCATTGCCACCGCCCGTGAGTGCACTCGAAGGCGAGAACGGTACGTGCCAATGCACGGTCATTTTGCCTGACACCACATTCCCAGCCGACAGAGTCGAGTCCCTGCAGCTGACATCGGAGAGGTTGACTGTGCGCGTGGAACAACAGATCCAGAAGGTGCGTGTATGTATGTACAGGTACAGTTACAAAAATTAAACATTAGTGATTTCCTGCTCACATAAGCATCTCCCGTTTATGACCCATTGGTGGGAATTCCTCAGTCCTATGGCGGAGGGTTTCTGGGAGTATCCGCAAGACCACTGTTGACTTGCCACAAAGTTTAACTTTAATGACCTTTCTGGAGGGATGATGAAATGTTATAATTGTTACTGAGATATAATCACTTACTTCTTAAGTACGGCTTACGGTGATAACAATAATTAACCATTAAAATGAATAAGAATGTTATCTTTAATTAACATATTCTGATCGAGACTAGAATTGTCATGGGTATTTATAATTAATAATGCATGTTATGTTAATTATTGGCCCAGATAAACAATTATTAAATTTGAACGAATTGTTTTGTATTGGTTAATATCTAAGCTTTAATCTGATTGCTTGTCCCCGTTATCTCATATTTAAAAATCTGGGTGTAAGGTTACACGGTTACTCACCTCCTTGATTCTGACCCCGAGGATGCTGATGCAATTTCAAGCTCAATTTCATATCTAATTGGTGCTAAATACGGTCGTGAGAATTGTTCTTCAATTTACCCGTGTGAGCGGAACCATTTATCGCCTGTACACATGACAAAGTTATTTGGCTATATCGGGTGTTGGAAGGTTACACAAAAACATATTGGCCAGATCATCAAGTGGCCTAGCCCCAAAACGAAATATATTAATCAACCTTCAAGCCACTCGCTCTACTAATGAGAATTGGAGGGGCTGAGCAAAGGAAGCAATTACTATAATAGTGGGTGCCGACAATCCTGGTTGTGTTGGTGGTGGTGGTAGTAGTGATACAGATTGATAAAGAGTATGATAACGGCCAATCAGAGCACAATGTTGATTAAATCGATGGTGACCTCTGCTCCGTGAAACAGCTGCACTATCTGGAAGTGACCGTTTCAGCGTACGGAGCGAAAATCGTCAACTTGACTCAGAAGCTCGACCGGCTGGTGCTGGGCGACATCTCCATCACGGAGCTCGACTTTGAAATGCTGCGAGCGGAGATCAAGGAGATGGAGATACTCATCCTTGAGCTGAAGTCGACAATCGTCGTTTCCAACCCCATACTGGACGTTATTCTCATAGAGGTGAGAAAAAAGTTGTCGCGATGTCGCCAACTTCTCTCGCCGTGTGCGCTGCTGGAGAAATTCCAAGCGGAGCCCCTCTCTAAAGAGTTTCATTAAAGGCGGAAAGGCTTCACCGAGCCAACTGACATTGACCCTTTGTCCTGAACACCTCTTATCGCAGGTTACCTTCAGTCAGAGTCTCTCCAAGTCGTATCCACCAGTCCTTGACTCTCGCCGCTCCCTCCCACCCTCCGCCCCCTCCCGTCATCCTTACCGTACCTCTCCCAAACCTCTGCCATTCAGTCGATGTTCTTTTCTATTTCCTTCGTATCCAGTCGGTTATGCGCTGCTGGGTGAAGGCCTCCCCTTGCCAGATGGCTCGGCGGGGCTATTTGATAAAACTTCACCACACTGCTCAGTACGGATTGATGAAGTTGTTGAGTGCAGCAGTAGATATTGCTGTATGTACGTTGGACTTCTTTCGCACCGTACGTAGCCAACCGTGCTATTCCGAGGTGCTGTACTGCCCCATGCTGACCACCAAGTATCTCTGCAGCCTGTAACAACCTTTTGTGCAGGGCGGCCATCCATCGAAGCACTATCCATATGTCAGCCTGGTCACTGGGCTAAGCCCATCAATTCTAGATTTTAAGCTTTCGTGACTGCAAGGATTCATACTCTTCGGTTTTTTCGGTAAAGTCACGTAGGTAAAAAAAAAGAATATAAAAAAGTAATATAATTATTATTTGGTTCTTTCGGTTAAGTCACGTCTAAAGATAAAATAATAAATTAAATAATAATAATAATTTAATTTATTATTTTATCTTTAGACGTGACTTAACCGAAAGAACCAAATAATAATTTCTGCAGTCACGAAAGTTCTAAAATTAAGAAGTAATATAATTATTATTTGTATTATTTCGTTTATATTATTTATTTATTTCCCAACGTGACTTTACCGAAAAAACCTAAGAGTATAAGCCCATCAACTCACAACACTGGAGAACACCGTTGAATTATATGCAGCTGCCTGGATTCAAACCCAGGTTCTCAGCGGTTGCTCGCTCAGTGCTCGGACCTCTGTGCCATCAGATTACCTACCTCCCAACGTGTCATTTGAAGTATATTGTTTTCGAAGATATTTGCTGTACAGAAGAACAAAGGCCCGCTGCAGAACGCTGGGTGACAAAAATAAAACCGCACGCGGATATCCGCCAGGCCCCATGTACCTGACGAGCCATGGTTGATGGGAGGGGGTAGAAAGTATTATCTCATTTACGTGGAAAAATCACACCCGTAGAACATTCGATTTATTTTTTTTAACATAGGGGGAGTGCGGGAGGGGGGTGAAAAGGTACAGAGACTCATCTACTTACGAGCATTCGACTTATGAACTTTCAGAGATATGAACTTGGTTCGTATGTCCAGTTGCAGCCTGTTCGGATCGAGTTGTAAGTTCAACCGCCGCGCAATAGGTGATGGTGGTGGTGGCGTCTACATCTGCAGAACGTGAATAACCAGTGGCATCTACATCTACATGAGATTATAGAACTTGTAAAGTCATTCCCCCTGTTTAGTGTACACGCCGTACATGTTTGGAATCGATGGGAATAAAGTTGGACTTACGACGAATATACCTCTGGAACATAACTCGTTCCTAAGCAGAGGAGTCCCTGTCAAAGAGAAAAAAAAATAACCCGTAAAAACAAAATGTTTCACTCTAAATCCTTTATATGCGTGGCGGCTAGAGTCCTCTCGTCCTCTGGCTTGAGATGGATGCCACCTATGGGTCAGATGATTGTCTGCCAACATTAAGCAATTGGTAATTAAATAAAAAATTCCCTAAACAGTGTAAAATTTTGAAAAAAAAATTTCACGAAAATTGTCACGCACAACGAGTCTGTGTGGAAAATGTCAGCTCCATTGGATCACGGGAAGTGTGTTAAAAACCCACCGAAAGATTTGCACGGTCGTAAGCAAGCAAGCAAGCACGTAAGCAAGTGAACTTAATATAAAGGATTTAAAAAGAGGGGGGGGGGATTGTGTTTAACATACGGGTGGGGGAGTCCCCGGCTTGTATGGTGGAGGAAGTGGGGGGGGGTCACGAGTAAGCCAGGGGTCGTGCCCCAGCCAACGTGGCATTTTTTAAAGCGAAAGTGTCTCCCTTGGTGGCCCTAATCCAGCAGTGGAAATTCCACATTCGCCATGGTGGTTTTTAGAACTGTCAGTATGGCGCTTCCTGAAAATGCCTCTTGGGACTCGGCGAGAGGCTGCTGTGTGCTGACAGCGATAACGAGGTGCGATTTCCTTTGTACCAGGTGGCCAATATGACGGTGATGGTGAACGCGCTTGAAAGCCTCGACCAGAACAACGTCTTGGAGATCCGACGGCAGGTCGCAGAGTTGAGAAGGCGTCTGCAGGCGTGCCAGTCCCAGTATCACAACTCCACGGGTCCCGAGCCGTCATACGGTACGACTGGACGGGGGGGGGGGGGTTCACAGAGACCCGATGGCTAATCATCTAATCATTTCTTCATCCACTTTTTTCCCGTTATCATCGGTCCCCAATTTTCGCCGTGAACATCGTGCCGTGCTTCGCCAAATGTCCCCGGCCTCGCTTTCCAAAACCTTTGCCAGTCGGTAGACGCCCCTTTCCTCCTTCCTTTGCACTCGGTTGGTTATATTCAGGGCAACGCTTTCCTGGCCTTCTTTCTGTCCGACATTACCAAGCTTGCTCTTAGGTTTTTTCGGTAAAGTCACGTAGGTAAAAAAATAAAATAAAAAATTACTAAAAGTAATAATAGAAATAAAATATTTCTATTATTACTAAAAGCAATAATGTAAATATTTTATTATTAATAAAAGTAATAATATAAATATTTTATTTTATTTCTATAATTACTTTTATTATTTTTTTATTTTATTTTTTTACCTACGTGACTTTACCGAAAAAACCTAAGAGTATGAATCCTTGCAGTCACGAAAGCTTCAAATCTAGAATTGCGAAGTTTGCCAGTAACGGCGGGGTTAAAGGTTAATAATTTGCCACTCTCGAACCCGCTTTGCCGGCGGTGATCAAGTGCACAGGAAGTCTAAACAGTTCATCAGCAAGTTCCGGTAAAAAAACCCTGTTTACCGTGACAGAATTATGTTCCAGCAAAGCTAAAGCAATGTACTGTGGTTCATGATTTTCCCCTTCTGCCCGTCTCCCAGGAAGCTGCGAGCATGGCGATCTCGTCGGCGTCGGCCAGCCACAGCTGCACCAGCTCAACTGGCGCGGTTTCCCCTACAAATACGGCGCCTGGGGCAAAGACGGTGACCCTCCTGCCGGCAAAGAGGAGTCCTACTGGGTGGCACCGCTCAACACGGACGGTCGTCTCATGGAGGTCCTGCGAAGCCACACAAACTACAACGACCTGCTGACATTTCGCGCCGCTGTCGACAAAAACCTTTTCACAACCGACTCCCGGGGAAACAAGATCTACACCAACACGCCACAGGGCGCGGGGATGGTTGTGTACCGCAACCACCTCTACTTCAATTGTTACAACACGCGGGACGTGTGCAAGGTGAACTTGGACACCAATGCTGTGTCGCGTAAGCCCCTTGCCGAGGCCGTGTTCAACAACCGTTTCTCTTACTCCTCCAGCACCTGGCAAGACTTTGATTTCGCCGTCGACGAGAATGGGCTCTGGCTAATCTTTTCCACCGAGGCCAGCGGTGGGAACGCGGTGTTGGGCAGGGTCAACGAAACCGACCTCTCGGTGGGAGATATCGTCAAGACGAATTTGTACAAGCCAGGCGCGAGCAACGCGTTCATGGCATGCGGGAAGCTCTACGCTACTCGTACGGTCAGCACGAGCAAGGAAGAGGTGTTTTACGTGTTCGACACGAGCACGGGTCGCGAGACGGTGATGGAAAAGCCGATAGTGATGGACAAAATGGTGGAAGTCGTCCAAAGCTTGAGCTACAATCCAATCGACAACAAGCTGTACATGTACAACGATGGCTATCTCGTCACCTACGATTTGATTTTCAAGCGGTAATAGCTGCAAACCAGAATACGTTCGTTCAAATTAACGTGCGTTGAATTTCCAATCTTAACCTTTTCTTTCCCCCCCATTGAAATTTTATTCTTGTAATTTCTTTTTGTTACCATAGATCTTCTCAGGGGAAATGTGCATTGCAATGGGCTCCGGCCTGGTTTGATCAATTATCTCTCAATAAAATCGCACTGACCGACGGTACGAACGCGATCTCGGGTGGAGGAAACTTGGCACGGGGTGATCTCGTCACGTGCACGTCACACTCAACCGCGTAGTGCCACGGGGTGATCTCGTCACGTCACACTGAAACGCGTAGTGCCACAGTTATTGTCGTCTTGCGATTGTAGTCGCACGAAGTCATTGCCCCTCTCCCCATTGTATGGTGCAACCACCATACGCGATTGCATATTGATCAGTCATAATCGTATTGATCTTGCGTAATACACCGCCACTCCAAGTCTTGGATCGGCAAGTCCAGTCCTCGGTCTTGAAGCCAGCTCAAGGACATTCACAGCCATCCTCCGTTGACCTTTGGCCTCACGCGTCGAGGGTGTATCAGCAGGCAGTTCCTCGCGACGTTTCTAGATTTTCATAGATTGCTTTTTTGAGTGGCTAAAATCAATTGGCTATTTGAGTGAATAAAATCATTTTCCGCAAAATGTCTTGCATCAGTTGTTCTCCAATCCACGTTGTCCCTCGTTCTGTCTCTCATTGTCATTCCAAGCGTGCACCTCTCTCCACTCTTCTTTGTACACTTATCAGTTTTTGTTCAATCCATTTTGCCATTGCAGGATATGTGCACTTATTTCACAACCTATATATAACGTCTCAATACATTATTTGATATTCTAACATGTAAGGAATTTCGATTAATATAGAAACACCAAGGCATGAATTTCCCTTAAACTAATTTACAAATGTGTCCCCCCCCTTGATAAAGCCATTGGGATTCCACGTTAGAAGCTCGAATCCCAAAGTCACACGCGGACCAATCAAGAAATGCAATGAAGATGATAAGAGACTTGGCTCTACAATGATTAACATTAAATTAATCGGCTCACGAATGAGGAAGTAATTTATACATATAAGGGACATTTGTGAATGTGTCTGTTTCAAAATGTTTAGCATACTTTCCGACAAGCAACAAACTTGAAATTTGGCATGTGGGTAGTTTCCAGACTGTACACAATGCAAAAGTATAAAAAAAATGACTTTTGTATTTTGGGGGGCGGAGCAATAATGGATATATTTTGCACGGCAAGTGAGCGGTGACGTCACATGTGATGTCACCCGCATGCAGCAGCGTCACGCAGTGTGCCTGCTGACGTCACCCCCCCCACCCTCCGCGTAGGCCGTGCATTAATCTAAAACAAGAACCCAAGTCTCGGGTGAAGCCGGGTAGTAAAGCTAGTTAAGTATAAAAAATAATTATATGGAAGAATTCTGATGGGGTACAAAAATACACAATTAAAGATATTTTACTAGATACGCAAGGAGTAACAATGAAATGCATTCCTTCCCCTGGATCTAATTGCGTCTTACTATTTAATATTGTGCTGCGCATTAATCTACATTAAAATCATGATATACATTACAGCTCTTTATCAATGTTTTTTGTTCGTGCCATTGTGCCCTTGGCATATACAGTCAATGATAACAGCCACAGCAGTGTTGATGCAGGCAAGTGAAGGGTAGGGCAAAACACAAGTTACTTAGCAGTATGAATGAACAACAGCAAGCGCCGAGGCATGGGGGAATGTCAATAATAGTGCAAATTCACAAGAAGGGTTGACAAGAGTGAAAATATTTGGAGGTATCATTCGCCACCAATGTTTCTCGATGGCTGGGTTCTGATCACTGCGAGTGACCAATGCTCGACCTGGCACTTTCCCTTCCACCCGTGTCAGGTCTTGGCTTCATTAGGTCCACATCATCCTCCTCCACTCATTCCTGTCCGGGGGGGGGGGGCATCATCCTCCACGTCCGCTGAAGTCTGTCGCACCCTAGTTCTTCGCTCTGAACTGCCTCCTTCGGACTACACCTCTCGGCCTGGCGACGATGCCGTGACATCGAACGCGAGCACGCACAGAGTTTGATACGCACATGTTTAATGTATTCAGAGCATTGTTGTCGTTACACTTGTTTGCCTAGGAAAGCCTCACCGAGTCTCGCGACTCTTTTGCCAGGAGGACCCTGCAAAGTCTACGTAGTAGGAGGCCAATGATTTCACGGTATAATCAATACAATTATAAGGGTTAGGCATTTTAAACACATAGGAACAAAAACAAATACGTAGCATTGGCTTTTAAATGTCCAGTCGACTAGATGTGGTTGCTAAATAAACTTATACAAACATCATGAGCACAAAGTTCACATGTGTACAGCATTCACATAGCTTTGTGCTATTAAATCCATTGTAGGTTAATTCATGAGCGAGCACTTTATGCATAAGTAACAATTCATTGTTGATTTTAACCACGTGACAAATTGTATGTCTACATTCGTATGCACGCGTACAGAAAACATGAAAAAGTGCTGTCAATTAATAGTCTTTCTTAAAACAAGGGGTGGTAATGCTCCTCTCCGATGGCGGCCTTAAGCCAGCGGTGGATATTCCACTATCCCACAGCAGCACAAGGTGACTGCTGCCGACTTCCACAACAGCGGTACTCATTTTATCAACGCGAGAGGGTTGATGATGATGAGGATTCGAGGGTCAACCCGGATTTGAGCTCAGACCCTTCCAATTGCAAGCCAGGTATAGGTACATTTGCAGTGTGCATATTATCACATGATCACGATGGTTGGAACATCTCCACCGCGAGGCTGAGAACCCAATTGCACAACTGACATTTGGAAAAAAAGGGGCAAGGAAGAGAGAAAGAACCGAGAGAGAACTGGAAAGATGCCATCAACAACGATTGGAATATCTTGGAACATTGGCTCAAGTGGCTCAGCCTGCAGATGCCAGGAAGTTGTGGAGAAGCTGTGTGTGCTGCTCATCACGGGAAGGACTAGGGGGGTGGGGGGTGGGCAAGGGCATACCACAGAATACCTTGCGCCAGAGGTAAGACAAAGTCATTGTTATGCTAGTCCAAGTCGAGTCTGAAGTCATCAAATTCATGACTCGAGTCTGACTCGAGTCCAAGTCACATGACTCGAGTCCACACCTCAGAGGTGGGACAAAGTCATTGTTATGCAAGTCCAAGTCGAGTCTGAAGTCATCAAATTCATGACTCGAGTCTGACTCGAGTCCAAGTCACATGACTCGAGTCCACACCTCAGAGGTGGGACAAAGTCATTGTTATGCAAGTCCAAGTCGAGTCTGAAGTCATCAAATTCATGACTCGAGTCTGACTCGAGTCCAAGTCACATGACTCGAGTCCACACCTCTGCCTTGCGCACTTGGAAGCACAATATACATTACATAAGCATACAAGGTAGGCAGCAGAGGGCAGTGCAGTGCAAATCCATTGTTGCTCTGCAGTTATATGCTCGCACGTTCTGTGCTGCCCATCTTCACCGGATCCACACTGACCGCCGTGATGAAGTATAGTCAAATAGTCCCTGCGACCTGGCAGGCGTAGGGAGATGCCTCATCCACAGCAGTAGGTTAACTGAGGATTCAGGCTACAACACGGGCACACCACGGCATAATCTTGTGAATGAACTCACAGGGTCTTTAACGTGCGCCTTAAAATAATTTTAGTGTTATTTTACCAGGTCAGGCCCACTGAGCTATAAATAGCTCTTTTTCCGATGCGACCTGGCCACAAATGATAGGCCAACGAAGTGGCTTACCACGTGGAAATGTGTAGCATACAACGCATGTTTCTAAATGTGGAGGGGAAAACCCGGAGGACCTGGATAAAAATCGACGTCACCACGAGGAGATAATGCAAACTCTAATTATACAGGCGTCAGGGTCGGGATCTAAATCCACGACCTCCTGCATACCAGGCGAGGGAGTTAACATCTCGCCACCGCAGACAGAGAGCTGTTGTGGTCTCACGGTTGGTACACTGGCCTTGCCATCCAGATGGATCCGATTCAGTCTTCTGGCGGCAAAGATAAAAATGATGGTGCCAATTGATTAAAATAACCCCTACCCCGCCTATGTCCACCCAGCGGCCCAAACGGCTGCACCACAGTTAGTCGATCGGCAATGTGACATGCGGTGGGGTAAAGTGTGGTACCGATTGTAACACGTTCGGTCAGAGTGTAAGAGGAGATCAAACGCCCTCTAAAGGGAGCCGTAGCAGAGGCCCTTCTGCCGGCAGTGGAGTGAGCATTTGCAGGGTTCCGCCTTTACCCTTTTACCTCTTGAAAGCAGACCACAGGTGTTTGCGTACAAAAGTCACGCGGAAATGACTGGGTGGCCTCACCGTAGGCTACGGAGACAAGAGTCGGTGGGCACTTGTCTGAGAGGGCAGGACACAGTTTGGGGGTGGGGTGTGGACAGCACCGTGCCCGACTACCTTTGTCTTCCCGTGGTGATGTCCACTACTCCGTGTACTTGCGTAAACACGCAGGCATGTGCAATACAGACTGTTGGGGCAAGTGCTGTTAGCGAGCAACTATGAAGACCGGCACGGCACATGAGAGGGTGGGGATGGCCAACACCATGCCCGGCCACCTTTGTCTCCCTAGTGGTGAAAATTGAGATTGAGTCGACCTATGGGAGGCCCAAGACCGGTTCAAATAATTGTCACCGGTGTTGACCGTGAGCGGGAATCGAACCCGGGTCGGCGGGATCGTAGCGCCGCGCGCTAACTGCTACACAAAGACACATGCACACACACACGCGCGCGCGCACTATTCACCACACGCTGCTCTATCATTCGAAAGTGGTCATGTCCTCGCGCCGATGACAGCCGAAGCGGCGCCACTCACTCCGCCGGCAGCCGCGATGCGGGAACTGACGACGCCGGCTGCGTAGAGCAGGGCACCGTGCACGCTGTACTGCAGCAGCAGCGCCCCCACGCCCTTCCACAGCCCCGAGGTGCCCTCGTCGCGGCGCACCGAGCGCACGCAGTCGGCCAGGCCCTCGTGACGCGTGTTGATCGGCAGCAGCAGCAGCTCGGGGGAGTTGGCGTCCGTGTTGTCGATGATCGTGCGAGTGCCCTGCGTGTGGTGGGTTCGGGCAGTGTGCGGTGTGGCGGGGGGGGGGAAGAAGCGACGGGCAGGAGAGAGAGAGGGGGGGGCGGTGAGTAGGTGGGTGGGCAAACGGTTCAGTTGTTGGGTGTGCGTGGGCCTGAGTGGCTTTATCCATGGATGGGTCAGTAGGTGGGTTAGTGAGTGAATAGATGAGTTGGTGAGTGAGTGGGTGAGTAATTAGTTGTTTGGTGGGTGAGGGAGTGATTTTGACTTTTGGTGGGTGATTCAGTTATTGGGGTGGGTGAGTGGATGGGTAAGTGTAATCGGTTGTTGGATTGGGCGAGTGGTTTCCTTATTGAATGAGCAAGCGGGTGGGCAAGTGGTTCAACCATTTGGCGGACGAACGAACGCTTCAGTTGTGTGCATGGGGCCAAACAGTTGCGCTAATTTATGCCACACCTCCCCCCCACCACTAAAATTCAACCGAAGCAGACGTAACCTCGCACTCGAACACGACGCCACTGCAGGGCGGCTCTCGCCCGCGACCCGATACCTCCCGGCCGCGCCGCGCGTCCCCAACCTGCACGTGCAGCCGGTGCACGGTCGTCTCGAGCGGGAACAGCACGACGTCCGCGACGAGCCCCCCGAAAAAGCGCGCCACCAGCTTGGGGAGGCACGCCTCCAGCGCGTTCTCCTCCACCGCGACCCCCGGCTCTGGCGCCTCCGCACCCCTCCTCCTCCTCCGCCAGGTGGCCTCGATAGCCAGCCCCGCCACCCGCTGCACCAGCGCGGCGATGGCGTAGTGCAGCAGAGCGTGCAGCAGCGTGGGGCCCGCCAGGAGGCGTAGGGGCAGCAGGCGCTTGCTCTGCGGGATGCCGAACCCCAGCACGCGGCAGACGCCCTCGCGCACGCACTCCAGGATGCCGGGGTTGTCGCGAATTATGTCGCTCTGGAATTGCGTAGGGGGCGCGTAGAGAGGAGAGGGGTGGAGAGGGAAGGTGGTGGTAGGTGGTGGAGAGAGAGAGAAGGTGGAGAGAGGTGGTGAGTGTGAAGAGGGTGGGAAAATGTACGAAGAGAGGTAAGAGCGGAGTGAGACGGTGGAAAGGGTGGTGAATGCGGAGAGAGCAGAGTGGGTGGAGAGGGTAGAAAGTGTACAAAGGGGGACAGGGGGATAGATATGTTGAGTTGAACCGCACACAGCGAAATATTTTGGCGGTGACGTGGATGAGTGTTAGCACATTTTGGGGGGACAGTGTAGACTGCACAGGTACTCATTTCATGGTGAAATCAACGAGGTGGAAGCCCACAAGCTGGTTCGGCTATCACTTGTAACTGATGTTAGCGGCATTTAGGAATTGAACTCAGATGGCCGGATTGGTAGAGCAGTGCGATAATCACTGCGCCACCGCTCACCACAAGCGTACACAACAACGGCCACCTTTCACCACTAAGAGACATTGACGTTACAATATCGTTTGTGCCAGGCTGGGTGCACTTTGAGGCCACGTGAAGTGTCGAAGGGTTTCTGGCAGGGTCACAGGGCAGACCTTCGCACAAGAGCCGCCATTTCGCCACGAAGTGGCGATGACGTCACCACAGCGCTTGTGCCAGGTTAGATGTACTTAGAAATGATGATGTAAAATGTAGAAGGCTCAGCTAGTAGGTCTTGAGACAGACCCAAGTGTTAGAGATTTACCGAGATGACTGACAGATACCCCACCTGCACTCCCCACTGTGCCAACCCACATGCAACACAAAGACACACAGCAAAGACAAAGATCCCCTGTATATCCTTAAAAGATTGTTGAGGCAAGTGCTGTTAGCGACCACCTATGAAGGCTGGCACTGGCACGTGAGGGGTTGGGTGGCCAGCACCATGCTCGGACCACCTTTGGCTCCCTAGTAGCGATGTTTACACACCGCACCAGGTGAACATTTGAGGTCGAGTCGACCTAGAGGAGGCCCAGGACTGGTTCAGATAATCGTCACTGGTGTTGGCCGTGAGCGGGAATCGAACTCGGGTCACCTGGTTTGTACCGCGGCGTGCTAACCGCTACCTACCGCCCCACACACACACACATCCAACATGCATGCACATATGCACAGACCTGTACTGTGTCAATGAGACTTGCTGAATAGAATGGCATGGTTATCAGGCACACGATCCTGCATAGGAACAAAGAAAGCAGGAATTATTATACTTCCACTAAACACTGCTGTACCGCACATCCATTGAAACCATTTTCTGGTTAACTCATTTGGAAAGAGAATTCCACGAGTTGTTAATCATTCTGGCAAATCGCCCGATGATGCTGGATGCAATTACCAGCGAAACGTCACTCAAATTGTAAATGTTGTGGAATTACTCTCCAACACACCGGTGGGCTGAAGTAGTAACTGATTTCCATTTTGTTTACGTGACAAATCGATTACTAATTGGCTGTGTCAAGTGCTGGAGGTTTACGACACATTCGTACTTATGCAATCTAACCCAAAAACCTTTATTATGAATAATATTGGTCACGTAAAGCCTACGTGTTAAACTGTTAATCATCCAGCTGTACGCACTACATATTAGATACCCTTAACAATGTATACTCCAGCCTTAGGGCTGCGAGTTGACCATACGGCAGCATGACAATGGATTACTGAATGCATCTGTGTGGAAATTAGAGTGTTACCCCCCCCCCTCCCTTTGTTTGCTTGGGCTTTCTCCAGGTTCTCTGGTTTTATCCCACATGCAAAACACTCTCTAAAAACAAATTGGCCAGATATACCAAAGCAAGATCCTCCTGCAAGTCTTGAGACACAGCGAGGCTTTGCTGGGGAGTTTTTTTTTTGCATTTGCGTGGGATATAACTTTAGTGAACTGAAAGAAATGTGTGTTTCTTGCTATTCGTTTACCAATGACACTAACTGGCCTTCGTGACTGCAGGGATTCATATTCTTGGTTCTTGCGGTAAAGTCACGTAGAAGGAAAATAATAAAATAATAATAAAATATATAAAACATTAAAAATTATCACGACGTTTCGACTACAACACAAGCAATCATCATCAGGTGTGAAATCCACGGCAAGAAAATTTGATTTAATTTATATTTTTTTATTTTATTTACCGAAAAAACCAAGAATAGAATACTAACTGGTCTATTTACAATTATAACCATAAACGTATCCTAACCACATTATAATAACAACCATAACCACGTTATAACCGCAACCATGAGCACAACCACTGTGCTGCCATGGAAGCTGGCCTGATGAAATTGTCCGTGCCAACTTGGACTGTAGCAATGCAGCCCGGGCATTGCCTCATAAAAAAAAATTGCCCGTTTCAGCACATTTATTTACAATAATAATATGTTTTATATACATATATATGCATGTACATTCGCATATATTTTACGCAATGTCCTGAGAACCTCCTCGACAAATATTTCTATGCATGCTTAATTCTGATGGAATAAGGCTTTAAAAAAAAAACAGTCCCCAATCACACCCGATTGGCTGTTGCGGTGTCACATGATGATGCGGCTCACCCCTTCAGGAGCATGTGGCCTCCTAGCTGCTTGAAGGTCCAATTCTGTGAAACCTCCCTTGCAAAAGTAAGAGAATTGCATTAAACACACATTCACACAAACACTGCCATGACGATTCACCTCATCCACTTAGGCAAAGTTAAGATACGAATCGTGACGAATATTAATGTGTAATGCGGTATGTCGTTGGTCTATTTGTACATACTGATTAAGAGTTATCCCCTTGTATGTGTGGCTTTTATCTGGGTACTCAGGATGCTTCTCAAAATGCCAATAATCATGCCAAGCTGGATCCTCTCGACAAAGCATCTTGAGGCTCAGTTGAGGTTTTAGTGGATAAATCAGTTGAGCCTTTGAGTTCAAGTCCTGGTCGCATGTCAACTCAGACCATTTTCATCATCATCTTTGTCAGGAGCTGCAGAAGCAGCCACATGTAATACACCATAACTATTGCTGCCAATGCCTCATCATCATCCCTCTAGTGGCAGGGGGTAGGGAAATGTTTCCTTACAGAGGACCGAATATGAGGTTCAAAGATGTTTTGGGACAACACATCAACACACCTCGGCCACTCCTGTCACTACAAGAGGCTCTTCCACTTACGGAAGTTACCGAGCATGCTAAAGTCACATACGGTGTTGCCAGGTTCAATCTGCTCCCCTCTCGTGCCTGATTAGTGCGACTAAGTAGCTTGCAGTGACAGATTAATACCGCCTGTGTTCGCAAGATATGCCTCTCCTACCTTGCCTAAAGGAAAGACATCACACAAAGGGCAATACTTTCCGTAGTGTAATAATAGACGTGATTTGGAATTTCTGAATGTATAGAAGCAGAGTTCGATTGATTGATTGCTGTGGATCGATGTTGTTTTTTAGAAGTAGGAATAGATGCAGTAGTAGCACAGTGGTCAGCACAATGAGCTACGAACCCGGCAAGTCTCGGTTCGATTCCTGCCCATGGTAAACAAAGTGATGAGTGATATCTGATGCAAATATGGATTCTCCATCTTCTCCGGCTTGCACGGACCAGCATGATAAAATATGGTCAAACAGCCCCCAAGACTTATAGGGCAAGGGGAGGCCCTCTTCCAATAGTGGATTTATACAGGGCTGTACATTAAATCAATCAAAAGAATAAAATTGCAACCAATAACATTTTTGGATTTCATTCTTCCACTTGGTACAATGTGTGCTGGGTACCTGGGTAGTTGTGTGAGCTCTCCAACTATTCCTTCAACACCGAGACTGATGCCTTGCACTATGAAGGTACTGCCCATGCCTTTCCATAAAGCTCGGATGCCCTGGTTCAGAGAAGGAACAAAAAAAAACATCTGTCATGATCATCAAACAAATCATCAAGACCAATGCTACTGATGCCAACACATCTTTTCATCACTTCCTTACTTCTGCTGGGTACCGTAGCAGCTGTGAAGTCAACTTCTGAAATACGGTTCGTTCTTACAATCTTATCACCACCACCACCACCGCCATAATCTGAACTTAGCACTCCCCTTGTTACATCCAGGACTCCACCTGTAGAGTGTCATCATCAACACCTTATGGCATTAGGTTTTACTCTTGGTCACCAACCTCTGGGTACCACTGCAATTCCCGTCTCAGTAATCTGCCCTCCTCCATTCCCACCCATCATAACATCCTATTCCTTTTTACGTCTACTATGTTTTCCTGACCAATTACATTTGAACCTTCGAGTTGCTTAACCTACACTGCAATGCAATGTACAGGTTCCTCCTAAAAGCTAGAGTATATTTTTAAGTCCAGCTCTCTGATGAGTACCATACCAAAGACATCACACCTCTGACCAGTCCTCCTCAATCCTTTATACATCCTCCCCAGTGCAACATGTTTAGCCTTATCATATCTACAGTCTAATTGATGCTTATACTTTAATTTACAGTCAGTTATTCCTCACCTGTGATCTTGTGAAGGAATACATTATCCTGATGACAGAGAAGGGTGTTAGGTGGTATTTCTTGGCATGGTAATTTATCTGCAAAAAATGTAATAAAATTACATACAATGACAACCAATTTGTTTAAGACTGTAATTCATCTATTGAATGTGCAACCAATGGAAGTGAACAGAGGCATATTACATAATTACGAAAATAAAGTGTCCATTCAGATCATTATCACCCAGAATGCCAAATAGAGCAGTGCAGTATGTTGTACTGTACTTCTATACCCCATATTATGTTCCCTGCCATTAACAACCAGGTCAAGTATAGTCAAACCTCACCCACGATCTGGACGACATGGGAAGACTTTCATCAACGTTTATTTGTGTATCAAATGTATGTGGTGGTGGTTTTAACTGTATTTACATAAACTAAAGTATTAATTTGGAATGTGGAATTTCTTCGACTGGCTCAGAACCTCTAATAGAGAAGAGCGCTTCCCTACACTCGTTAGAGCAGAGGGACGCTGTGACTTCATAGTAACGAGAAGTATTTGTTTGGTAAAACTTCACCTGGCATTGTCTCCGGATCACGATGCATGGATGAGCCAACACGTTTTCAATAAAGAGACTGTAAAGACATGGGAAAGTGCAAATTCACAAGCTAATACAATTTGTGAGCATTTTTACATGCGTACAGCAGGGATGTGGAATATGTTCCTTACCAAGGGCCGAATGGGACTTTCAAGAAGTGACTGAACGTGCTAAATTTCGAAACCCAGTCTTGTTGACAGGTTGAAAATGTTACTGATTAGTACTCGATCGCTACGGCTACCATGCCTGCAGTGACGGATAACTATTGTTTGCAGACCGTTTCAAAAGCGGTGGGCCTCACACATACGAAATGTCCCTATGTCCGTAAGGAAAACACTAGGCACACTGGAGTGGAGGGTTAGGGAAGCACTAAAGTTGGTACCACAGAGATCACGAGTTCTAATCTAGCTCCAAGCCCTTTGTGATCAAACCGGGTTCTAAAGGGTAGTCAGTTGATGGCCTCTGCCCGGTAACCAATAAACGCACAAATATTATTCATAATACATTTGGTTTAGCACTTCATTGAAATAAATTTCAATTCTAAAAAATACAAATGTCAGTTTCACTGTCATGCCATGAACATGAATTACTTCCCGTGGTTGGGAACGCGAGAAAGTGCTGCCCCCTACTGTGCGCACCAGACGTCGCATCAAGGGATGTCAGAAAAAGCTCTATGATAGATATTTCACGGGGCGTTCTCGAACACGGTGGGTTGAACTTTTCTACAAGCGAGCCGAAGGGAGTCTTTTTATTATTACACGCTTTCTATTAACTCACTCTGTCTGTTGTTGTTGTATCCTCAAATCTTGTAACTCAATTTTAACCAACTACCCAATGTGGTATCGACTGCAAAACTTGGTATACTTATGTCATACTGATGACAATACTATATTCTATCATGAAAAAAAGGCAAACAATATTTTTTATATGTTATGTTTCGGCTTGGGTCTAATTGTCCACGCTCAACTGTCTGTAAATCACCATGACCCCTTACGTTACTTCCTGGAGTCGTGGAGTTCTTCCATTACTGGTACGGTACATTTCATCAAAGCGTGTTTTTAAAAAAGTTTTTAAAAATATTACTTATTTATCTCACGACACCAATAGCATTATTGGATTACATTACCTCGTCAAACCAATGCCAAAGCCAGCAAATCTTTGCAGGTTTTCTGTAAGAACCAAACACACAAAAAGGCATCTATAATCAGCCAATTGACGAAACAAATCTCAACTGACATTACACAGTCATCAGCACGTAACGATGCATGGATTAATCAATTAAAATCGATTCTCAAGCATGACAATTGCAGTATTTACAATTTGTGCCAAATACATACACAGTATACCCTATTGTCACGCTCCTGTTATGCATTTGAGCTCATGAGGGAAACTAAAGTATACGAAAACATAAAAAAACCTGACCTGAGAACTGGATTGATGTCCCATTCGTTGTAAGGCAATGTCAATGTAATCACATTCCTTCACGGTTCAAGAAACTCTACCTCGGAATCTCCAGATATTTTTGAGGGCCCTGAAAATTGGATGTTTGGCCAGTTCCTTCATGAGATGTTTTTGTAATCAAGCACACAGCGCATTCCACTTGAATTGTATCTAGATTTGAAGCGTTCGTGACTGCAAGGATTCATACTCTTTGTTTTTTTTACGTGACTTTACCGAAAAAAACAAAGAGTTTGAATTGTATCTTTATAATAGCGTCTTTAATGTGTATAAAACAATACTTTCTATTGACACCACCGCAACAGTATCGGTCACGGTTTGTCAATGACACTACGGCGTTAATGCCCCCAGCAGGCTTACACAGCCAGGTTAAAAGGCACCTTTAGGCTGTGTAGGTGTCCTGTGACAATGAGCTCTGGGTGTTGTGTTCATCAGTGCCCAAAAGCGTATTAGACAAAGACCCGAGGCACGTTCTTGACGCTAGTTCAGAGCGAACCGCTTAGCTAATGAGAATCTTGATTACAACGTGAATTAACAAGCGACGACCCGGCTTTCAAAGGTCACGCAGAATACGGGCACAACACCAACCAGACCACAACCAAAAAAATAACTTTCCCAAACGTCTCGTCAGATGAAGAAGAACGCTCGTAAACATTTACAAACGTGTAATATTTACCGTTGGAAGCGCCTTCCGATGTAAAGCTCTCCCCTTTGTAGGCCGCGAAGGACCCTGGGCTGTGGCCTAGTTGCCCTACCGCAGAAGGCGAGGGGAACCCGGCGAGGCTCCTCGGCCGAACGGGTCCCCTCGCCCGCCTCTCCGCCTGCACCTCGGCTAATATCCTCTGCTGTATGGCGAGGACGTCTTCTCCACCTCCTCGTCGTCGTACTCCTCCTCCCCTTTCCTCTTCCTCCTCGTCGTCGTCGTCGTCTTCATCATCATTATTTTCATCATAAGTCATTCCCCACCGATCAGACATGGCGAGAGATCATTTAACCTGTGCTGTATTGCAAATAGACGATTCCGATTAGTCGCCGCATAACTAGGGAATCGATTTGACTGCATTATTTAACGTTGCCTCTACGTTCGATTCTCGATTAACGGAGTTCGATTACAGACTCCGCCGACTGGCTTGCGGTTGTTTACATTGAAACGCGCGAGTCGATGGAGGGAATCGGATATAGAAATCGAATGCAGCTGGATCGATGTGTGCTGTCATCGATTGAAAGCTCATTGAACCCAACATATGTCTTTTGCGGTGGACAAAGTGCCCAGCGTTGAAACGAGTGATGAAAATGCATAGAAATTAGTGTGTTGCCAAATTGTAGAACGATTTAAAACACACTCAAATGCAACTGTTAAATTCCATCATCATACACTTTAATTGCGATGCTAATGCATCATTTCTGTCCCCTTCGTACAACTTCACGTCAATGATCCACTGCTGTTGGATGAAGGATTCCCAATTCCGCGTTGTTTAAATTTTGACCAGACTTCTTCACGCCGCTGCTCAGTGCGGGTTCGCTAAGGGAGTTTGCAGGATCCTTTCAGATATATTTCTCACCACTGATGTTAGCTGGGGCCCGGAATCAAACTCTGTGTCGCGGGCTTCATCGCAGTGGCGTGCGGTGAGGTCAATAGCTGGGGAGGCACTGGCTCGTGTCAGAGCCAGATTCACACACTGAGGGGGCGTGGCCTCACTGAGGGGGGCGTGGCCTCACTGAGGGGGGCGTGGCCTCACTGAGGGGGGCGTGGCCTCACTGAGGGGGGCGTGGCCTCACTGAGGGGCGTGGCCTCACTGAGGGGGCGTGTCCTCACTGAGGGGGCGTGTCCTCACTGAGGGGGCGTGTCCTCACTGAGGGGGCGTGTCCTCACTGAGGGGGCGTGTCCTCACTGAGGGGGCGTGTCCTCACTGAGGGGGCGTGTCCTCACTGAGGGGGGCGTGTCCTCACTGAGGGGGCGTGTCCTCACTGAGGGGGGCGTGTCCTCACTGAGGGGGGCGTGTCCTCACTGAGGGGGCGTGTCCTCACTGAGGGGGCGTGTCCTCACTGAGGGGGCGTGTCCTCACTGAGGGGGCGTGTCCTCACTGAGGGGGGCGTGTCCTCACTGAGGGGGGCGTGTCCTCACTGAGGGGGGCGTGGCCTCACTGAGGGGGCGTGTCCTCACTGAGGGGGGCGTGTCCTCACTGAGGGGGGCGTGTCCTCACTGAGGGGGCGTGTCCTCACTGAGGGGGCGTGGCCTCACTGAGGGGGCGTGTCCTCACTGAGGGGGCGTGTCCTCACTGAGGGGGGCGTGTCCTCACTGAGGGGGGCGTGTCCTCACTGAGGGGGGCGTGTCCTCACTGAGGGGGCGTGTCCTCACTGAGGGGGCGTGTCCTCACTGAGGGGGGCGTGTCCTCACTGAGGGGGCGTGTCCTCACTGAGGGGGGCGTGTCTCACTGAGGGGGCGTGTCCTCACTGAGGGGGCGTGTCCTCACTGAGGGGGGCGTGTCCTCACTGAGGGGGGCGTGTCCTCACTGAGGGGGCGTGTCTTCACTGAGGGGGCGTGTCCTCACTGAGGGGGGCGTGTCCTCACTGAGGGGGCGTGTCCTTCACTGAGGGGGGCGTGTCCTCACTGGGGGGCGTGTCCTCACTGAGGGGGCGTGTCCTCACTGAGGGGGGCGTGGCCTCACTGAGGGGGCGTGTCCTCACTGAGGGGCGTGTCCTCACTGAGGGGGGCGTGTCCTCACTGGGGGGGCGTGTCCTCACTGAGGGGGCGTGGCTTCACTGAGGGGGGCGTGTCCTCACTGAGGGGCGTGGCCTCACTGAGGGGGCGTGTCCTCACTGAGGGGGCGTGTCCTCACTGAGGGGGCGTGTCCTCACTGAGGGGGGCGTGGCCTCACTGAGGGGGGCAGTGGCCTCACTGAGGGGGCGTGGCCTCACTGAGGGGGCGTGTCCTCACTGAGGGGGCGTGGCCTCACTGAGGGGTCGTGTCCTCACTGAGGGGGCGTGTCCTCACTGAGGGGGCGTGTCCCTCACTGAGGGGGGCGTGTCCTCACTGAGGGGGGAGTGTCCTCACTGAGGGGGGCGTGTCCTCACTGAGGGGGGCGTGCCTCACTGAGGGGGCGTGTCCTCACTGAGGGGGGCGTGTCCTCACTGAGGGGGCGAGGGGGTGTCCTCACTGAGGGGGGCGTGTCCTCACTGAGGGGGCGTGTCCTCACTGAGGGGGCGTGTCCTCACTGAGGGGGCGTGTCCTCACGAGGGGGCGTGGCCTCACTGAGGGGCGTGTCCTCACTGAGGGGCGTGTCCTCACTGAGGGGGCGTGTCCTCACGAGGGGGGCGTGGCCTCACTGAGGGGGTGTCCTCACTGAGGGGGCGTGTCCTCACTGAGGGGGCGTGTCCTCGCTGAGGGGGCGTGGCCTCACTGAGGGGGCGTGTCTTCACTGAGGGGCGTGGCCTCACTGAGGGGGCGTGTCCTCACTGAGGGGGGAGTGTCCTCACTGAGGGGGGCGTGTCCTCACTGAGGGGGCGTGTCCTCACTGAGGGGGCGTGTCTTCACTGAGGGGCGTGTCCTCACTGAGGGGCGTGTCCTCACTGAGGGGGCGTGTCCTCACTGAGGGGGGAGTGTCCTCACTGAGGGGGCGTGTCCTCACTGAGGGGCGTGTCCTCACTTAGGGGGGCGTGTCCTCACTGAGGGGCGTGGCCTCATTGAGGGGGCGTGGCCTCATTGAGGGGGCGTGGCCTCACTGAGGGGACGTATCCTCACTGAGGGGGGCGTGGCCTCACTGAGGGGGGCGTGTCCTCACTGAGGGGCGTGGCCTCACTGAGGGGCGTGTCCTCACTGAGGGGCGTGGCCTCACTGAGGGGGCGTGTCCTCACTGAGGGGGGGCGTGTCCTCACTGAGGGAGGCGTGACCTCACTGAGGGGTGTGTCCTCACTGAGGGGGGCGTGTCCTCACGGAGGGGGGCGTGTCCTCACGGAGGGGGGCGTGGCCTCACTGAGGGGGCGTGTCCTCACTGAGGGGGGCGTGTCCTCACTGAGGGGGCGTGTCTTCACTGAGGGGGCGTGTCCTCACGGAGGGGGCGTGTCCTCACGGAGGGGGGCGTGGCCTCACTCAGGGGGCTGTCCTCACTGAGGGGGCGTGTCCTCACTGAGGGGGGCGTGTCCTCACGGAGGGGGGCGTGGCCTCACTGAGGGGGCGTGTCCTCACTGAGGGGGCGTGTCCTCACTGAGGGGGGCGTGTCCTCGCTGAGGGGGGCGTGTCCTCACTGAGGGGGCGTGTCTTCACTGAGGGGGCGTGTCCTCACTGAGGGGGCGTGTCCTCACTGAGGGGGGAGTGTCCTCACTGAGGGGGGCGTGTCCTCACTGAGGGGGCGTGTCCTCACTGAGGGGGCGTGTCTTCACTGAGGGGGCGTGTCCTCACTGAGGGGGCGTGTCCTCACTGCGGGGGCGTGTCCTCACTGAGGGGGGAGTGTCCTCACTGAGGGGGGCGTGTCCTCACTGAGGGGGCGTGTCCTCACTTAGGGGGGCGTGTCCTCACTGAGGGGGCGTGGCCTCATTGAGGGGGCGTGGCCTCATTGAGGGGGCGTGGCCTCACTGAGGGGACGTATCCTCACTGAGGGGGGCGTGGCCTCACTGAGGGGGGCGTGGCCTCACTGAGGAGGGCGTGGCCTCACTGAGGGGGCGTGTCCTCACTGAGGGGGGTGTGGCCTCACTGAGGGGGGCGTGTTAGACACATCCCCCTCAGTGAGGCAAATGTGATAGCTGCCTCCCCTGGTGCTTTTTCATTGCAGTTTCATGACGAGACCAGCGAGCCTGAATATCTTTATACACATACGTGAAATAAGTTAGCTGGAGCATGGAAGGCGAGGACATGAAATGAAGGGGTCTACAAACATTAAATTGGTGACATACTGAGATAGTAACAGGCACGAGCTAATTGCCCGCGCTCCATTCAGTTACTGAGGGGTTGCATAATCAGAGGGGAGGCTGAGCTCGTCGCTGCCTCACCTCTCGTCTCTTCCTGTATTTGCAGCGGAGCTCCGCAAATTTGGCGATTTTGACTATAAAAATGATTGGAATCGTACAGAAATGACATTTATAACACAGATCAGTGGAAAAATATTTAATTTATTTTATTATTCTTTTTTTTTCATAACAGCTATTTTCATTGGAGTATGACAGGTGAGGCTCTGCCTCCCCTGCCTCCCCTGACCGCACGTCCCTGCTTCATAGTGTAGTGCGCTCACCACTGCGCCACCGCTACACCTCATAAATGCGACGGTTAAAAGACACCAACATTTTCATCAATAAAAAAAAACTAAAAAATTGTAACGATAATCACGGTACGATTGATGTCTTTCAAAGGGGGTGTTGCGATTATCGTGGATATTTTATCGCACGATATATCGCGGTAAAATCGCCATATCGTGGCAACCACAAGCCAGTGTTGTGTCAATAGGCTCTCTGCATGGCTGAGAGCCTTAAGCTGAATGTTACCAAGGCGATAAAGGACGCCAGCCTCTTTCTCAAGCCCCTGTCTATAGACTCTGCCACTAAGTGGGCAGACAGAGCCGATCTTATAGCTCGTTCTGCGTAACGTATTAAACATGCAGGAATGTGTAATCCGTCATTATCCTGGGTTCCGACTTACAGCTTTCCACAGTTAAACAACAAAGACGGGCGAAACTTTAAAGGTAAGCTGAGCACGCGACTATCTGGCAGAACGTTTGAGATGAGGCTGGGTGGCGCAGTGGTTGGTGTTTTCTAAACACGAGCTGAAGGGTTGCCAGTGTAAATATCGGGGATCAACTCAGCAGCAGCAGCACTACCATCACCATCATCATCATCATCTCTCTAGGGGGCGATAAAGTGGTATACAACTTTGTGAGAAGTCGAAAGGTACTTTGCGACTGGCTCAGGGATAGGGATGAGAGTGGCATAGCTTCATGTGGGAAGCCAACGGTGGATCTCCTTCCAAGAGAGATTGATCCTTGACATAAGAACGTGGAATTTCCACCGGCGGTTAAGGCCATTACGGTTTGATAACGCTTCCTAGGCGTCTACCTTTACCGTGATGTTTTCTGTTAGAGACATCGATACATGTCCAGTCCTTTATCAATCCGCTGCTGGATGAGGGCCTCGCGGGGGTTATTTGACCATACTTCACTGCCCTGCACAGTACGGGATGGTGACAGTGAGCTGCATTAGACATGGGAGTGTACAAGTAGGGCGACACCAACACATTGACACTACCCTCTGCTACCCACCATGCAGACACGCGGAGCCTATAGCAAAACCTGTTGTGCATGAGCCTCCCCAAGCCTATCCAGCCTCAACTGCTGCTTAACTTCAGATAAATGTACGTGTTGAACTTCTTTCGCACCGTACGTAGCCAAACGAGCTAAGCGGAGGTGCGGGGGAAGGACAACAAACTAAACACAAAAGGCACTTCCACGGAAATGAGTTTTCCAACTAGATGATTTAAAAGTGCATAGCTCCAGCGGCTTCCTAATATCGGACGGAAGAGCGTTCCAGACGGCCGCAGAAGCGCATCTGAAAGCGCCACGCGATGCGGTGACCGCCTTTGTTCGATTGCCAGCCAAAAGCCGCTGCTGCGAGTATGACCGCAGTTCGTGTGATGATGGTTTATACTCCTTGACGAGATCAGTAGCAAGGTATTTGTGTGTGTGTAACGAGTGCGACCTTCTAATGCATTCGTTCGGCAACCAGAAGCCAATGCAGCTCCGCGAGCACGGGACGGACATGGTCGGATCTTGCAGTACCCGTCACGACACGTGCCAAAGAATTTCGTACATTCTGCGTGATTTGGTTGTTGTCTGTATTGGAGATGCGATCATAACATGTCTAAATTAAAATAAGTTATAACAATATAAAGTAATAATATAATAACAATATAAAGTAATAATATTTCTCTATCCAGGAAAGCTTCGCGGATTCTCACGGCCTTTTTTAGGAGGGTCTTGCATTGTATTTGTTTAACGAATTCAATAACGCGCGCTGTTTTTGGAAATAAGCTCGCAGCGCATTGCACTTTTAACAATTGACTGCAATTGCTCGTGCGCTGATCTTTCTTTTTTACCACCTCCAACGTGTGCTCTTACATTTATGTTGCTTTTATATAACCGCAGGTATTCTTCCATCACGAACGTGTGACGGTCAAGTAACCCAATTACAGACCGACCTGTTGCTTACCAACTATCAGAGCCACTGGGTAATATGGCCGGGCGTGGCAAACCGAGAGCGATCGCATCCAAGGCACCGCGGTTTGGGATCGTGTGCGAGGCTCAAAGGCAGCTCCTCATACAGCGAGCGCGCAAGGAGGCGGAGAACAGGGCCGAGCAAAGTCTGACTCATCGCAGCACTCATCCGTGAGTTCACGCACATATCAACAACAACAGATATTGAGCAGACACAATAGTGCACAACGGTGCACGTTTGGACAAGACAAAGAGATTTACACCATTGGAACCTCATTTACCAGTAAAAAATATGATAATTGTTTTTTTACCCTTCTATCTGGAAACAAAACTGACACCTTTGTTACAAGGAGTCATGTTTGCATAGACCACAATACCTGCAGTCATGATGCAAACAAAAAACATAACTCTGAGAATGTGCACTGTCCTTGAAGTTGATTGGTCCACACCCGAGACAGCTTTCCTTAGAGCCTAGTCTCACATGGGTTGGACCGGATGGTCTATGCAAACATGACTCCTTGTAACAAAGGTGTCAGTTTTGTTGCCAGATAGAAGGGTAAAAAACCAATTATCAAGGCAAAAAGACTTTGACTTTTAAACAACTTGTATTGCCGCCAGCAGCAACAGCACTAGAGGCGATTCCGATATGAAATACACATACTCTTAGGTTTTTCGGTAAAGTCACGCAGGGAAAAAAGTAAATTATATAATTGAAAAAATAATAGAAATAAAATAATAAATCACGACGTTTCGGAGGCAACACAAGTCTCCGTCATCTGGTAGGACCGTCACAGCTAGATTTACTGTCTCAAGGTTTTACTGTCTCAATCTAGCTGTGACGGTCCCACCTGATGACGGAGACTTGTGTTGCCTCCGAAACGTCGTGATTTATTATTTTATTTCTATTATTTTTTCAATCATATTATTTATTTTTTCCCTACGTGACTTTACCGAAAAACCTAAGAGTATGAATTCTTGCAGTCACGAAAGCTTCAAATCTAGAATGAAATACACAGTCACCAGCAAACAAATACACGCTATAATTCCACGCGTCGTGGCGCTAAATGCACCGCGCACAACACGAAAGAAAAGTCACGTGGTGGTGGTGTTCATCGCGCACGCAACGGTGACGAGCGAGCGCTTGTTGTTTGCGGTCATTGCCGACCTGGCTGATGGCATCAACTCACCAGACTTGCGAGCACAGTTTCATTACAGGCAGCTGCATGGATTCGAACCCAGGCTCTCGGCCGTGCCAGCTCAGTGCTTTGACCTCTGAGCCACCCAACCACTTGCAAGTTTTGACATAGAATTTTTAAACCGTACATCAGCCGATATATTCTTACAAATATGTGACGTTTCAAGCAATGGCCCTTCTTCACGTGAAAATTACTGATATATATTTTAATCGTCTAATGCAGGGGTAGGGAACCTTTTATCTGCCAAGAGCCATTCGGATATTTATAACATCATTCACGGGCCATACAAAATCATCAACTTAAAAATTAGCCTGTTATATTTGGTCTAAATTGAATAAACTCACCCCTAATGTGATGGCTGGAACTGCTTCTCTCTCTTTGGCGAGGCGTGTGACGTTAGCTGGTATTGATGATGTTGCTACTCGCAACTGCTTTTCCAGGCTTGCTCCTAGATTTATTGAATTTCGAGTCCCGCCTGCAGTTGCCTTGGCAGAGCCACACAAAATGATTTCGCGGGCCTTATACGGCCCGCGGGCCGGACGTTCCCCACCCCTGGTCTAATGATATACAGTAATTACTATTTATTTCATCGGTTTGCCTGTGGTCTTCTTGTGTTGTAACACACACACGCACCACACACGTGTGTGAGTAGCGATCCACTGCTTGTGACGGAGGAGTTTGTTCAACGGTTCAACTCACATCAGCATTCGGCGCAGGACAGAGAGAGGCTGAACAACACAGCACAAGCTATGCTGGCTCGCTGTCGAGTGAGTTTGATGCGAGACAAACACACAAAGACAAATATCCCCCGTGCAGCCTTTAACAGACTGTTGGGGAAAGTGCTGTTCGGCACACGAGGGGACGGGTGATCAGTACAGTACATTCTAGATTTGAAGCTTTCGTGACTGCAAGGATTCATACTCTTAGGTTTTTTTCGGTAAAGTCACGTAGGTAAAAATTTGTAATTAATAAAAGTAAAATAAAACAAATTTAAAAAAATTCACGACGTTTCGGAGGCAACACAAGCCTCCGTCTTCAGGTGGAACCGTCACAGCCACGACAGCTTTATCAAGTAAATGAGAGATTGCAAGAGCTACCACTCCGTATATATAATGGTTGGAGAGGGGGAAAGGGCCAAGTACGGCACACTTTTTATTAATATGATAAGGTGAGGTTTAAGAGGGTGAGCCTTTGTTATGGATTTGTTTTATTTTACTTTTATTAATTAAATTTTTTTACCTACGTGACTTTACCGAAAAAACCTAAGAGTACAGTACAGTACAATGCCCGGACGCCTTTCTCTCTCCAGTGGTGATGTTTAAACACCACACCAGGTACTTATTCAAAGCTAAATCGACCCACATGTACATGTGTACACCACACACAGTCAGTTTAATGTATAGAGCAAAACGCCGCACAAAACAAGGTGACTCTTCATTGGGCTGAATTCCAGCTCTGAGACTTAAAATATCGGGTTGAGAGGCGGCCGAGTGGCTCAAGAGACCCAGGCCCGCAGCTTGCGCTGCCGAGATCCTGATGTCTAACCTTGTCAGAATCAGAAATATTAATTCACAAGGGAGGAATCCGGTTGAGCTATGAAACTCTTTTTCCGCAGATGTCGCTCGCACTTTGTGACGATCGATACGTTTCCTTAATTTCAGCGGCGAGCGGGGATCTTTACGAGAGGACGCGGCCCCCACGTGAATTTGCCAAGCGCCTGGCTGGAGCTTTCCGTCCTTTCTCAATGCAGCGGACACACAGGAATCGGTAAACCCGCAACGGCGGAGTTCCCACCGGAGTGATTCGCACGTTCATCCCCCGCGTGTCTCTCCTCGGCGCGGCGTCCGATGCGATCCGCTCCTCGCGCACCCTCTCCCGTCAGCTACTTCAGGAACAGATCGTGCCCAACGACAACAAAAATCCAGCGCGTTCCGTACGGCGTAAAGCCGAAGACGCGGCACGACCGCGGACACCTACGCGAGTAGCGACGCGCTGCAGAATTAGCGGAGTAATCATGGCTGACTATGATGATGATTTTATAGATTCTAATACGCAGACTTGTGTTGCCTCCGAAACGTCGTGATTTTTTGTTTTATTTTATTTTCATTAATTTTGATGTTTTTACCTACGTGACTTTACCGAAAAAACCTAAGAATATTTCTAATACGCAGTTGGAATTTCAAGTATAATAATAATAATAGGGGTTGTCCCCTTTTTTCTGGCGACAAAACTGAAACCTTTTGCAAGGAATCATGTTTACATTAACCACAATACTTGCAGTCAGAATGCAAACAAAAAACAACACTCTGAAAATGTATGCATTGTACTTGAAACTGATTGGTACACACCAGAGACAGCTTTCCTCAGAGCCTAGTCACATACGGTATGAGTGTTGTTTTTTGTTTGTATTCTGACTGCAAGTATTGTGGTTAATGTAAACATGATTCCTTGCAAAAGGTTTCAGTTTTGTCGCCAGAAAAAAGGGGAAAAAACCCTATTATTATATTTTGCTACTGGCAAAGGAGGCCTCGTGTTGTAATTTCAAGTGTTCGTAAAAAAGACACTCCCGTCTACCATGTGCTGTGTTTACAGAAGCTTTGCAAATGCTGTGCACTTCCGCTGAGCAGACCGAGCTGGAGCCGGCCGTTGCGTCTCCCCTGCTAGCCCTGGCTAAGTGGGCCGTAGCCCACCTGCTCGTCGACGGGGCGAGATTGCAAGGTCTTCCCGTGTTCGCGGCCAACACGGCCCTGAGTCACCTCACGCTGCTACGGGTGACGTCGTGCAGCACGTGCGAATCGTTGTGTGCGTTCAACTTGATAATTGGGTTTTTACCCTTCTATCTGGCAACAAAACTGACACCTTTTTACAAGGAGTCATGTTTGCATAGACCGCAATACCTGCAGTCATAAATACAAACAAAAGACATAACTCTGATAATGTGCACTGTCCTTGAATTTGATTGGTCCACACCCGATACAGCTTTCCTTAAGGTCCACACCCGAGACAGCTTTCCTTAAGGAAAGGAAAGCTGTCTCGGGTGTGGACCAATCAACTTCAAGGACAGTGCACATTATCAGAGTTATGTCTTTTGTTTGTATTTATGACTGCAGGTATTGCGGTCTATGCAAACATGACTCCTTGTAAAAAGGTGTCAGTTTTGTTGCCAGATAGAAGGGTAAAGAACCAATTATCATATTTTTACAGGCAAATGAGGTCCCCATAGTGCGTTCAACTTCTTTGCCGCCATGCATAGCCAACCGTGCTGATCGCAGGGAGGATGGACAACAAACTAAAATACACACGCACAAAGGCAGTTCTAATATATACAAGGTCGGGTCTCTTGGGATTTCTCTTTACTTGATACAGCAATCGTGTTGTGACGGTTCCACCTGGAAACGGAAGCTTGTGTTGCCCCCGAAACGTCGTGATTTATTATTTTTATTATTTCTTCTATTATTTTTATTATTTATCTTTCATTATTTATTTTTTACCTACGTGACTTTACCGAAAAAAACTAAGAGTATGTCCTGAAGTGCCCTCTCTCTCTGGCCGTCACCAGAACCATGCCCCCGAGGGCCCGCTTCTATGCCATACACACTCTGGTGCTAGAGAGAGACGCGAACATGCACAGTACCACTCTTCTTCCAATAGCGGGCGCTAGACGCCATAGTGACTCAATATACATCACGACAATTTACTTGAAGCTTTCGTGACTGCAGGAATTGATATTCTTTGGTTCTTTCGGTAATGTCACGTAGATATGTAAAAAAAAAAACTTACATTTTTTTTGTTATTTTCTTTGAACCTATCTACGTGACTTTACCAAAAGACCCAAAGAATATCACTACAATTGTAATAAACAAAAGCCCAGCCATATCAATGTGGTTTTCCACTGACTTTGGCGAAAATACCAAACCTGGGATTTTGCTCAACTGCCTCGGAGTCATCAGTGGAGATAAATGGACTTAAAAAAAGTATTTATATCGACAGTCTGAACCAGCGTCGTGATGAATCTTCATTGTCGCTTTGCCTGCAGCTGTGTGAATGTGTTTGTTTGAGACTCTACTGCCTGAAGCTCACAGGAGCCATCCCTGAAAACAACGCCTTTGAGGACTACATGTACGGTAAGTGTTTATTTATACATATTATTGAACTCGATCTTTTTTATTTAAATGTTGGCGAAGTATCATTATTATTATTCGGGCTATGACCACATCATCCAGGCTGCCCCCGATCTCATCAGACTCTCAAAAACTTTTCAGGATTGAGCTTGGATGAGTGCCAGGTGCTAAAGGTTGCAGGACTACACTGTGGGCAACAGAGGGCAGCACATCAACATCCATTGTTACACTCTATGCCCCCATGTGCGTACTTCACCGCCTTCACCAACCCAATCTGACCAGCGTGGTGAAGTATGGTTCAAACAATCCCCACGACCTCGCGTGGATTGACAAAGAGGAGCACACGTGCGTTGTAGGATTTGTACGACAGCGCGAGACGGGTGCGCCGTGGCACATTCTCGTGAATCGACTCACGGGAGGCGGGGGGGTCTTCTAACGCGCACCTTACAGCAGACGGGGATGCAGACACGTCCGTGCGTTATGATCCTTTAAGTCTTTTTTTTTATTGTCCAGTGTACGCGTCGGATAACCGTGCAAGCGCTGCCGTGCCAAGCCCACACAGCACTGCCCTGTGCCGACGGTCGCGGAGGGCTGCGATCGAACGCGCGTCGGCCGGCTTCGTAGTTCAGCGCGCTAACCGCTGTCCCACTGCTCCGCCCTGTAAACTTTTTTTTCATAGAAAAAAAACTTTTTATTCCACATCCCCCCCCCCTCTTCCCCCCATCGACAGGACTCGTTGAGCTGGAAGACGCTTACTCGCTCGTCCCGTGCGCTCGCCTCTCGGTCAACATCATCGTCGCCGCCAGCGTCGCAGAGTCGAACTTTCTCCCCGAGAGCGCATCCGGTCAATTCCTCCGACGGTCTCTGATGCTGTGGCTCTGCGTGCGGGATCGGAATCGTCACAGCGACCACCACCACCAGCAGCAGCACCAGCAGCAGCAGCAGCTGCTACTTGGAGACGCACTCAACAGTGCCCGGTTTATCCGCGAAGATGAGTGGTGCGTTGTCATGTCGCACTTTTATTCCACGTGTGCTTATCGGTCTCGTGTCGTCACGAGACGGAGGGGGCATTGCGATTCGCAAACTCTGCAGCGAGCGGCGCACCACCCTGCGTCAGAGAAGTAATTAATTAATGGCTCATTCCCCATTCATTGAATACATTCAGCGTCATTTACGGTCATCAATTTCGCTTGCACCGAATTCACGCATCACAGATTCGCCCCCCACCCCCCATTGCTTCCTCTCATCTATATCATTCACCTCATCTCCACCATTACATTCATACTCACGTTGTTGCTGTTGTACCGTTCTTAATTCTCTGTAAAGGGCCTTGGTCAAGGGGCTGTATAAATGATGTTAACATGAGATAAGGAGGATGAGGTCACAGGGACACTTTTGAAATCCCGCACAGAAACAGGCGGCTTGATACGTGGAAAAAACTGCACGTGAAAATGGTATCACCTACCCACATTAATGCTGACTCGCCCGAAACTAAAAGTAAACAAGGCAGCCACATGTAGTGTCATCGTACTGTATTCGGACTCCTCAAGTCATTGGCCGCTTTCAATTTGCCAGATTCTCCTGGGTATCTGTGAAAAGAGCTTCATAGCTCATTGGATTCCTTCGGTATAACTCAACGTTCTCATGCTGCTTCCGTGTAGCTGCATAGGGGCCGTCCATAAATGACGTCACGCACCGGGGGGGGGGGGGGGTCAGACATTTGTGACGATGTGTGACGAGGGGGGGGGGTTTGAGAAATGCGACGTCACATAAAAATGCACAACTTTAAATAAATATAGAATTGTTATAACAACACTAATTGTTATAACACTCCTACAACATCAGAGTGCAGCGCCACATTAAATACGCACTACAATGACAAGAGTTTAAAGCGATTTGAAGCATGTTTTATTTTCAAAATGGAAATATGGTTTTGGGGGGGGGGGGGGCAGAGCTTTGTGACGTCATATTTGAGGGGGGGGGGTCTAACTTTTTGTGACGCCGTGTGACGAGGGGAGGGGGGGTTAAAATCGTCCAAAATCGCGTGACGTCATTTATGGACGACCCCATACTCCTCACCGCGGACGGCAGCTTTCCTCCTTGCGACAAGGTTCTAATCGGGGGGCACGCGCGCGCCCCAGGCCTCAGGGAGCGGTGGGACTCCTCGTTCTGGGCGATGCGGCAGCCAACGGGGAGACCTTCATCCTCCGGGAGCTGCAACGGAGCTTCGCCGGTGTGCCGCCGTACCCCGAGGTGAGAAGTTCCCAGAAAACGCGTAAATTTTGACTTGTAACTTTCGTGACTGCAAGGAATTCACATTCTTTGGTGCTTGCGGTAAATTCACGTAGGTAAAAAAATAACGACAAAAATAAATCTTCTTGGTTCTTTCGGTAAAGTCACGTAGAAGGGAAGTAATAAAATAATAAAAATAAAACATAATAAAATAATAAAATTATATTATTTAATTATGTTTTATTTTTATTATTTTATTTTATTATGTTTTATTTTTATTATTTTATTACTTCCATTCTACGTGACTTTACCGAAAGAACCAAGAAGATGAATCCCTGCAGTCACGAAAGCTTTAAATCGAGATAAAAATAAAGTGAATTAAAATAATACTAAGTAAAAATAATACTTTAGCCTGGTTCTTAATCGGAGTGTACTGGCAGTCTATAATGTAAACTGTAGCCTCGTTATTAAGTTTGGTGAGTGTATTGGCAGTCTATAATGCAGACTGTAGCAATGGTTATTAAGCTAGTACACTTACCAAACTTGATAACCAGGCTACAGTCTACATTACAGACTGACAGTACACGCACTCCAATTAAGAACCAGTCTGCAGTATTATTTTTATTCCACTTAACATTTTATTATTTTTCTATCTACGTGACTTTACCGAAAGAACCAAAGAATAAGGTTGCCAGCGATGTCACGGGCAGGCTTGGGCATCACGCAAAGCCGCACCTCCTGTTTCGCACGGTTTGGCTACGTACGGTGCGAAAGAAGTTCAACATACAACGACGACAACCGCTATTCGCCACTAAGTGGCGGTGACGTCACCACGACGCTTGTGCCAGGCTAGGTGCACGTTGAGGCCACGTGAAGTGTCGAACGCCCGCTGGCAGGAGGTCACGGGGCAGACCCAGGTGCCACGGGTCGACTGACTGAGATGACTGGCTGATGCACCACCTGTGCCCCCTACTGTGCCAACTTGCTGTGCTTTAGCCACCCGGCGCTCCGCTCGTTGTTGTGAGCGTCGATCCTCTGCCCTCCGTTGTTGCTGGAGGGCGACTGCCTCCAACTGCCCAGTAGCGTCCTTCACGAGCCTCTTCCACATCCGTACATATACATACAAATCAAGGGGGGGGGGGTCATTGAGAGATGAAGAGACGAGGGTTCCTAAAAAGAGAGTGAGACACAGAGGGACTGAGAGAGAGATAGAGGGGACAACCTAACTATGGATGTTTGTGATCATGTAAGAGCAGGAAGAGGAGCCCAGATGGCTGAGATAATGTGACGCTGCGAGAGCGGGACCTTGAAGCCAAATGGCCAATTGGCCAACCAGCCATCGAGCACGCAACACCTGCGGGTCCTGGTGAGGTGTGGTTTGCATCTCTTTTGTTGTTTATATTTGTTATGGTTGTTGTTTTTTGCAAAAAAACAAGAGCCCAGTACAAGGCACAGACTGCAAGGGGGAGGGGGGGGGGGGCGGGTTACAAAAACTCCGTGGACTGAGGTCCTGGGCCTCAATCCTCCGGGGTCCATTATTATTATTTGGTTCTTTCGGTTAAGTCACGTCTAAAGATAAAATAATAAATTAAATAATAGCATGCTATTATAATAATAATTCCTGCAGTCACGAAAGTTCTAAAATTAAGATTGAACCACTCCTGGGTCCATTCGACGAGGAGGAGATTGAGCTCACTGTCCAACACATACGTGAGGATTACGAGCTGGGAGCGTCGGCTATAATTATTATTATCATCATCATATAGGGGAAGGAGGAAAATAAGGGACTAAAAGTAGCTGAGATGCCTCTGCGCGCCAAGATGGAAACTCCTCGCCCACCTCGGAAGCTCCACGGGACGGTGACTGAATCCCGTCTATCCCCAGAGCGTGGATGTGGTGGCATCTCGCGTAACAATCTCCATCCGTTGCTTGCGAGCGTGCGTCCAGGGGCTCGGTGAGATCGGAGCGGCCGCTACCGTCACCGCCGCGTTCCTCTGGCAGTGGCCGTGGCAGATGTCCTGCATCTTCCCCTCCGTACTCAGCGACGTGGCCCTCCACGGCCGCACAGCCGAACTCCGAAAGATGGCCCTCGTTGGCGAGGCGGGCTCAGCTGACGAGGCCTTAGCACCTTGTGGGCCCGGATCGGGGCCAAAGGGCGGTGGACTCTTGCAGCTGACACAACTCAACAGCGGTAACGATCAGGATGATGACGGTGAGGTGATGTGGTGACAATGGCAGTGGCCACGGTGGTGGCGGTGTTGTGTGGTAGTGGTCGCGACGATGACGGTGGCAGTTGTGATATTTGGCACTGGCGTTGGTGGTGATGTTAGCGGTCGATGTTGGGTCGCATAGAGGGGGCTAAACGGGTATGACGCGGGCTGGAGAAGAGATGGAGCTGATGCGGTACGGGAGGATGTGGAGCTGAGTGGACTTGCCAACGACTGGTACCAGCGGTGTCAAGATCGGCTTCTGTGGAGGAGGCTCACGAAGGATGCTGCTGGGCAGTTGGAGGCAGTCGCCCTCCAGCAACAACGGGGGGCAGAAGAGCGACGCTCACAACAACGAGCGGAGCTCCGGGCGGATAAAGTACAGCAAGTTGGCACAGTAGGGGGTACTACAGCTGGTGGTGCATCTACCGTTCATCTCAGTCAGTCGACCCATGGCACCTGCTGAGTCTGTCCCGAGATCTCCTGCCGGCAGCGAGCCTCCAACACTTCACTTGGCCTCAAAGTGCACCTGGCCTGGCACAGGCACCGTGGTGACGTCACCGTCACTCAGTTGGCGGATAGCGCTGGGCATTGGTATTGTTCATCAAACGGTGGCGATGGTTTTAACGACGGTTTCAGTTTCAATGACTTTGACGACGACGGTGTTGCTCAACGGCGTCAAATGAACCCCGCTGTGCAAAAAATCGCCCGGCACTCTAACCGCTACCGCCCCCCCTCTCCAATCGCCTGCTGCTGCTGCTGCCACTACAGCCGACGGAGCCGGCCCCCCCGTCTCGCTCAGCGCCGCCGTGCGCTGCTCGTCCGCCCGCGCCCTCCGCCGCCTCTGCCGCGGCCTCCAGCAGGCGGGCGGGGAGGACGGTGCCTCGCCCCGCGGCCTCCCGTCGCTGCGACCTGGGGACCCGTTCCTGGGGAGCGCTCTCGGAGGCGCGAGCGTTGCGGAGGAGCGCGAGAGAGATGCGGCGGTGCAGGCCGCCTGGAGGTTCGCCCAGGTGCTTGACGGATTCCGCCGGGGTTTTTACGATCCTGGGGGTCACCCGAAACCCGCGTGCTCGTTCGGATGCACGTCTGCGGCCGTCTGGAACGCTCTGCCTTCCGATATTAGGAAGCGACTGGAGCTATGCACTTTTAAATCATCATCATCATACACGTGCCACTGATGTTAGCCCTTGACCAGGAATCGAACCTGGGTTCCCAACGGCAACCCAGGAAGATGTTCAAACAACAAACAGATACATTTGTGCAAGGCATCATGAACTAAAATGACTCTGATTCTTGCATTGGCTTTGTACTCGCTTTTTGGGTCCTCTGGTCTAACATTGGTGAGACGAGGCCTTAAAGAAGGCTGTCTCTGGTGTTGGCCAATCAGTTTCAAAGACAATGCCATATATACTATCGGAGCATGTGTATTCGCATGTTTTTCCACAAGCACGTGTGATGAATGCAGACTTGACACGTTGCTAATGTTCTGCCCGCTCGCAGGAGGAGTTCAGTTACTCAGCGGGACCATTGGCCGGCACTACGGGGTCCACGCTGGCCAATCTGCTGTGCGGAACACAAAGTCACCACCACCCACCTCCACCACCACCACCACCTAAGCACGACGACCAAGCCAAGACAGCGCCGACGACCAGGGCCTCTCGAAGAAATCTGCGGCAGCCACCTGAACCCTCCGCGAGAAAGCTTCTTCGGATTTCTATCCCTGCAGGTCGACAATCCGGCCCCTCTCTCCTCGAGAGGGCCGACCTTGACTTGCGACAGATCGTGGACGGCCAATTCGCCGGCTGCGAGTGAGAGATTGGCCGGGGGCAATACAAAGGTTTGTAACGAGAAAAAAAGTTGACTGTTTTGTTGCTGTTGGTTATGTCGCGTAAATATAAGATGTGTCGCTATACCTGCCACCACCCAACATGGCCAATTCAGGGTCGTAAGGTACCCTAAACGTGCGCATTAGCTGCTACTTGAACACCGCGTGTGTAAACTCCTAAGTCAGTGTTCTTCATCGCAAGGCCCCACGGGCCACTGGGCGGCCCCTGGTGGCCTTTAGTGTGGCCCCTGACGTGGACCCCCCCGACAATCCACACAGAGTGAAGTCGCCCACCACCATCATCATCATCGTCGTCATCGCAACGGTTTCAAACGCGTGGCAGCCCACGCACTGACGATGTCTAATCGGCGACAGTGGCCCGGACCCCTTTGTTAATTCGTGAAGACCACCGCTCTAAGCCCTCTGGGTACGGACCGCCCCCCCAGGTGCTCAGTGGCTCCAGCTTCGAGAGCTCTTGCGGGTCTCCGATCATCCGAAGCCACGCGGCCACACTCCAGGCTCTGTGCAAGCAGCAGATGGCGCCATAGAACGAGAGTTGAGTTGCAGTCGTGGAGCCTGCCTCTTGAATGCGGGTAGCTATGTTGAACTTCTTTCGCACCATACGTAGCCAACCGTGCTAAATCGGAGGTGCAGGTGGGGAAGGACAACAAACTAAACACCAACATCAGTTCAAAAGAAATGAGTGTCAATCTCGATGATGATTTAAAAGTGCCACAGCTCACAGTGGCTTCCTAATATCGGAAGGCAGAGCATTCCAGACGGCCGCAGAAGCGCTTCTGAAAGCGCGCGATGATGCGGTGATCACCGTCTTTGTTCGATGGTGAGCCAAAAGCCGTTGCTGCGAGGATAACCGTAGTTCTCGTGATGGTTTATGCGCCTTGACGCGATCAGCAGCAAGGTAATTGTGGTTCAGTTGTGGCAAGCACTCTGTATGTCTAATGAGTGCGACCTTAAAATGCATTCGTTTGGCAACCGGAAGCCAACGCAGCTCGGCGAGCACTGGACTAATCTTGCAGTAACCCCGTCACGACACGTGCCAGAGAGTTTAACACGGAGTAGGATTCGCAAATAAAATCATCCATAATAGTTTTTTTTGGGTTAGATCGCGTAAATATATTAATGTGTCGTTAAAACCCGTCGCCACCCGAAACGTCGTACTCAGATTGTAAAAGTTGTGGCTTGGCTCTCCAACACACCAGTGTGCTGTACTAGTAGCGAATTGGCACGTTCTGTTTACGTGAAAACCCTTACTAGTTGGCTGTGTCGGGTGGTGGCGGGTTTTAACGACACATTTATATATTTGTAATGAGCGACTTCCGCGACACGTCGTGTGGAGGGAACTCTTCTTCATTTCACACACGGGCACAACACAGGCCAACTTTATCTTCTTGCTTTTCCGAGTACAACACTTAGATGTTAGCGTCCCTACAAGCTACACACACTGTCGATCATCCGGCGTGGTTCCACCCGTCCACTCCCGGCCTCGCCGCTGGCTGACGGCATGCCGGTAAGGGCGGTGGAACTCGGCAGGATATCTGCCACGTGGCCGGACGACGGAGAAAGATGACGGCGAGCAGCGACGCAGTCCAGACCCAAGGCTCCACACACCGACAATGAGTCCTCCTCCGTCCCCGCTTATATTTCCGCAGGCGCGGCTAGGCTCTACCTCCGGCTACGCCCTCTCGTGGAACCTTCCCGCAGGTTCCCAGAGTATCTCGGCCAGCCCCGTCCCTTTGGGAATGGATGATGTTTTAGTGGTGCCCGTACCCGTGCTTCCCTTTTCCAACCAGCAGGTTTCATCATGTCATTACATGTTTAAGCGATCTAACCCAAAAAAACTCTATTAGGAATGATGTTGGTCGCGAAAGCTTACGTGTTAAACTAAGTAGTAACTAAATCGCACATTTTGCTTACCTGACAAACCTCACTAAATGGCCGTGTCGGGATGGTGACGGGTTTAACGACACGTTTGTATTTTTACAGAATCTACCCAGAAAAATAAAACCTCTTATGGACGTAGCAGAGAATTGTGTGAACGCTGCAGCGGGTGAACCACTAACACTGCCGCTCCCCACACATGCACTACAATTACGTTTTAGCAGTGCACCGGGTACATTCCTTTCAGCCTAAGTCGATATAGAGGAGACCCAGGAAAAGTTCATGAATTAATTGCCACTGATGTTACCCGTGGCCGGGTGTGGAACCCGGGCCCCGTAGTGCAGTGTGTTAGCCACGAAGCCGCCACTCCGCACACACAGACACTCATACACAGACATGCACAAATCTGAACACAGACACACATCACAAACACAGACATATGGTCAAAAAAACATTTGGCTTTATAAACCATATGGATAATTGCTGTTGGCGAGCATCTATTACATCGACACACAGTGTGTGTGTGCATGTATGTAGTGGGGAGAGGTAGTGTAGCTGTTAGCGCGTTGCGCTACGAACCTGACAACCCGGGTTCAATTCCCACTCACGGCCAACACCAGTGACGATTATCTGTACCGGTCCTCCCCTAGGTTGACTCAGCCTCAAATGAGTACCCGGTGCGGTGTGTAAACATCGCCACTGGGGAGACAAATGCGGTCGGGCGTGGTGTTGGCCACCCAGCCCCTCGTGTGCCGTGACGGCCTTCATAGGTGCTAATCGCTATTAGCACTTGCCCATACAGCCTGTTAAGGTTAGACGGGGAGGCTTTGTTTTTGTGGTGAAGCTGTTCGCACGCTCCGCTGGGAACCCGTCGACCTGGGTTCGATTCCCGCTCACGGTCACCAGGAGTGACGATTATTTTAACCGGTCCTGGGCCTCCCTTAGGTCGACTCAGCCTCAAATGCGTACCTGGTGCGGTGTGTAAACATCGCCACTACCGAGACGAAGGCGGTCGGGCGTGGTGCTGGCCACCCAGCCCCTCGTGTGCCGTTGCCGGCCTTCGTAGGCGCTCGCTAACGACACTTGCCGCCCCAAAACAATCCCAAAAAGGGACTATACGACGGATCGTTGTCTTTGTTGCGTCTGTGTGTGTGTGCGCGCGCGCGTGTGTGCACCCACAGCCAAATGAGGAACGCGCTGGCAGTCGCCACGTCTCGTCTCAAGCCACACTCAACCTCTCGGCAATGTGACCTTGACACAACCCAGACCCCAGTCCGAAACTACCACCACCACCACCACCCACCTCAAACAACCCCCACCCACCCCAACCCACTCAAGATCACACCAGTCAATCACGCTCGCCCCTCTTTAAAACCTTCAGGCAACAACCTTTTAGGGCGACATTTTTTTGGGTTTATTTATTATATATTTGTAAGCGGGCTTTAGGAGGGTGCGAGAGAGAGAGGTGGAGTGGGGCAAAGAGAGTGTTTCAGTTCACATCGATCCGTGTGTTTTAGACTTAACCATCACTGGGCAGGGGAAAGGGGAAACATTTGGCGAGGCCTGGGACAACCACATATTGCAGACAGAGGCGTGTTTACCTCCTTCTGCTGCTGCTGCTCAGTTTCATTTTCAGTTTTATTTATTTGGTGTAGATGAAAGTAAAATAAAATAAAAATTTAAATTAAAATTAAAATCACGACGTTTCGGAGGCAACACAAGCTTCCACCTGAAGACGCCTGAAGACGGAAGCTTGTGTTGCCTCCGAAACGTCCTGATTTTTATGTTATTTTACTTTCATTAATTTTTTTTTTACCTACGTGACTTTGCCGAAAAAACCTAAGAATATGAATCCTTGCAGTCACGAAAGCTTCAAATCTAGAATTATTTGGTGTAGCCTTGTGAGCCATTCGGCTCTTGAATCGGGTGCAACCGCAACAAACAAAAAACTAAAACATGAACAAAAAAACATTTTAAAGTGACTATGCGCAAACAGAAAAATCCAGGAAAAAATAGCAAAAAAATCTTCCAGAAAAAGCACCGTACACCAACGCTGTGTGCAAAAATCCTAGTGGGATGCAAGTCAAACAACAACAACAACAACCACAAGACAACTTAGATTAAAGCCATCAGTCTAACTCCGTACTACAACAAACAAACATGGCCAAACCAAAAAACTTTCGAAATCACCAAAATAAAGCCATAAAAGCAATGTGACAGTGATCATAGGAACTGTGACCGAAATTTAACAATAAACGACATATACAACATGTACCATCAATACCCTGCAGCCATAGCTGGCTGCATGAGTCACTCCACAATAGCAGGAGCATCAGTCGGAGTATCAGAATTGTTCAATGCACCTCCGATTTAGCAAGGTTGCCTACGTACGGTGCGAGAGAAGTTCAACGTACGTAGAGTACGAGCCTGCCAACCGCCGGCAAGTGACGTTAAACGGTGCCACGTCTGCTGCACGCAGCTGCGCTGCAATGTTCAGGGATTACAATTATCATCATCATCATCAGTCGCAGCAGCAGCAAGAGCAGCCACCAGTTAACCACTGTTGGATGAAGGCCTCCCCATGCCATCACAGCTCCTCGGTCCTGCACTGCCTCTTCATTATAATCTAGCGATTGCAATGTAGTACAGCAGCGGTCCCCAACATTTATAGCACCAGGGACAGGTTTCGTGGAAGACAATTTTTTCACTGACCCGAGTGGGGGGGGGGGGGGGTCATCATTGGGTCTTTCCCCGTTTTCAAAGAAGCTCTCCAGCGACGTTTGTTTTTTACTCATTTTGACTCGGAGTTAGCAGCTTGTGGGCTTACCACAACTGTGACTGAGACAAGTGAGTAGTGCGGGAAAGAGGCGCGGATGGAAGTGGTAAATAATAAAATAATGGGCGGGCCACGTGCGGAATCACCTCTCTCACCTCCTGCTGCTGTGCGGCCTGGTTCCTAACAAGCCACGGACTGGTACCGGTCCACGGCCCGGGGGTTGAAGGACCGCTGTTGTACGACACGCACGTGTCTAGGAGACAAATCGTGTCTGACCAAATCGCCCGATGTCATCAGATATGGGAAGCGAAGCTAGGCAGGTTTGAGCCCGGAAAATGCTTGGATTTGTTCAAGAAGGAGGATCCTTGAACTGGGTGTGACCTTTCCTGGGTGAATAAATGCGTATTCTATTTTATTGTTATGGTTATCACAAGTGCATGATTAGATTGTGGGTGAAGGTGATGAATATGTTGTTGAATTTAAGTTGGGAAACTTTGGGAGATCGTGGAGGATGATTTCTGCACTGATCGGGACATCTGAACGGATGTAAATGGTCAGCCGTAGGAGGCTGATGAGAAAGAAAGGGAAATCTTGATTTGAAGCTTTCGTGACTGCAGGAATCCATACTCTTTGGTTCTCTCGGTAAAGTCACGTGGCTATAAAATAAAATTGATCACGACGTTTCGGGCGCAACACAAGCGTCCGCTTTCCCACCTGATGACGGACGCTTGTGTTGCGGCCGAAACGTCGTAATTTAATTTATTTTATACCTACGTGACTTTACCGAAAGAACCAAAGAGTAGAGAAAGAGAAGTTTTGCATCCCGGACTTGCAGGGACGGAGTCAGCTGAGCAGATGGGCAAAACGGTGGAGCGAATTTTAGACCCCAGGAGCAGCAGCGGAAAAGAAGCAACCACCGCACGTCGACGTGGACGCTGCTGAATATGCGCCGTGATGACCTCATTTGCCAGTAAAAATATGATAATTGGTTCTTTACCCTTCTATCTGGCAACAAAACTGACACCTTTTTGCAAGGAGTCATGTTTGCATAGACCGCAATACCTGCAGTCATAATACAAACAAAAGAACATAACTCTGATAATGTGCACTGTCCTTGAAGTTGATTGGTCCACACCCGAGACAGCTTTCCTTCGAGCCTAGTCTCATATGGGTTGGACCAGATGACGCCAAAAGGCGCACAACTCAAGGACAATGCACCATCAGAGTATGAGAGCTCGGGGCAAGCATCTACACTATGGGGACCTCATTTGCCAGTAAAAATATGATAATTGGTTCTTTACCCTTCTATCCGAGCTCTCATACTCTGATGGTGCATTGTCCTTGAGTTGTGCGCCTTTTGGCGTCATCTGGTCCAACCCATATGAGACTAGGCTCGAAGGAAAGCTGTCTCGGGTGTGGACCAATCAACTTCAAGGACAGTGCACATTATCAGAGTTATGTTCTTTTGTTCGTATTATGACTGCAGGTATTGCGGTCTATGCAAACATGACTCCTTGCAAAAAGGTGTCAGTTTTGTTGCCAGATAGAAGGGTAAAGAACCAATTATCATGCGCCGTGATGTTGATGATGTTGATGATGATGTTGATGATGTTGATGATGATGTTGGTGCGAGGTCTGTGCGATCGAGTTGCTGGGCCGTGATGTTGATGATGTTGATGATGACGTTGATGATGATGTTGATGATGTTGGTGCGATGTCTGTGCTACTGAGTTGCTGGGCCGTGATGTTGATGATAATGTTGGTGCGATGTCTGTGCGATCGAGTTGCTGGGCCGTGATGTTGATGATGTTGATGATGTTGATGATGATGTTGTTGATGATGATGTTGGTGCGATGTCTGTGCTACTGAGTTGCTGGGCCGTGATGTTGATGATAATGTTGATGATGATGTTGATGCTGTCGGCACCGCGTAGCGATGGCGATCCGACCGCGCTTGATGCCGCTGATGTTGAGCGGCCTCCCTCCGGTCAAACACCACCCCCGTCGGAGTCCCTAATGCGACAACTATTGATCTCGCACAGCATTATACAGACGCACGCGACCATGATAAAAAAAGAACTGGGCTTTCACACAAAACCCAACGCCATTCGCCTCTGGGGCCATGGAGCTCATTCAACGATGAGCGGAGCAGCGAGGGATGGAGTTGCTGCATTGTTGGTATTGTTGTTGTTGTGATTGTTGTTGTTGATTATCAACATTTGTTGATGGTTAGATCCGTCCCGTATCCCACCGCAATTTGGTCGTTTGGCGACAATGCCCTCTTTGTTTGTACGTTGCACTCCTTTCGCAGCGTACGTAGCCAACCGTGGCAATCGGAGGTGCTGGGGGCGGCCAACAAACTAAACACAAAAAGCAGTTCTAGAGATATTATTAGTTTGTCAATCGAGATGATTTAAAAGTGCATAGCTCCGGCGGCTTCCAAATATCGGAAGAGCGTTCCAGACGGCCGCTGATGCGCATCTGAAAGCGCGCAATGCGGTAACCCGTCTGTTCGATGGCTCGTCAAAGGCCGCTGCTGTGAGGATGACCCTGAGTTCGCGTGATGGTTTATGTTCCCTGACCAGATCAGCAGCAAGGAATTTGTGGCTCATTTGTTGGTAAGCACTCTGTGCGTGTAATGAGTGCGACCTTATACAATGTATTCGTTCGGCAAACCAGAATCCAATGCGGCTTGTGCGAGCAATGGACGGGCATGGATGGTATGGATCACGAAAGTTGTCAATAAATAGACAGCCGCCGATGGCTATTGCTCCGGTGGATTTGTGGGTCGTACCGCGTGCCGTTCGGCATGGGCGGCCGACGTTTCGCTCCACGTTTTGGGAGCCTCGCCAGGGACTGAAAATAAGAAGCGTTCAGTACGTGGAGCGTTATCGGAATCAGACTGTTCATTTATCCTTGAGCAATCCGATGAGCTATGAAGCTCTTCTATTCACAGATGTCCAGTAGGACAACCCGGACGACCCAACACATCGTCAACATCAGCGTGATGTCCGACGTTTCGCCACGAGGGTCCCTGGTCCAGCGGGATGCTTGGCCAATTTCAATAGTGAGTGTTTGGCGTCACGTTCGGGGAAAAATCCCGGAGAGAAA